GGAGTGAAGCTTTAGTTTACAAATCATATTTTTTTCACAATAGCCGTTGAAGTACTATACCCCTTAGTTGGTCGACCCCAAAAAATTTAGAAGGGTTTGTATGACGTTTTCTAAGCATAACTGGGCTACGATCTCAGAGAAAATTTGCCCGAAATGCTCATTTTTGGCAAGAAGGCCTCTTGGACGTTGTTCTTTCAGAATATCCTGAGAAATCCCATGATTTCAGAATTTTCATTTTTATGACGTCACACCTATAAGAACAATTTTTTTACTAGAACTGTAAAAGAATGGAACACTTTACCTTCATTTTTGTCAGATCAGGCCTCCGTGGACGAATTCAAATCTGCTGTTACTAATTATTTTAATCTCCCTCGTTGATTTTATACATCATTTTATTTTATTATTCATTTATTTTTGCACATTCACAGTGATGGGAAACCTTTGGGTATTATAACACACAAATAAATAAATTAAAAAAAACAAGAAAGGAAAAAAAAAATGGTTTAACACTGTTATGGTTAGACACCCAACCGGATTTTAAAATTCCTAATTACTTCGGCGGAGCGCGAAGTAAAGGATTCGCGACGCTCGGGAATGTATCAAAGTTGCCATTTTTTGACAAGATTGGGCACGCAAAGTCTGTAGGTTTTCGGTTTTATTCGGCTATTTGACGAAGTGAGAGCCGAATTAGTTCGAGATATCTCGAGAACACTTCCATTTCTTTGATTTACTCTTTAACTTTTTCGAGGAAGAAAGAATTATTACTTTGGCTTTCCCGGGGTTTGAACCGACTCACCTATGTGACCCGTCAGATCAGGGCAGACTTTAGGTTGAGGTATTTGCCGATTGCGCTACTGCGACCCAAGGTAGTTCGGGACGTGAAAAATAGTTATGAAATGGTGCACTATAGTTTCGGGACAAGACTGGGCGTGCAAGTTCGTGACTTTTCGGCTTGTTTCGGCTATTTCACGAAATGAGACCGGACTACTTCGTGATATCTTGAGATCACTTCGAGTTTTATCCAATTCCATGCTCAACGCAATTAACTCCTTACCTATGCCTTACATATCTTTAATCAGTACATGAGACTGTTATGCTGTTTTTGAAGCCCTGACTAAGAAAAATAGAGAATTCTTTTTTCACCATTTGTTTTATTAGACCGCCAGTAACCTCATATTTGACTTAGGTCTAAACGTTTCAGGTCAAATTTAGAAGGATTTGTATGGACTCACCGGAGCTTAACTGGGCTAATATCTCAGAGACAATTTGTCCCGAAATGCTAGTTTTTGGCAAGTAGGCCTCTTGGATGTTGCTCTTTTCAGAATAACCTGACAAATCCTATAATTTCACAAATTAACACCGCACTCTGACCATATTTCATTTCTTACTATTCCTCCGCATTTACAACCAGGACGCCGAAGTGTACGCTCCGTAGCGTCTTGTCTGTTCTAAACATGATGTCATTTTACAGTCCGGAATATCCCTAAATTTAAGGACAGGGTCGACTGGTCATGCGACACTTTTCAACCAATGAGAAGGTGCGCTTGTGTTTATCAACAAACAAATCAAAACATCGCCGCTGTGATAAAATATTTTCAAAACAGCGGACGGAGTCAGACAGAATCAGTCATCGTTTCGAGGCTCTCAGGCATATTTTTAAGACTTTTCATGAGGCATACACAATTTTTTTAACAGGACAGCGTATCGGAAGCCATATTGGAAGTGTCTCGTGAAATATTCAGCACATTTTGTGGCTTATTTCTTCTTTTTAAACAACGCGATGTATGTGCGAGATTTTGGTCGGTTTTCAAGGTAGGCGAACAAGTATCTATGATTTTTTCGATTCACAGATTTTTTTTTACGAAGTTCTAGATATTTTTCCTTGATTGTCATATCGATTAAATTTTATCACGTTGAATGTGGGGATGGTAGACAACCTAGAATTTTGGTAGACCAATTTTGAATTCCGAGGTCCATGAAAACACGTACGTTTTCCATTCCCGGGTTTCTCACAGAGCCGTGTTATTACTTTTTTTCGCATTAGTACGAGCCTTTGCCTTTTTTCTTTTCAAGGCCAAAACAACTTTATTAGTCTTATGGATATTCACGTCCAACATCTCGCCTCACTTTGCCGAATTTTTGGGGATGAAATTGAAGATGATGAGGGCAAGATAGATACTAACCGCTTTGTTTCTGAAATTCACCAAATCTGGAAAGATTTAATGTTGCTGGATTCTCCAAATGTTCATCCACTGTTAAAAAACAATCAAAGAAAGAAGGCAAATTTCAACTCATTGAACATGCACTGAATCTGGGATCAAATTAAAACATTGCAGGTACTACAGCAAGCAAGGAAAGCACCAGATGCGTGAAGTCAACACGAAACAACACCAAAAAACAAACAAGAAAAATTAATAAATTTGAACTACTTTTTATTTTATTCTTGTTATGATGACTGGTTCTTTGATTCTTGTCCTGTAGAAGCTAATAGGTAGTACCAATCCTGTTTTGTATGATCTCAACAAATTTTCACGCTCTCTCTAAGGCTATTTTTACACGGGACCAGTTTGTTTCTATCAAAAATCTTGCAAGCCATGCCAGTGAAGCCACGACCACTGCGATCGGTCCGGAATCAGTTCGAACACCCCAATGATTCCTTGCAATGAATAATGCTCTTATTCACTTACATGAAATGTTTTCTTTGAAATTTTAAATGTGAAACCTAGACGAGTACTGTAAGCTCATCTTTAATTCTGTCCGTCGACTCCGTCCCTTGTTTTGAAAATTTTTGAGCACTGGCGCGATGTTTTGATTTGTTTGTTGATAAACACAAGCGCGCCTTCTCATTGGTTGAAAAGTGTCGCGTGACCAGCTGGCCCTGTCCTTAAGTTTAGGGATATTCCGGACTGTTTTAAGAGGTCGGCATTATACTCTACCCACCAAAACCACATCGATCGAGAGGGACTGAGATTGAGTTTTGGACACCTTGTGACATGCTATACCAATGAAAGATGCCTACAATGTTTTGATGTATTCGCCCCTCGGGGATTCGCCTTTCTTTTGCTTTGAACTTACTTATGTTTGTGAGATCGCGTTCTCGCAAACAAAGGGTGAATAAAACGAGTATAACTGTATTTTAGCAAATATTGTACATGAAGTTTTAAAACATGTTTCAGATATTTCATGGGGCTACGTGATACACATCTAGCCCCGAACACTGTTGGTAGTTTTGGTGGATGTTTAAGTCTACATCCACCAAAACCACTCGACCTGTCCAGACTGCACATATGAGCCCTTACCTATAACCATTGTTAAATCTCCAAAGAGGCAAGGGTTTTAATTTTTTTAGGCGCATAGTTACGCTTGTGCAAAGTACTGACGAACGTTTTAAGACCATACTCATAAAGCATAATAATTATTGACACAATGAAAATTTTAATCATGGTTTTTATATAAGTTGTTATTATTTACACCAACAAAATATTTTATTATTATTATTATTATTATTATTATTATTATTATTATTATTTTTAATGTGCACTTGTGAGCAGCACACTTACACTTCCAGTGAACATTTTCACTTGGAAGAAGGAGAAACCATGCTCGCCCGGGGCAACGAAAATTTTCGTGCCCCGGGCGAGAATTGAACTCGCGACCTCCCAAATCCCATCATTCCCGGGAAACAAACAGGACGATTATGGCGGGAATTTTAAGAAGTTACGAACCCGCGTTGGATAGGAAAATTGCTGAGAATTTTGGATATGTTTCTTCCGTCCAAGAGGCTTATAAACTCATCGCAGAGTTTGAAACGAGATCGACGACCAAGTTTTCCTGCTTCAAAGTGGACAAAGATTTTGGGAACATTGGTGTGTATCTAAGGTTCATCTATTACTGCGCTTTTCACAAACATGCGAATTCTGAAGTTCAAAAGCCAACTGACGATTGCGTTTTTCCGTGCCGTCAATCATCTTAACGGACCTCTTAGGAAACAAAACTTTACTTTAACGGGTTCAAAAGGTCAAGGTTTGTGATTTGTGATTGGTCGATCCGTTTTGTGTGTTTCTATGTTTCAAGGTTCGTTGATCGTAATTATGATTGACGGCAGCGAAAAACGCAACCGTCAGTTGGCTTTTGAACTTCAGAATTCGCATGTTTGTGAAAAGCGCAGTAAAGCTTTATGCACATACATAAGTCTTACAAATTTAGAATTTTGGAAGTCAATATAAATAATTTTGGAAGTCAATATACAGAATATAGTCAATAAAAAATCCTCTTCTTGCCGGGGGGGGGGGGACATAAAGCTCACTGTAATTTACACCTAGCTACCCTGGTTCCAGAGGTTGTTCTTGATTTTTCTCCGCGTGAGAAAGAACGAGCACTTACCAGCGAGCTTCGCGATTCGTTCTCGCCGCTTTACTCGTTTCCAACATCTTACTAACATCTCAGTCATTATGTATGAAACTGTATCCCCCACAACTGTGAAATGGACGCAGCCTTTCTCGAGCCTTTCTCTTTCTTTCAGCTCCCAGTACAGAAGTGTAGTACACTCTGCTGGTATAGTAGAATTCCGACTTCACTAACGCTAGTATTTGGATGTTCGGTTGTTCGTGCATATCATCCGTACATTTTCCGAGAATCTTCGGTTACGACTTTTAAGTTATTCAAAATTCAATCTCAGTCCCTCTCGATCGATGTGGTTTTGGTGGGTAGAGTATAATGCCGACTTAAAATGCCGACCGTTTTAAGATGTCATTCTTGATTCTACTAGCGCCCAGTGTTTTTCTTGACACGTCCATCATCAACTCGAGGCCTGTTTCCTCGAAGCGAAGGAGGAGGTACGAACGCGGGCCATTTCACGATTCTTTTCTGCTTTGTCTATTCGTGTTTTTCTTCTTTATGAGATTGACTGAAAAGGCATCGTTGTACATCTGAATTCGGCCTCCTTTTCGGGCTTCTATTGTTGGAAACCGGCTTCACGTGCACGTGAAAACACCCTGAATATGGCGAATTATTTTAGGAAATTTCGACTGCTGATATGGAAGAATTTTTTGCTTCAAGTAAGTTCTCTATCTGACCGCTCTAGGTTCTGCTGTATTGTAGAGCTCGGTTCATAAATCTCGTTAACTTTTTACTCAAGAGCAATTATGTGACTCATAACTGATTTAATTTAACACTTTGTAAGGAGAAAATTTAATTATTAGCTCCACCTGCAACCTTGGTTCCTTGACTTCCTTGATTAATCAAGCGCTCATACTCTAAAGCAGGAAATTTGATGCTATAATTCGATGATTTATGAGGAATGGACGTGTTCTTCTGCTTTATGCTTTATGGTAATATTTTTCTTAAATCTCTAAACAGCTGCATAGCTGCTACAAAAATAATGCGTCAGTCAATTCCAGCTGCGCTCAGTTCCGCCATGCTACTGCGGGGCATTTGCCCGCCTTGTCAGTCCCGGGGGTGGGGCATTTGTAAATCTTCCGCTGCCCGGGGGCCGGGCATTTGCCAACCTTTGCCTTTTGACAAGCATGCGGCTTCGTATTAGAATATAACTACACAGAGGATTTTAGCGGAAAAACAAGCAGATTCGCTTGTTTGTCAAGGACGGGAAAAAATTGAAGAGGTTTGTAAAGGTGTGTTCTCGATTTTATGCATGCATGTCTTCATTGCTTATCAAGCCAGAATTACATAGCGAAGCTCAGAAGCTGTCGAGGTGAATCCCGGGGGTACTCCCATACATTACATATACGGGTATGTGCCGCCCAAAGGGGTCGTGATTTTGAAGCTCCTGATTTAGAACGGGGTATCCATTTCAGAGGCGTTTTCTAGAACGGGGTATAATATTTCGAACGCACGAAAGCTCCATTTTTGTTGGCAGCCATTTGAAAGTATTCAAGGACAGATTGCTTTTAAAAATACGGTTCAATGCGTTAACAAGTAAACCATTGTACTCTTGTTGCACCCTAGAACGGAGTATAAAAATTGGCCCATTTCTAGAACGGGGTATCAGTTTTGGGGCGAATTCTAGAACGGGGTATAAAAAATTGGCCCATTTCTAGAACGGGGTATCAATTTTAGGGGAAATTTTTTCCAGAACGGGGTGCCATTTTGGAGTCCCGGGCGGCACATACCCACCCAAAAAATACCCAAGTGCCCCCCCCGGGGGTGAATCAACGTTTTTTTTGGTTATTGAATCAAGTTTCTCTTGATATTATTTGAAGAACATCCTTTCATATTCGTAAAACTATTCATAGCAGTTAACTTTATGGCGCACTATTATAATTTTAATGTCAATAATTTTACAACATTACTAAAACTATAAACTGATGTCGTCACGGCATGAAGTCTTAATTAGAATAGCACTATTACAAAGGAAGACGTTTATTGAAACAAAAAATCGCACATTAAAAATGCTTAAACTGGCACTCCTTGACTGTGCGATCAATGAAAAATGTTGCAGTGTTGACGGAGGACGGGGTATTTGCCCTCTTTTTTTGTCACCACCCTGGGGGATTTGACAGCTCAAGAGTCCCCACCCCTGGGAGTTTGCCATCCAAGGCAAGAATAATGCTAATTCCCGGGCGTGAGGTCAAGGAACGGGGGGAGGGGGGTTGGGCGCAGCTGGAATTGACTGATGCATAAACTTTATGATCTCAGTGATAAAATAATCATATGTGCTGATTCCTCTCTTTCTAAGTCAAACGCCATTCTTTACATGTGACAAATGCAATGGGAGTAAGCAAAATCTATTGTTTTTGCTCATTAGCATAAGATTCATTCAGTTTTGTTCCTGGCCTCAATGTAGGCGCAGACCTAGGTTAAATATTGACCAATTTCCTAAACGTGTGCATGTCAAAGGCGCAACTTTCTAGCGGGGTGTGGGGACATGTGCTCCTGGGAATTTTTTTGCATTTGACCTCCCTTAAGTCACCTTTTCTGGCTTTTGGAGTCATTCTGGCAGGATATTGGCCAGATTTTAACTTAGAAAGTTTTTTTTCCTCATCAAAAAAATATATATAAATTTTACGAAAAATCTGACTGTTTTTGTTAAAACTGAGTGGAAACCAGTGTGGATGCTTGCTTGTAATGACCCACTTAAAGCAAAGATTTTGCAATAAATGTCTTCATAGAGCCAAGGGCTGCAACGGATGACCACACTGAGGGGTTTGCAGTTGTGGGTTCAAATTTTACCATTGGGTTGTTTCTTAAGAAAATTAATTTTGCTCCTGTTTGTCCCCCTAATTGAGAAGGACAGAGGGGTTAGGAGCCTGGGAGAATAGGAAGAAGGAGGAGTACAGGAGGTCAGAGAGTATGGGGGAGGTGGGAATTCTAAAAGGGTGGGAAGTGGGAGAAATAGGGAGAAAATATTATGCAAAAATGCTTTATATTTTTTTTGAAAGGGGCTAATGGAAGGAACCCAAGAAGTAAGGGATGGGAACTGCCAATCCAGTGTACCAGAGGTGGGAGTTTTGGTGGACCTTCTCGTTCTCCCCTGTTCCCTGCTCCCTCTCTCACCCACTGAGGGTAACCCTTCAGCGGCTTAGGTCTTGTGCCTAGCATCCCGATCAGGAAGGAGGAGAAGCAGTGCTTCTACTGTAGGTTTTTTTGATGCTTCATGCCACAAAATGGAGTTTGTGAACCCTGGGCTTCTAATTCCTAGTGGCTTGTAATGCACTGTTGATTTCTCAACACTTCATGTTCCAAATGTGACCAATGTGAATAATTTTCTAATAGTCCATGTATATATATTCAGGAGAAAAGGTTTTGAGAAAATCATGAATAAATTAACCAGCAAGCTGTGGCTTGAGTAATATATATTTGTTTATTCCTGGTTATGTCAACAGAAACGAAGACCTATTGGGACTGTTTTTGAAATCCTCATTCCGATTGTTGTGATGGGCATTCTTATTCTAATTCCATTGTAAGTATATTCACATGCATTTAACTGTATATTTTGCCAGCAAGTGTACATTTTGTACATTTACAAATTGTGGTAAAAAATTGTAGATTACTCTTATTTTTCTGCTGTGAGAACAGGAACTGCAAGAACTTTGCTGTGGATCAGGCACAAGTTGGGAAGTTTTATGACAGGCAATTGCACCTTTTTTTTTAATAAAAAAATACCACTAAAACATTTTCTTTTCCCTCTATTAGGACAGCACCTTCAGCACAAGACGAATGTTTTTGTAAGTGTCATTCCTTAACAAAACTGAAAAATTCAGTAATATTTTGAAGCTGTAATGAGGTACAAAAGTGTTGAGACACTTCTGTAAAATGGCCCCTAAATTTTGCATGTGGACATCCCCTTCCCCTGTGTACCCCCACCCGCTTTCCCCCAAAATTGATGTTTTATTTAAGAAAAATTATATTTGCCATAAAGTGAACCATATATATGTGAAACTTAATGCCACAACAGTGTGTTTTGCTTTCTTTTAGCTGTATATCAATCAACAAAGATTGATGTTAGCAACATGAAGTACGATGGTGGAAAATTGGCTTTCTTCCCACAAACTGAAATAGGTATCAGTTTTTGATTCCAAGTTAGATTATGATGATGATGATGATAATAGTGATAACAATAATAACACAGTTGAAGCTCTTGTAAGTGACCACCTCTGAAATTCGAAAAAGTAATTGTAACTAGAACACACTGCAGAATGCTACTTTAGATTATGGTGATAATGACGACATGATGATTGAAAATTAATGCTTATGCAAATTTTGGGGGGATAAACAAGGCTTTTTTTGGTCAATGTGAAAGTGGTGAATTGTATTCAAAAGTGAGTTAAGGATTAAGAAATCAACTCACTTATTGTTTTTAAATAGTTTTGCACATAATATTTTGACACAATATATGTCATTCATACTTACTTTAATTCTTTTTAGTGTCGAAGTTGATGGCAAGAGTTGAAAACATTACAGGTTTGGAAGCTGTTAGTACCAGTAACACTACTGGCAAGCCATGGTCATCTGGGGCTAGTATGGCTGCTGAAGTATCTGAGAAAGATCAAAACTACTATTTCGGGGGTAAGCGAATCCAAAATGCCTAACCCAAGAAAACAAAAAATAACAACAAACAATTTTACAAAGACAAAGCAAGAAGAGAAGCAAACAGACAGAATAAAAAAACAAAACAAAATAGAAATGCAGTGTTGGCCGGAATGACAGTGCTACAAGTTACAGAGCTTATAATTCTGGCAATTGTATTCACTGAGGAAAATCTCAGTCAGCTGTACAGTGAAACCTCTATTAAGTGGACCCCCATTTAAGCGGACACCCTCTATTAAGTGGACCCTAAGCCAGGTTCCGAAATTAATGTCTTATATATTTCCCTTCTTATGAACCCCTATTCAGCGGACACCTCTATTAAGCAGATGCAGGCACTATAAAATAAATTGTATTTGGCTAATTTCTATTGTTAATAACCTCCATTAAGTGGACACCAGACTGAATTGTCTTGACAATTAAGTAGTAGTGGATTACATCCTTGAAATACGTACTGTTGTCAATTAATAAAGAAAAATCAATACATTTATAGCTGTCAATAAACTGTAGATTAGACGGAAAGTCTTTGCACGAAGTACAGCACCGCTTCCTTTAAGCTTCCTTAGCTTCCTTAACAACGTGGAACTTAATCACAGTACAGAGTATCACCGTTGAAAGTTAATCGTTAAAAAACATTGCTCAATTTTTGCAAACCTTAAGCTGACACCCTCTATTAAGCAGACACTTAGGAAGGTCCTAAAGGTGTCCTCTTAATAGAGGTTTCACTGTATTTTACATTACCAACCTCAAAATTGTGTACCAAGGGTATTAGACAAATATCGTCCTTTTTTATTTCAGCCATTGAGTTTTTAATTGATGATGAGGACAGTCTTCCAAAGCAAGTCAAGTATGCCATTCGCTTGAGGTCTGAGGTATATTCACCATGGAACACAGACTCGACTTATCCACAGTTTATTCCAGATAGCCCTGATACATGGTAAATAGAATGATAAGCTCTCAACGTATTGAAAGCGAAATGTCAACTCGTAATCTTAGACCACATGTAGAACAAAAGTGGGCATTGATGGAAAAACTTGGAGCCACTTAAAATGGATTGCAGTTGTGGATTTTGAACTTGCTAGCCAAGTAGTTTTCAAAGTTCATTTTTGTTGGTTGACACAAAGCTTTGATTTTGTTTAGTGTCTCTATGACTGAAGAAATAAACCCATTTTTTTATGTTTTAGGCCAGGTTCAAATGTTGAACTTCTAGTATGCAAAATGAGATGCTACCCTTTGGTTTTCAGCATATTACAAAATGGAATAGTATCTACTGACGTTTCAGCTGACGTTTGAGCTTTGAGAGCAAGGGCCTAACTACTGTACCACTTTATCCTGTTCTTTTTTTTCCTCAGGAGCCAATATGATTACAAGTTTTTGCCACTTCAGTATGCAATTGATACTGCTATCATGCAAATGCAAGCTGCATTGTCACATGGCATTCCTGTGAAAATGAAGGCGAGTATATAAATTATGCAGTCATGAATGGTTACATGTAGGCCTTCACTATTAATTTCACCGCGTAACTTGTTAATTTACGGTAACAAAAACCTCATGGTCTTGAGGATTGGGGTTTTAGGAAGTTTGCCTTTGTCATCGTCATCTTTATTATCACTACCATCTTCATCATCATCCTTGTCATCATTGCCATCTTCATCATAGCCATCATTATCATCACAGTTAGTGCCATCATCATCATTATCATCGCAGCCATCTTACCATCCTCACCTTCATCATCATCATCATCATCGTCATCGCCATTTCCATCATCATCACCATCATCAATTTCATCATCATCATTTTCATCATTGCCATAATCATTATTGTCAATTTCTGGAGTTGCTATAAATTTGTCTTGTTCTTGGTTAGCTTGTTCTTATATTATATAATCTTGTTGCACAAACCATAACTGACTTTGTGTTTTTCCTGCTGGTACAGATTTTTCCTTACCCAAACTATACAACAGATTATGCGATGAATATGGTATCCCTGTTTATGCCACTGCTGGTTATGTTGGGCCTGATGTATTCAGCTATGACAATTATCAAGGTAGTACAGTTACAATGGAATCCTCTTCTCGTCATAATTGTTTTGTGCTGAAACATTTTTAATTCCCTTAGTTCTCAGAATAACAATGTTTGCTTGGGCAAGGTGTATTTCTTAGTATGAAACAAAACAAAGTTACAACGTCTGATGAAAAATTTTCGGGCTTCTTTACCCTTTAAGCTCCAATATCCACATACAAATTCTCCAAACTGATCTCTATACATTTTGTTAAAGAATAAGTTGAGAGAATTTGATGAAAGATCAAAGCATTTTCTCTTAGGTGATCAATTTATTAATTCTCATAACCAAATCTCTTGACAATCAATGGATATGGTTAGGAGAAAATTGATGTTGGACACCATTGGGACTTAAAGGGTTAATATCACGGGCTCCTAATCCATTACGTGTACATGTATTTTGGTATCAGTGTATTGTGGAGATTTCTCTTTCTAGTATAGCATAGTTTTGGCTCGTATTCTGTGGAAACAGGTGATGAACGTTTTCCTTACAAGTGTAGTTGGGTTTGCCCCATAAAAAGAACTTTTTAACGATTTTTTTGCTATTTAAAACTAGTATAAAGCTGTGCTGTTTAGTTCATTTGAAAAATGTTAGCAATACATTATTAGTACTAGCCTATGTGGTTGTATTTAAAATTGGAGGTTGGTTAGAGGTTTTGACTAAACTTTCTGTTATATGTATGACTTACATGTACTATATATGTTATGTGGAATAATTTTGCTAGGAGCTGGTTCTTGAGAAACAGAGCCGCTTAAAGGAATCAATGAAGATGATGGGACTGCCAAACTGGGTTCACTGGAGTGCATGGTTCACGAAAAACTTGCTGTTCCTTCTCATCTCTGTTGTTATATTTGTCATTGTACTCAAGGTAAGTTAGATTAATGGGGGAGATTGCATCTCTCAGTACAGTTGTTTGTAACTTTATTAAAATCGTTTGAGCAAAGTAATCTCGTAAACAATATGTGTTCTTTCACTTACAAATTTTAAAATGGGCAAAGTCCAACATCTTCACGTGCAAATTGTGTGTATGAGTTATTTTTATAATCCTGTTTACTATATTACTGTGTCATAAGTCCAATTCCCTCACGTACGAACCACGAAAGGGGGCGAAGTCCAACACTTTCCCGTACCAGAAGTGTGACTGCACATCTCATATTGGCTTTTCAAGGTAATAGTAACTTGAACGTATGAAGACCAGTTTCGTTTTTTTTAAGGCATTGGCAATGCCCTAAAAAAGGCTCTTGTCTTTTAAGAAGCAATAGCTTTTAAAACGTGAAGAATTAAGTTGTCAGAGTTAAAGACTGTTTCACTGAGTAGAATCGCACGTGAAAACCTCGTGAATGATGATGCAACCATCTACCATAATGATAAAAATCCTGGTATTTCGTAACTATTCGGTATTCGATGAACCACATTTTCTTAAGAAACTCCGAGGAAACCTTAGAGTTTTCCTTCTGATCTACGTTTGGTGAGTTGATATTTATTGTACTTTAACAATTTGTTTAACTTGCACCAGATGTATCACTCAGGGAAAGACAGAGCGGGAAAGTGAATATATAGCATGAGGATCGGCTCAGCTGAGCGTTTCGCGTTTTCATTCATTTACCCCAGTGCCCAATTTTGCACAAAAACCCAGGCCACATTTAGGATGATAAACGTGGATTCATCACTCTTGGTAAGGTTACACTGAAGCATTCAAAATAGCTCATGCACGTTAAACGTGTCTATGTTTCTTAAGGAAATGTATGGAGATCAGTGTAGAGAATTTGTATGTGGATATTGGGGCATAACAAATGTAGCCACTGTGACCTGCAGATTGTTCAGGTAATTCGCCTTGTGAAGGATCGACAATCACATGTCAGTATTTTACGTACTTTTGAAAGTTTTCCTTACTTTAGTTTTGTTTTTATTCTTTCTGTAGGTCCTGGTGTTTAAACATTCAGACGTGACTGTGTTATTAGTTCTGTTTCTCCTTTACATCTTTGCCAGCATCTTATTTTGCTTCTGTGTTAGGTAAAGAATTATTTTTCCTTAATTTTGTTTGATTGCAACTTGTTTTGTGCTTTTCCCAACATGGGCCTTCACCGCTAAATAAACGACTTTATTGACTTGCTCCCCGCCGCCAGAGCGCCCCGGAGAGCTTGCTTGCAGCCTAGCAAAGCAACAACTCTGCAACTCGTGGCAAAATTTCAGAAATTAAAGAAGGTGTAAAAATACGGCCGAATTCAGCTATCGCTGTCGTGGTCCTCTATGCTCCTTACAGACAGAGGCCTGTTGCACTGTCTTCTGGTCCCACCTCACTTAAAACGCACTGTAGTGTGTACTTAATGTACTTATGGCTTGGGATCTAATGCTAACCGCGGTGGTGAGAGCACTCGCTCTCTACCAGTGTGGCCTTGGGTTTATATTCCGGTTTCGATGCCATATGTGAGTTAAGTTTGTTGTTGGTTCTTTCCTTTGCTGCGGGAGGTTTTTCTCCCGGTACTTCGGTTTTTCCCTCTCCTCAAAAACCAACACTTGAAACTCCAATTCAATCTGGAAAGGACGAACACGTTTAAATGAGTTTTTAAGAACTCTTAAGTGTTTCGTGGGTAAACAAATGACAATTTTTTTTCATATCCGCTTATCTGAAGCCACGCATGCGCACAGCTAGGCAGACAGGCGTGGACCCACTCTCCCAGAGCTGGGATTTTTTTTCTCTCGATTTGCAGCGCCGACCAAAAAGATAAAGGCTGTGAGAATGAGAATGGCTTGAACCGTCTTGATATTTGAGACTTGATTTCTATCTTTGCAGTGTGTTCTTCTCGCGTCCTGTTCTTGGAATGCTTCTTGGTGCGCTAATCTGGATCGCAACACTGGTACCCTACTTTGTAGTGTATAGTGACAGAAAATACAAAGCAATGACCAGGTACCAAATACATGTTTACTTAACTAGTAATAACCAAAGGTTAAGAAGTGCAAGTGAGTTTCATGCTTCTGATCCAAGGTCAAAACGTCCTTGCTACAAAGCTGGTGTTTTGTGTAAGTGATGCGTGATAAAGGGTCAAAACGCGTGTGTTTAGATTACGAGTGATAGACGGCTTATCGGCTTATCAGTTTCAAGTCAAATTTATAGGAACCAAAATACAACAATAAAGACGAAGGACATTTTTCTTTTAACATTGATAAAATCGTGACCCCTTTTCGATGTCGAATGTCGCGCCATTTTGAGCCTCCACTCTTTAAACTACTTCCTAGAAAGAACCCTAGTCTTCCTGTATGACACTACTATGTGATGATAATACTTTACCCTGCGAATTCAGACGTCTCTCCCTCCTCGCCCCTCGCCGCTAACTTCCTGCAGGCATGTGCGCAAATTTCTTCTTAGCAGCTTTACATCTTCCGCTGTCGCCCAATAGTTTCTGATTCAAATTCTGCGCGCGCGTATGTAGTATTAGCGTACGTTGTAACGAACTTGTCATGGGCAATTTTATCTGAGGAGTGCCGCACATGCCGTGCGGTACAAACTAACTAGTAGGCTGATTCAGCAACAGAACGCGAACGTCAGTTGACTGCGCGCGCAAATCAAACAACTGGCTTGGCCAATGGCAGAGCGGCAAATTGGGCACCGAAAGTCGAGTTTAGTCCTTTCCGCGCGCTTTCCCGACGTCAAATGACGTTCCCGTTCTGTTGCTAAATCAGCTTAGTTATAAATTGCCAAGTCAGATCTTACGTTGATATCAGATCACCTAGATTAGAACTCTCTAGTCCTTCTATTGCCCACTCTGCCGATGGGCGTGCATACACATCAACTGGTAAACTTCAGTCTATGTACATTTGGATTTCCTTAATTTACAGATCAGAGAAGGCTGGGGCTTGTCTGTTGCCAAACACCTGTTTGGGTCTTGCAGCCAAACTCTTCGCGCAGTTTGAGACCATCCGAGTTGGAATCTCTTGGAAAGAGGTTTCCGAGTACCCTTCACCCGATGAGAATTTCAATATGGTTTGGGTGTTTTGCATGCTGTTAGCCGAGTGTGCAATTTTTGGCACTATCACCTGGTGAGTGGACCGTAAATGTGAAGCAAGACACGAATGATTACCGTAAACCTCCGTTTGATAAGCCCCGGGCTTTATACATCTTCGTAAGGCTTTTCACGGGGGGCTCTCGAACAGAGAAGCGTAAATTCGGGGGGAGGAGGCTTAGTAGTGTAGTACATACAACGGACCACATACAGAGCAAACCGGCGAAGGGAGGGGGGGTGGGGTTGACCAGGGGGCTTATAACCGAAATAACGAAACAAGATATAATAGTGCTGATTAAAATTCGTTCTGCATTTATTGGTTTTTAATTTTAAAAGCTTCTAAACTTCATTAAAAATTCAAACGTCATGATCATTTCAATACAGGCTCGATGGGGGCTTCAGATGTTCTTTTTTGTTCACAATTAGATGGGCCCGTGCATAAATGGAGACTTGAGAGTAAGGAGTTTATAAGCGGCAATTTACGGTAGTCAATGTAGGTCCAAATGGCTAGAACACGAAAGGGAAAGAATTTCTCTTTCATCGACATCACCTTTTTCTTCACTAGGTATGTTGAGGCGGTATTTCCCGGAGAGTATGGAATCCCCAAACCATTCTACTTTCCAAGTATGCCGTCATATTGGTGTGGTTTTAGCAGCCCCAAGGTAAATCCCGACAAGTGACAACAGGAAGGAGGAGTCGTTACGTCACGTTGCCATGGTAGCAAAACTTTTGGATGACAACAAACCGAAAAAGTCACCTAAAAGTCTATTGGCACTATTTTAAACTTCACTGATCTTATTCAATTTCATTTAATTTGTCAAATCTTTGCGAAATTTTCTTTCGGACCGTATCTATCGTTATCTAAGTTAAGAAAAGGAAAGCGACAATTTTTGTATGTGTTCACCTACTCCATAAAGCGGGCTCTTGAAATTAGGAAGTTTCATGTCGTAGTGGTGTAACGCCAAATGTACAAAATGGCGTGATGCACGTGCAAAGTTGTTGATTGTTAATATAAACATATTATTTTTTGCCGTTCCGCCTTGCCGTCGTCGCTGGTTTTGTTGTCATCCAGAAACAAGTCCATACTACCATGGTAACGTGACGTCACACTTCTCCTGACCTCCCTATTAGAAAGTTCCTAAGGAGGAAGGATTGATTATGAAAATAATTATGCTGAGAGTACCTTAACAAATGAATCCGTCAAGTACTACTGTGCCTATTGACGGAGGCTTAAAGTATAGAACTTGAATGTTGAAGAAATAAATTTCTGTGCTAGTATTAAGAATGTTTTTTCCTCGTTTGTTTTAGCTGAAGTGCCCGTGCGACAGTGAGGTATGTCCAAATAAAAAATGAATTTCATGATCGTACTTTCTGTCACTCTGCCAGGCGCGGTTATGAAACAGGTCAAGTGGCTGTTGATGTCTACTGCAATGTCTGTGGAAACGTCAATTGGCACCATGAACAGCCTAGACTGCAAAACAGTCCGTATTTTCGCCTAGGTTAAGTGCGCGCGCGTGATCTGTGAAAGAAAAGGCCGGGAGTGAGGATAAAAGTGGAGAGTGAGACTGAGGAGAGACGTGAAAGAGAGATACGTTTTTCTTCTCCTGCTTCACACGTGTGAGGCCCACGCGCTTTCGCGAAAATATCACGCAGGCCCTTTCACCTTGCAAAACTGATCTTGAGGAAAAACCCGACTGTTTTTCAGTCTACCAACAGCCCTATTAAAAACTACACTCACCCAGATAATCGTATCCAAACTAAAACTTACGCGCCATTTATATGGAGAGAAATTGTCCCGGGAACGAGGGTCACCATCCCAGCCGAGTCAACGTAAGCGAGCGGTCACTGGAGAAAAAAAGTTGACCCATTCATCCCATCCAAGAGCTGACAACGGTGCTCGCACCTTGACCGAGTTGACCCGGCTTGGCGAGTTAGTATGTTTATGTGGAGAAAAGTTGGCCCAGCTGCGAGGGTGACACTGCCGTCAAATAAGGGTGACCCGGAAAAACGTGTGACCCTGCTGTCAAATAAGGGTGACCCGGAAAAACGTGTGAACCCTGCCGTCAAATAAGGGTGACCCGGAAAAACGTGTGACCCTGCCGTCAAATAAGGGTGACCCGGGAAAGCGGGTTACCCTGCTATCAAATAAGGGTGACCCGGGAAAGCAGGTTACCCTGCTATCAAATAAGGGTGACCCGGGAAAGTAGGTTACCCTGCTATCAAATAAGGGTGACCCGGGAAAGCAGGTTTACCCTGCTACCAAATAAGGGTGACCCGGGAAAGCGGGTTACCCTGCTATCAAATAAGGGTGACCCCGGAAAGCAGGTTACCCTGCTATCAAATAAGGGTGACCCGGGAAAGCGGGTTACCCTGTCAGCCGAGCTAACTTTTGTTTCTCATGTTCACCTGTATACGGTTCGCCAAGTTTTCTAACTACAGGAAATGTAGGAAAAGTTGGCTCGACCAGTGTAGCTCGAATATTTGAGTGACTACCCCTCCCCTAAACCAACATTAACGCTTACTTTTCACTTAGGGCAAAATGTTGACTTAGGGGACGGAGGGGTAGGTGGGCAGTTGCCCAGAAACGTAAAATTAACCTTATGGGGCATTAACCTGTTTAGTCGTAGACTACAATACAGCGAGTTTAGATCTCTAACTTTTAAATCTGCTTAAATTTGCTGAACAGGAAATGAATGTGATCTTGAATAATAGTGCTGAATCTTCTGATGACGATGCGGATGGAAATGCAGATGTTGAAGATGAACCGGACTTGCCAGTTGGTGTTGCCATTAAAAGGCTTCGGAAAGTTTTCAAGGTACATGCATGTTGTTCTTACACTAATTGCCCCATGCTAGGGAATCCGGATTCTGGAATCGCGGAAATTTTTGCCCGTGGAATAAGGGGTTCCTGGGCTTTGGAATCCGAAATACAGCTTAAGGAATCCCGAATCCCAAGTCCCACTGACAAAAAATCTGGAATCCACGACGTGGAATCCAGAATCCAAGAATGTCTTGAATTCTCTTGCATGGAGCGATATTTTCACCCTTCCCCCATTTTTAAATGAACAACGGTGAAGATGTGTTTGTTGTGGCTCAAGACTTGTTATGTACCAGACTGCTAGCAGTCTCTCTTTTTCTTCAAAATTAGTGAGGGGAATGTACCGCGCTCGAGTGTCGCAGTCACGCGCGTGGTCATTTTACTATCTCGCGCGTTTCGCTCGACAGACTAAGGGCGCCTTCCATTTGTCAGAACTGACCGGCCAGCCCTTCCCCATCGTAATGAGAATTTCACTTTTAATCTCAACTAACCATCCACATCAGTCACATCGTAAATATCATGCACAAAGGAGATGGTTTTTCAGCAAAACCTCTCCGAGAAAGCCTATTTCATCGCCAAAATGTCTCGTCTGGCCATGGTCCGGCCAGCCAGTTCTGACATTTGGAAAGAGCCCCAAGAGAAAATTAGGGACTGCTCGTAGTCTAGTTATGTATATGTATAATAACGAACTTCTAGTCTACATTTGTAACACACTTTAAGAGAAAAATAATTCGATTGTTCTTTCACATCTTCCGCTTTTAAACCTAACATTTTACGACATTTTTATTCCAAAGGGATCTTCAGGCTCGAAGGTGGCCGTAGATGATCTGTCGCTGAATATTTTCAAAGGTCAAATAACAGCTCTTCTAGGACACAACGGCGCAGGAAAAACCACGACCATATCGATGTTGACGGGACTGTTTCCGCCTACAGACGGCTCTGCTGACGTTAATGGTTTGAGTATCATTTCAGACATGGATGCTATTCGAGAGAGCCTTGGTTTGTGTCCCCAGCATAATGTACTGTTTGACAGGCTGACAGTCAAGGAGCATCTTGATTTCTTTATCAGCTTAAAGGTATGAGTTAAAGCAGCTTTCACTGAAGTTTTTTTTTCGGGCATACGTTTTAAGCAAAGGGAAGCGATAAAGAGTCTCGCCGAATTCGCGAAGTTGGGGAAAATTCAGCAGATTTTGAGGCCTTAAAAAGTCATTTGCGAACTTTCATGAACCCCTCGAAACAGTGTCTCGTCACAATTCAAACACCTCAAAGTTAGGGGTCAAAAAAGCTTGGTACAGTAATGTTTCATAGAACACTACTCCTAATAAAAATCTTTGCATCGGCTTTGGGTTCATCCCTTCATCTCCTATTTCCCCCTGCAATGTTGTGCCCAAAAAAAGTGAGTTTTGAGTTTTGCTTATATCACGTTAAACATACCGCCATTGTGGGCCCCATATTTTCGGTGCTTGGTAAGTGATAAAACACTTTTTCTCGTGTTTGCCGTATTACTGAAGTTGTTTTGTTAGAGTTCATCCCTTCTGAGTAACAATTGGCTCATTTGTAGGGCAAGTTTGGTGTAGAAGCTGTCAATGAAGTGAACGAAATGATCGGTGACATTCAGCTGGTGGATAAGAGCAATACTGTGTCATCCAAACTGTCTGGAGGAATGAAAAGAAAGTTAAGGTATCATAACAAACTCATTAAATGTTGCTTATAGTAATTCCAGCTGAACAAAACAGTTTTCACGGTTACAGCAATTTCGAGAAAGGTTGTCGGAAAAAGTGCACGCGACAATCCCGAAAGGTATTGTGGGTGGTTTTGAATTCACTGTTTTTCAAAGGAGTTTGAAAGAATGACACGAGAGGCCATGGACTTATGTTTGCGATTGCTAAAAGAAAGCAACAAAAGTAGGTTCGACAGCTACAGTGTCAGGAACAGTGTATTGATCATATCCCATATTACCTTTCGGGATTGTCGCGTGCACATTTCTCTTGCGACAACCTTTCTCGAAATAGCTGTATTTAGGAGGCAGAGTGACAGACTGGCCAGCGCGTCAGACTCACAGGTTCGAGACCCGCTCTGGTCACTTGCGAGATTTGTTCTCGGTTGTCCCGAGTTCAAAACCTAGGCTACGCGTACACGCAGTGCCTGTAAAGTACAATGAATGACAAAAGGGTTGAGACACTTTCATTAAACGGCCCCTTTTTGCACAGTGGACTTATCTATCCTCTCCCACTGTGTCTCCCCCCCCAAATAAAAAACAACAACAACAACAACTGTCCAACAAAGAATCAAACTTGTCTTTTAGACCCGGCTTTCTTCAACTGCAAACAACATTGATTCAGGGGTGGGGGGATTTACAACCTTTAAACAAGATTGGATTATATATGAATGAACTTGTTGCAGGAGCCCATAACCTGGAGCGAGCAACTTCCATGCGCTCGTGTCACGGCGTTTTCACGGACCAGTTTGTTTTTAGAACGGTTTTTATGCGAATTTTGAATATCGTTTAAATTCCACAAACCAGTCAGCAAAACCTACAGACCTAAAAAATGATATTTTTTGCCTTTTAAGAATGTTTAGTTTTCCTTTTTAATATCTTATACTTCAAATGCGCTCATAGACATGGTGAGATTCTATTTTCGCGGGAAAAAGTACCCTAAAATGTGTCTAAAAATATACTGGTTCCTAAAAATTCCGTGACATAGGCCTAGTATGGGAGTCGCTCGCTCCCAGTTATGGGCTCCTGCTTGTTGCTAAAAGCGCTTGGTTTAGACAAGTATGTTAGAGTGATCAGCACTGAATTTCTCCTTGTAATATCAATGCTTTGTAAAACAGAGTGGTCATGAAAATTACAGACGTGATGACACAAGATGAATTTGCTTGATATTTTGTCAATTTCTCCCCAATGCTTCTGTGGGAAATGAACAGGGGTAACAAATGAGAATTCAAATTTTGATCCTAGGGTTTAAAGGGTTAAAACCTTGCCACTGCCTCATATGAAAACTAAATATTTTCGTATTCTTTTCTTACATCCGTCATGATTTCCTTATTTTCTTAGCAATGTATCCGCGAGTTCCCCATAGATTGCACTTAAGGTTTTTGGGAAACTGCCCATCTACCCCTCCCATAAGCGACCATTTTGCTCTAAGTGAGAAGTAAGTATTAATGTTAGCTTATGGGAGGGGTAGGTGGGTAATTTCCCAGAAACCTACATTGATCCGATGTTTATATTCACAGTTGCGCTATTGCCCTTATTGGAGGATCTGAAATTGTTTTCTTGGATGAGCCCACCTCGGGAATGGACCCCTACGCCAGACGAGGCACCTGGGATTTGCTACTGAAACACAAAGCAGGACGAACCATCATTTTGACCACTCACTTTATGTAAGTGTTGCCCAGGGGCTTGATATACATCGGTGGATGTAAGATGCGTTGTCAAAAAGCACAGTCATCGATACAAGATTAAAAAAAAATCTTAAGAAAATTATTTAGTTCAGATCTTGAAATTCCGGTCTTAAGGTGCTTATTGCTAATATCATAAAAAAAGAAGAAAATTCCCCCGCTGTGAGTGATTCTGGCTGTAATTTATAAAACGAGCAGGAGTTTATTATCCGGTTTAAAAATTCGAGGCTTCATCTCCTATTGATAAAACACGATTCCGATTTTTTTGAACGGCTTCAAAAGCTCTGATATAGATTAACTAATTCTTGCACTTATATTTAGATTTGGAGTTATTTTCCTCCAAAAAATTGGACGTAACGTTTAGGCGTGTCTTTATTAGCTACACTTATTAAACAGGAATTTCTTTTGTGTTTTGTTTTTTCTTTATGAATTATTAATGAGTTTTTGAAGCTGGAAGCGAAACAGTTTTTGAATTCAAACAAAAAAATAGGACGTGAATAAACCACCCGACGGTCTTTTTTTTGTGAACTTAAGTATGTTTTCTTAACAATGCAGAAGGGCCAAAAGATCAATGGCGATATACCGATTTTTGTTTTCTTTTTTCAGGGATGAAGCAGACTTGCTTGGAGATCGAATCGCTATTATGGCTGATGGGCAGTTACGTTGTTGTGGAAGTTCTTTGTTTCTCAAAAGCCGGTTAGCTGCATCGTTTTTAATTACTTGTTATGTAACAGCAAAATATTTCTTAGGATCACACTAGAAACGAAGTTAGTTACAAGTAAGCACTTGATTCAAGTATACTTGGAAATCTTAAGTCGCTCTGTAGAAAACATGGCTTCACACTTGTTGACGAAGTCTATCACTTGAAGTTAAAGCTGTCAATCTCTCCGATCATGAGAATGTTGGAACCGCCGCACGTGCACATCGTGCACATGGCTTCCATATCTTAAGATGATGTTACATGGAACGATTCGCAACGACGATTTTTAGCGCAACAAAGCCTTGCAACATTGTTGCGACATTGTTTCGAATAGTTCCAACATTGTTCCAACATTGCAACGCTGTGTTGCGTTAAAAATCGTCGTTGCGAATTGTCTCATATAACATCACCTTTATTGGTCAAGTGTGTTCTCAAGTGTGGTGCAGACCATAGTTCGGCTTCTTTGAACTACGAACATTTCCATGGTCACCCTGCAAGTAAAGTTGAAGTAGCTACATTTTACCCCTTCGCACTCAAAGAAGGCTCCAAGTTCACTTACCTTATACTTAAAGCTCTAGTGTGAAGCCAACAATTACCATCAGTGTTGTATGTTTATTTTATTGAGTGCATTTATGCCATAACTAGCTTTTACTGGTGTTTTTTTGGTTGCTGTTTCTAGATATGGCGTGGGGTATCACTTAACTTTGGTCAAAAGAGAAAGCTGCGATGAAGATGCCATCTCAAACCTGGTGAAAAGCCACGTGCCAAAAGCAGAAATTATCAGTGCGGTCGGTACAGAAATCCAGTTTGTTCTGACTAGTGAAAGCTCACAGAATTTTGAGGCGCTTTTCTCGGAGTTAGAAAGTGAGTAATTTTTCACCTAGTCAGAGATGTTATATTTTCCATTTCAAAATTTAAAACGCGCTCTTTTAGCTGTCTGTATGTTTGAAATACTTCCCTGCTTCCTCAATGGCTACGTTCTCGTAAGGTTTTTCAATTTCTCAATGTTCAAGCCTTAGAAAACAGCCGACATTTTGCAACGCCTTCACTGGTTTCTACGCGACATAACGACCAAGAAAAGCGGGCAGAAATTCCATAATGATGACGCGTCACTCTGGGTAGTGCTTTTGATTGGTCGTGCCGCGTGGGAAATTTGCTTCAACCAATCAGAAGCACTACCCAGATCTAGGTAGCGACGCATCGTCACTATGGAATTAATACGCTCGTTTGTCAGACGTCATTTCTCGGGGAAACCAGTGGTAGTGTCGCCATATGCCGGCTGTTTTCTCAGACTGTGGATGGTTCAATCATATGTTATTCTAAAGCTTCGGATCAGTATTCGGGTATATGTACGACTTATAATCGGTCGGTATGACGCCCAGTGATGTATTCGCATCAACTAATACGCATACTTTGTCTCCAGACAATCTAGAACAATATGGAGTAACAAGTTTCGGCGTCTCGGTGACAACATTAGAGGAAGTGTTCATGAAAGTTGGGGAAGGTGCTGAGAAAACACTACATGACCAGTAAGTATTCTATATCTTAGAAAAGCTTAGAATTTGTAAAAAATCGTAAATCGTTTTCTCATGTCTGTTGTATTGCTGTATCGATGGCAAAGCAATGGCGGCGGTATGTGTGTTATCCTGTAGGAGTTCCACTCCATATCTTGGATAAAAACAAAAATAAACTAAAACAGCTGCTGTTCACATGAGTGAAAATGCTCTATACGTGTTGTTTTCGCACAACAGTAAAACGTAAGTTACCCTTGAAGCCCTTGTCAACATTTTCGTGGTAGTTCTTCACAGTGATATAACCAATTTATACAAAACCACTCTGTAGCTTTGCTCTGATCACCCAAAATACGAGTTCGCACAAAGACACCTTATAGTATTCTATGTCTCCTTTTTTAGAGTTGTCGATCAAAAACATCGTGGTGAACAAGTATCTGGTGGAGCAAGCCAAATTCCTATACCTGAGGCTGACGCAAGCTCAGTCGGAGGTAAGTTTGTATAATTTCCGTCTGTAGTAATCGGAAGTTGAAGCTACACTTGCACTGGACAAGTTTTCCAACTCACTTGAAGTCTTTTTGCAAGATTTCAGTCGAAACGCATGACTATGGCTGACGTTGATTCTTCGAATTTCATTTTTGCGTTCTGAAATTGTCGTACTCTTGCAAGGTTCTTGCTGTTTGTTGATAACTCGAATCAGTAGAAACCAACTAGCATACTATCATGAATTCTGCACTCTGATTGGCCAACGTACTCTCCATCCAGTTCTATCTACAGGCCATTTGCATGATGGCATCATTTTACTACTACGACCAGAATCCTTTTCGTTTTTCTATACATGTTTGAATTTGGTAATCGCAGCGAGATTTAAATGACAAAAGCCGTAATTTGCACAAGAAAGGAAAACCCTGATGGATTCTGGTCGTACTAGTAAATGATGTCATCGTGCAAATGGCCCATTTCGTGAAAGAAAGTGAGAAGGGAGCCGACGCTTTGAACAAAAATAAGACAATGGCAACTTCTTTGGCAAATTGTTTTTAAAATTTTCTGACGAAAAAGTAGTTAAACTTAAAAATGATGCGCCTCCATAAAAGACGGAATTAACATTTTAAATGGAAAGAAATACAAATTTAGTTGTTTATTTATGACAATCAATCAATCAATCAGTCAGTGATTTATTTTAACACGTTACATCGAGGAGCTAAAAAACTCGTTCAAAATACGAACGTGTATAAATGAATCTATAATAATTACAGCTATAAAATGATATTATTCTATTTTAAAAACAACTCAATAAATATATAAAAACTTAACAATAAAGACATAAAATATAAAAAGCTAAAACCTACTAAAAACTATATACAAAAACGTGAAAGGAAAACTGCAAGACACGTTCTAAAAAGCTACAATCTTGCAATTTACTTTTGAAGTCATTTGCATACTTGAGAGGGCGAACTGTTCCATAACTTAGTTGATAAATAAGTCAAAACTTTTCCTTTTAAATTTAGCTGGATTAAAATTAGGTAATTCCAAATTCGAGCCCTCGCCTCATAGCCCATACGGTGCATGCCATTATTTAAAAAGGTTTCTAATATAAGTGAGTCCCGTACCACTTAAGCATTTGAAAAAAAGTATTAACGCCTGATGTAAGCCCCTACAATATAAGGATTTCATGCTAGCCGTGGTGAGCAGCTCATCATACGAAATTGACTTCTTGGTCCGATTAATGGTCTCAAAATATAACAGTTGGCATCTTCCAGTCGATTGCGTTGACCTTTGCTTATGCCTACAAACAAACGACCCTTTCGGGAATGCAGTTCAAAGGCTTGTTTTCATGTATTTTCATCAAACCTTGGTATACTAAACTGAATCAGTTAGAATACTCCTCGTGTCAAAGGGCGCAACTCAGCGCTACGAGCCTCGCTGACTATTAAGTCATAGAAATTCGAACGCGTAGGTCCTTGCGGCTAGTCATTCACGTGCTACAAAACCCGCCATGCTGGAGAGCAAGACACGCACTGGGAGAAAACAAAGTGAAAAAAAAAAGGAAACCGTTTTACAGCAAGGAGCCCAAAAGTGTGACCTCCTTTATTCACTCACATTCTTTCATGCAGACATTAACCAATCAGAAGTCGAGGACAGTTTCCAGCTGGCTTCTGATTGGATTAAATCTGTACGAAAGAATGTGAATAAATCAAAAGCTGTTACACTTTTGGGTTTCTTACTGTTAATGATGTGGGCTGTTTGAGTTTTCTGTCCCAGTGGGTCCTGCGGTTTTGTACCACGTGAATAACTAGCTGCACTGAAAGGGCCTATTGTTAATTAATCAGGAAACGAAGACTAAGGGACACTTTTCAATCGAGCATTGAACTTGATATGTGTAATTTTCTTGACAGAATTTAACACAGGATTAAGCCTGAAATGGCAGCAATACAAGGCAATGCTGTTAAAACGTTTTCTGAATGCTAGGCGAGAGAAGAAACTGGTTTTAACCCAGCTGATACTACCTTTGTTGATGGTTTGCTTGGCATTACTGCTTATAAAGACTCTTCAGGAACCAATGCAGAATGAGCCTCCACGCATACTGAACTTATCCAATTTGAGCATTAAAGGGGCTCCCAACACTGGCTTCTACGCTGACTTCCGTCCTAACGTTGATCCTGACAAAAAGAACGCACTTTTTGAAGTGAGTTGGAGGTTCCCGCGTTCTTTGATAGAGACCTTTAGATTCAAGGATGATGACGACTAGGAGTACGAGATTTGGCTTAGAGTTTTTCGCACATTCTCAAAATATAGACTTCCCGGAAAGCTTCATTTTACCATTTTTGACTAGAAAGTTAGCACTGTTACCTTTAGTGAAGGAGGTTATACCCTCTCTCGATCGTAAAATTATAAAACTTCTAACATTTGATTACTTGTTTCCGCCACTTCGACATTCTCGCTAAAACTCGTGGTAGAGTGAAGACGGCTACCACGTTTTCCCGCCAAAATGAGGCTGGTTCACGCGCGTGCACTCACTACTAAGTATTGAGGAAATCTCGTACTCGTTGTCGTACTTGTCTTGGAATCTATTAAAGGCTCTCTATATTTTAGTTTTAAGCTGTGTTCACACTTTACCGGAAGGCTTTGGCGCCCACACGAAAACCATACCGGAGAGGGCTTCTGTTCCCGCTTACGAACAGTGATTTCGGCGCGATTTCTGTAACAGTAGGGACTTTTAGATCCAACGACGCGACAGCAACGAGAACGTCGCTTAAAAAGTGAATTTGAGTTCTTACAGTCTTTATAGCGATTATTCCTACCCACTTACTTTGTCAAATGTAGGCGAACCCTCCTGAAGGTGAATTTCAAATGACCATATTCAAGCTCAGAAAGAGAAATAAAATTTCATCGTTGCTTGTTTACGTCCTCCATAAAACGTGAATTTAGGCATTTTCACGTCGTAATCGTGCAAAAACGGGAAAGAAAGGTACAAAAAAGTGTGATGCACGTGCAAAGTTGTTGTTTTGCTTATTAAACGTATTGTTTTTGTGACGTTCTCATCGCCGTCCGCGTCGTTGGATCTTAAAGTCCCTAGTGCGAAGCTGCATAGATGTCTAGCGGTCCGTTGTATTATAGAGTCTAACATAAGTTTGATAGGTTATCCTACTTTTTTGACGTGAGTTGGAGATTTCCTCGTTCCTTAACGTCTTTTTCGGGTACTAAATGAACCAAAGAAATATTGACTGGAGATCTGTAGGCGCCAATATCTTATCGCAATTGTGAAATGAAACAATCAGCAGATATTTGAATCAAAATTTTAATGAATAATACTTATTATCATTCGTTGTACAAATAATGGTCTGCTCATGCGCACTGTAATCCAGATCAATTATTTGCCAAAGGTGAAGGCAAGTAATTGATCTGCTCGCCCTGATAAATCACAATATTTTGCTCAACCTGGTGCAATAATTGTTAATTAGTCTGCATGGGGGAATAACTGTATCAAAAGTTAAATCTACGGTTAAATAATTCATCAACCCTGTTGTCTTGTCACGTGTTGAGCTGAGGCGTAGCTTGAGATTTTGAATTTAGGGTCCCGGAAATGTCGTTTCCTGCGTTTTCCGCAGGACATTTTCAGTAAATAAATACAAAGGAAAATGAAACAGTTACTTGTTTATTTTACCTATCTCTAGCATTATGGAATAATACTGAAAATGATAAAGGATATACTAACAGAAAGACACAATATAATGCGAAAAATTAAACAGTCTCCCCATTGTAATGATAAAAATGTTTTCAGGAAAAAAATTAAAAATACATTTTTTTTCCAGATTGCAGCTTTACGCACGGGTGTGTGTGCTTATATGGGCGTTACCCTTCTGTTGAGGTTTACAAAGGCGCGCATGTGACTTAAATAATACCTTTTCATTTGTCATAAAGATCTGTTGTATAATAAAGGCTAACATAACTCTGTTAAAATTGTTATTTTCAGGTGGCTTCTAAACACTTAAAGGACGTAAAAGTAACCTTGAAAGACATTGAATCGGATCTTCATAAAATACAGAGCGGCAACCAAGGAAACAATATATTGGTGGAGGGGAAAAAGTTTCAGTATAAGGACGATGAAAAAGACGTATGCTGTAATTATGAATTTCTGGTCCTGAATGCCAAGTGCAAGAAAGCTGTAAGTTGCTGCCAATCCTCAGTTTGCAACTACTTGATGACAAGGTCAACGTGTTGCGACTGGTTAGCAAAACTATAAAGACCTTTAGTTTCGAGGTCGAGGTCGTTCAAAAAAAAATCAGACATCCCGGAAAGCGTCATCATACTTTTTTCACCAGAGAAGCACGGTTATTATTTTGTTAAATGAGGTTAACCCTTACTTGATCGCAAAATGATTAAACTTCTAACATTTGATAACAAGTTTTCGCCACTACGATATTCTCGCTAAAACCCGTAGTAGAATGACGCTGGCTATCACATTTTCCGGCCAAAATAAAGCTGGCTCACGTGTGCGCACTACTTAGTATTGAGCAAATCTTGTTCTCGTAGTGAGTCGTCCCTGAAGGTCTCTGATACGTTTTTTTGTAGAGTTTGTATGACAAAAAGTCTAGCTCCAAGCAAAAGGAAACTCTTTAATTTGTTTTTGTCAGCACATGACCTTCACACGTCTGCTGGAATCCAAAAATTCCTAAATATAAAACTGCAATTGCACTTTTCTTCATTTGAATTTTCAATAGAAGGTTCTAGGTTTCTTTGATTCCAGTTTCCTTAGGTGTGAATTTTCTTAGTTCATTTGAATTTTTAATCTTAGCCTTTGTCATTATGACAAATAATAATAATAATAATAATAATAATAATAAGAAGAAGAAGAAGAAGAAGAAGAACAAAAACAATCCTATATATTATAAGTGAAGAAAGAGAAAACTATTCATTTACAAATTCTAAAAAATAGAAGTAACTTAACCTTACATAAAAGAAGAGGAAATAGATATAATCAATAATAAAAGTTCAAAATTCTATAAAATTAAGAATTCCATTATGCAGAGATATCAAGATCATACAATCGAATTATACTAATGACGGCTAAACCAGTGTCCATAAAAAGCCCTAAGTATAAAAGCATATAGACACGTATTTCAGATATCCGCACTAGCGACATTTATTTTACAGTCTAATGATTGCTCTATCTTGCTACGAAACGGCGTTCGCGAACCTCTGACGCTTATAATAATAATAATAATAAAAATAATAATAATAATAATAATAATAATAATTCTCAAAGCATAGGATGTAGAACCACCGTAATTTTGTGGCACTCTGCATTAAAAAGGATTAATCTTTCTCTTTTTTTCTTTGAAGTTCACATCAAGCGAATTGACAGCTGAATCTTGCAAAACGAACAAGAATTTTGGTTACAATTACTGTCCTAAATGTATCAACGACGACGGAAGGTAATAAATGATAAGTAAGAATATCGGATCGTAGCAATGTTTATCACTCTCTTCGAAACACGCCTTTGCATTGTTGATTGAAATACGTTTCGCATTTACTGGTATTTATATAAGCTTCAAACGACATAGTAAGTCGAATTCAAGGAAAGAAAAGGTACAGGGGGGCTTTTGTCCGGAGGGGAGGTATAATTGGATGGGATCATAATCGGATGTATTTTTTGCTTACATGTAGATGGGCTTATTACTAGGGGAGGGGGGATAAGTGGTGTCGCTCATGAGCGGTAGTTTACGGTATTCTTTTGTTAATAGGGCGCTTATGGTGATGTTACGTTTTCAAAAATACCCGGATACGTGTAGACGGGGCCTAAACTTATTGCTTTTTTGCCTTTCTCGTTGCCGTCGCCGTCGCCGTCGCCGTCGTGATTGCTTAAGCTTTTAAGCCCCCAGATCCACATACAAATTCCCGAGACTGATCTTCATACATTTCTTTTGAGAGTAGTTGAGAGAATTTGATTTTAAATCAAAGCGTTCTCTCTTTGGTAGTCAATTTAGTAATTCTCTTGATGATCTGCTGATGTTGTTAAAAGAAAATTGTTGTTGGTCACTCTTGGGCCCTGAAGAGATAACACCCTTTTTTTCGTTTTCCTTTCAGCTCGTACTATGAATGCAGAAACATAGGAATTGGTAACACGAAAGTGAACGATTCAATGACATTCTATAATGAATATGTGCTGGAAAAAAGTAATGCTGCTGATTATTTTAACACACACGTTGTGGGTTTTAGCTTTGAGTCACGTGATGGTAACTCGGCTAGTGACCTTGAAAGTATTGACTCGACAGTGTGGTATAGCAGTAAGGTGGGTACGATAGACAGGACACCTTATGAAGTTTACACATTGTAGTATTCCTTATCGCTCCCATGACGTCACGTTCGCCATATTGGTGTCACAAGGTAGTGAAACGGCGGCCATTTTGTTGTTTGAAAGCACGGTCCTGCGGGAGTTGGACTTTTTTCTTATGTTTAAACCTTTTTTAGTTCCAATAAAAATTTTAGTTAGCTTTTGATTAGTTTAGAAGCAATAAAGAAAACTAGCAAGTTTCGAGTTACGTCAAAAAGAACGCAATAATGATCCCTAGCCCTTACTCAACAAGACGCTACGGAGCGTACACTTCGGCGTCGTGGTTGTGGAACTAATTAATTGTAAATGCGGAGGAATAGTAAGAAATCAAATATGGTAAGAGTAAGGTGTGAAATTATGGGATTTGTCAGGATATTCTGAAAAGAGCAACATGCAAGAGGCCTACTTGCCAAAAACTAGCATTTCAGGACAAATTGTCTCCGCGAAATTCGCCCAGTTATGCTCTGATGACTCCATACAAATCCTTCTAAAAAACAATTCTCTATTTCTCTTAGTCACATCAGGCTTCAAAAACAGCATAGCAGTCTCATGTACCGATTAAAGATATGTAAGGCATGGGTAAGGAGTCAATTACGTTGAGCATGGAATTGGCTAAAACTCAAAGTCACGAGTTCGAATGTTTTGAGGATAATTATTCACTGACTATCAGCACGCAGGGATGTCGGATTAATACAAGGAAGTTTAACACCAAAGGAACATAACCTTTACAGAGCTTTAAAACACAGCATCCGCCAACACAAACTTGACTTGAACTTTGAGTAAAACTAAACAGCCTCTACCAATAATAACAAACTCTCACTTGAACTTCAGATATCTTACGGCTTCCGCGAACTTGCAAACACAGAACCTGAAAATCGACCTTCGTCACACTTGACTAGACAGAGCAGTCCAGCTCGTGGGAAAAAACATAGTTTGTCAAAAGAACTCGCTTGGAACTTGTATACCGTTTGACGTAAGGTTCTAGAAAATACTAAACAGGCGAATAGTAGTAGCTTTTCGACATATTTTATGATTTCAGTAAGTGATGCAAATCTGCTGACTCATGCTGAAATGTAAACATGCCCTAATTAATTATTCATGGCTAATCCAAAAACGTAGAGAACGTTCGAGAAAGTCACGCAACGCATGAAAGCAATTTTACTACGTAACACTCAACAAAGACAAAATGTCTTTGTGCAGCATTTTGTAACTTTAAACTCATCATAAAACAGTTCGAAAGGAGGGCTCACTGGTGAAATGTTTTTCAACACTCGAAGAGAAATTTCGTGTCTCTGCGCGGCCACGAAATATCCTCTATTTATTCCTCGAGTAATTAAAGACTAAACTCGAAGTGATCTCAAGATATCACGAAGTAGTCCGATCTCATTTCGTGAAATAGTTGAAACAAGCCGAAAAGTCACGAACTTGCACGCCCAATCTTGTCCCCAAACTAGTGCATCATTTCATAACTATTTTTCATCTCCCAAACTACCTTGGGTCGCAATAGTGCAATCGGCTAATCGCTCAACTTGAACTGACGGGTCACAATGGTGAGTCGGTTCAAACCCCGGGAAGGCCAAAATAGTGATTCTTTCTTCCTCGAAAAAGTTAAAGAATAAATCAAAGAAATCGAAGTGATCTCGAGATATCTCGAACTAATTCGGCTCTCATTTCGTCAAATAGCCGAAAAGAGCCGAAAACCTACAGACTTTGCTTGCCCAATCTTGTCAAAAAATTGCAACTTTGATACATTCCTGTGCGTCGCGAATCCTTTACTTCGCGCTCCGCCGAAGTAATAACACAATAAACTTCACACAAAAGAACGACACAAAAGTGCATATATTGACTTGGTACTCTATCGAGCATCACCCATTCGAACTTCATAAGTTGCTCAAGAGGTTTTACGGCGATCTAGACTAATGCCTATCTTTTGCGACTTAATTACAAAATAGTTGTTCTAGAGTGTTAAAAAAAAATAAATAAATAAACGTGCTAGAAAATTTCAAATTCTTCACATTATTTAAATATGTGAGAACTCTTGTACGTGTAGACAAGCTGTCATTGCTAAAATGTCCTATAAACCTTTTCCACATTCCTGTAAACAATGGCATCAAGTCGAGGCTCGGATGGACAAACTACAGCGATTTGTATGAAATTGTCCATCCGAGCCTCGACTTCATTTTTTCTATGTTTGCTCACTGGAGCGGAATGCGGGAAAGGTCTTTTGGCGTTTTAGTATGTGGATTTGCTGATGTATTTTTAATTATTTATTTATATATTTATTTATGTGTTAAACTTTGTACGTATTGTTTTGATCAGGGCTATCACACAAAACCAGATGCCCTGAGTGCTTTGGTGAACGTTCTGTTGGCCTACAGCAAGAAAGATGACTCATATCACATTGAGACCATTAACTATCCTCTGCCACTCAATTCCGAACAGCGGGTAATTTCCTTAGCATAATTGCCTTCTTGATAATGATAGATAATAAATATTTCTTTTTCGCACTTTCTATGTTATGATGCCAAATAGTAACATTATAAAGAATTTCGGACGAATGTGTTATGTACAAAAAGCCGTGTATCGCAAAAGTAGAAAAAGGGTTTCATGTTATCGTGTCCATTTATCGTAAAAAATGATTTTAAGAATTGAAATAAAATTGCCATCAGTTTTTTGTCCTTCCTCTGAATAATAACATGTCTTAAGCACTCAAGAGTGTCTTGTTGTCTTGTTAGAAAAGATGTTTCTTTTGTCAGCAGGTATCTTGGGTCACCAGAAAGTCATTTGTTTTATTCCCTTAAGCCTCATCCACACGTAGCTTATTCGAATCGTTTCCGCCCGTCCACACATAAAGGCGAAAACGATGGAGATACGACTGCATGCCTTACGGTGCACGCGTTGTAAGCCGGCGTTTTAAAAAAACGCCACTCTGGGATCGTTTTTTGATGCCCGAAAACGCCTTTTACGTGTGGACGGAAGGCTAAAACGGAGGAAAAAATCTTCATTTTCAAAAATATCAGGATACGTGCTTTCTTAAGCAAATTCCTTCGTGGATTCTTGCAATGACCTGCTATGCTAATCATGTTATGAAATAATAATTAGGATTGTTTGTTACTTCTTCTTATAACTCATTCAAAACCTTCGTGTGTTTTGTTCTCTTCAGACTCAAAATTTCTCAGCTGTCATAAGCTCGGCGTTTTTCCTTGCTATACTGTTAGCTTTCGCTGTGGCGTTTCTTGCAGCAAGTTTCGTGCCATTTTTGGTGAAGGAGAAAAGTTCAAAGGTTTGGTTGACTTTTGTACATTGAATGTTTTGGTTCATTTGTGCGCATGTAAATAATGCGTCTATGGCCGTTTTTATACTAAGGACGCATTATCCGTCTAGACGAACTTGGGCAAACATTCTGTAGTTCGTCTGGTTATGCGTCTTAAGTATAACGACGGGCAAAAGACGCATTATGCGTCTGGACGAACTTTCCTTCGAAATACGTCTTAAACGAAGCGCTACGAAAGGTAGTTCGTCTGGACGCGTAATGCGTCTTATGCCTGTCTTTATACTATAGACGCGTTACCAGACGAACTACAAAATATTTGCCCAAGTTCTTCCAGACGCATAATGCGTCCTTAGTATAAAAACGGCCATTCTCTTGAACGTCGATGAGTTAGCACGCGCGAGCTGCGAGCGGCGAAGCCAAAGGCGCTAGAAATTAGGGCGGTTTGGCTAAAAGCTAAACTCGGCAATTCGAAGAGAAAAGGAGGAGCGGATGCGCGGTTATCATGGTCGAGTTCTTTTCGACAATTACCTTTGTCTAGAATTCGCCGTATCAGCGAAGTGTTCACTTGACTAACAATCACTGCGGTTCCCTTTCTTGTGTTCGTGCAGGCAAAACATCTCCAATTTGTAAGCGGCGTAGACGCCGTCTCCTTTTGGCTGGCCACCTATTCGTGGGACTTCATCAACTATTTATTTCCACTGCTTGGAATTATGATCATGTTTGCAGCTTTTCAAGTAGATTCACTGAAGAATGATCTTGGTGCAGTTTTTCTGTTATTGGTAATGACAACACCAGTTAGTTTGGTCCAGGCGTCCAGATAGTGGCGGATGGCGCAAAGCGACTAAAGTGGGCAGGAAAAAAGGAGAGAGGGCGATAGAATGTCGTTCTCTCTTTTTGTCCACTCCCTCTCTACCGTTTACTATTTCGAGTTACTCTCCATTATCTCGAAGCCAAGAACAGGCTGCTATAATTAAATTTTGAATTTTCAGGTTTGACAAACACCCAACCGTGCATACATTTTTAGCGGTTAATTTTCTGTGCGATTGCACGTGATTACAGCCATTAATGAGAGGTTTTTAAGGATTTTTTTAAATATAAAATTGATCAATAGGTCTACTTTCTCTTGAATATTTCCTCGAGCGTCACCGTTTGAATTGCGTGGCGTCATTTAAAGAAAGTCGATTTCCGCCATCAGGCGGTACTAAATGACGTTCTCATAGTTCAAAATGGCGACCCACGGAAGTTTTGGCCATATCCACACGAATTCGCACATTTTTGAAACCGCATATTTTTTTTATCCGGATTCGTGTGGACGGGGCCTTATTCGTGTTTCTAGTACATTCAATTTTGTATCCATTAGAAAAACAGTTACACGTTAAAAGTTATTTCTATCAAGTTAGCTCTTCTTCTTGACAAAGGATTTGCCCTAAATTAATGTAATGCACTGCTTAGTACACAAAACTGAGTTTCTGTTTTCCTTTATTTTTTAGCTTCTTTTAGGGTTGTGTATGCTGCCATTCGTCTATTTGGTTTCATTCCTGTTCAAGGGGCCGCTTGCAGCCTACTCGACGACCGTTTTTGTCCTATCTGTTGTCAGTATGGTAAGACCAGTCACCTATATAGGTAATATAGTTGAATTTACTCAACTAAACAGGGACTATCATTGGTTGATTGTTGGTCAAGTGACCTTGACAAAATTCGAATGCATCCCGACCGTGATACAATTCAGTAATTGACCACTCCAGAAAATACCATAACATACCATAATATTCTTTGTTTTTAACCCCCAAATTTTGCATAAGCATTGTTTTCAGTTTCTCTTGGGGCCTTTTCAACTCCCAAGAGAAACTGAAGACAATGCTTATGCAAAATTTTAGGGTGACAAACAAAGAGTATTATGGTCTGTCTGTTATGGTATTTTCTGGAGTGGTCAATTGTACCCCGCACGTGATAGAACAGCGTGTGATCAAAGCATGCTGGACAGTTGTGTTACCACCATGGCGAGAGAAACGCGGCCAGTTTTCACGTTCGAGAATGAACGCAACAACATCATGAAGCCTGAAGCTTAAAAGCACTTAGTATTTTCGAAGTCATCCAAGTTGAGATGCAGAGTATTTTTGTGGAAAAATCAGCAGGGACATACTCACCCTTGCATGCAGGAGATTAAATGTCTTCTTTGCTGAAAAGCACTTCTTCTTAGTGGTTGTAACTCGGCCTTCCATACAACCAGCGCCCTCCCTCCCCCCCCCCTCACCGTCAATTAATAATATGAAGTAATTTTGGTTTTGTGGGGGCATAACAATGATTTTTCCTTTTTTCATTTTAGGCATTTCTGATAACAAACAATATCCTCACTTTTAACGGTCAGAAAGACGATGCTGATATTGTTCACTATATCGGTCTGTTATTTCCAACCTACTCGTAAGTTTGCCTTTTTTTTGACATATTTACCTTTATTTCAGTGTGTTGGTCTTGAGTCATATTCTTCTCTCCTGTAATACTAAACGGAAGAGTCATATAATCGGAGAGAAAATTTGAAAATCTGGCGGGAAATTTGAACGTTTCAAAAACATAAAAAAATCTAAAAATGTCTAGTTGAGTTTAAATCGCATGGGTTCTCGTTTTAACCCAGGTAGCCCAAGCTCGAAATATGACCATCAGCACTGTTGCGTAACGTTCAAAATGTAAGGATTTGTATGGGAGAAGAAATAATTGTTTCTGTAGCCTACGGATGTGAAAGGATTTAAATAAAAATCGGCTAACCTTCTTCTTTCCTGTTTGGTTTCCAAGCTGATATATGGCCATTTAATGAGTTTTGTGGGAACCAGTTTGCTCTCTCGAATGGAAAGGATTATAGAGACCTATAGAAAGATATATAGCCATTTAAAAATATTGCGAGCCTGGGCCACTTGTAGTTCAGTTTAATAAAAACCTAAAATCTTTAGGTCAGGGCACTATAAATTAAGTAATTATGAACATTCTTTGTTTTCGTTTAATAACAGCCTTTCTGCCAGTATCATGGACATCAGTCAAAACAATATGAATCGAAAACACTGCCAGCCCGAGTAAGTAAACAATCCCCTGTTCATTTTTTTAGTGCCTTTTATATTAAATTTGTCTTGGAAATACATTCACATGCACTTAAATAAACCCACTTCTCGAGTTTCATTTCTAGTAATTAGCTCCTTTGCACACGCTTGGATTTCACTTAGTAATAGTTCGATCGGGGGGGGGGGGTACCCCTGGGAATTCTTGGTGGGGGTGTGCCGCCCGGTTCTCCAAATCCCGACCCTCAAAAAATTCCGGTCTTTTTCACACCCATTCTCACACCTGGCCTTTAAGAAATTTTGTCATCATTACTTAGATTAGAACAGCAACAAAAAATATTTCTTAAAATTCATTTCGAATTCGCAGATTTCTCTTTCTTTCTTATTCGTTTGGAATGAAACAATAAATACGTTCGTGTATTCCCCTAGTTCCCTTGCAAACCATATCCGATTCCAGACCAAAATGAACAAAGTCTATACCCGTTTTGAGACCCCCCGCGGGAGGGGGTTTGCTTTTGCTGTATGGCAAGCCATCACAAAGCTTTGAATGTTATCAGTCGAAGCCTTCCTGGGTTAATTTAAACGTCCTTTAGGCCTTCTTGCCCTGTCATTTCGTTTAATTTTCAACATAATTAAAACTGTAAATTGTAATTTGTTTACCCACTAAGCACTAAGGAGTTCTTAAAAACTCGTTTAAGCGTGTCCGCGCGTTCCAGATCGAATTGGAATTTGGAAGTATTGGTTTTTGAGGAGAGGTCAAAACCAGAGTACCCGGAGAAAAACCTCTCGGAACAAAGGAAAGAACCAACAACAAACTCAACCCACATATGGCTTCGATGCTGAGCTTTAAAGTTGGGCCACAATGGTGGGAGGCGAGTGCTCTCACCACTGCGTCACCATTGCTCTCCTAACTAGCCAGGAATGGTTCACTGACTCGATCGCAATCAAAGCTTTGTGATTGGAATGAACGCTTGGATGGCGTGCCATCCAGAGAGCCGTTGCTAAGTGGTATCCAAGCACGTGACCAATTTCTGAAAAGGAATTATTCTTACTCTTACCTTAAACCTGTCATTGACTCTGCAGACCTGGCATTCCTTGCTCGTGGACAAAAAATGTTCTTGATTGGGACCGTCCAGGGGTGGGTCAGGCTACATTGTACATGTTCGTGGAGGCGATTGTTTTGTTCCTATTCATTCTCCTTATTGAGGTAATCATTTCGCTAGACTGTTCGTCACGCCTTATTTTTTCGTGCGATTGTTAAGTGCGAACACGTCTTTTAAAAGGCTGTCACTTGATTTGGCACGGTGAAATGCTTATTTCCAGAAATATCCATATCTCCCGAAGGCACTTTTGTTTAGACGACCCAACCCAATGTACTTGCCATTGCCCATCGCCCCTGGAATTTCCATGATTTTCCCACTTGGTTGGATATCCCCTGGAAAGAATATTTCTGTCAAAAATGCCGATGCACTGTACTTCAATCTATGCCATCTCCTTCCCCTCGGATATCGCCGCCTTTTGGACCCCCTTCCCCCCTTCCTCAGAATATCCTTTGTCCTTAGTTGGCGTGTATGGATATTTTCTGGAACTACACAATCTTGGCGATTGCAAGTAAACCGCGTGCTTTCCCAATATTATGAAGGTTTCGCTTTGGTTATCATTTTTAGTAAAAGATGGTGGCTGTGGGATTGTGAACAGACTGGTTTTTTTGCTTGATTTTTTCATCAGAAGTCACGATGTTTTGGGTTTTTTTAGTAGTTGTTTAGCTTTTTTATTATAGCCTTGACATATTGGACAGTTTCGCCAACTTAAGTAGTTTGGTTTACTTTTTGCTGTCAGAGAGCGTCTGAGAAATTGTTTTGTTTTTTTTTTATCCACATACCTTGTCTAAACTGTTTTTGTCTTTTGGGTCACTTGATTTGGCTTTAATTCTTGGGTTTGTTGTCCTATTAATTTCATTTAAATTAACTTTATTTTTTCTCATGTTTTCTTTCACAGATGAACTTTTTTATCAGTGCAAAGGTTAACATCTCTTCAGAGCCCCAAATGAGGAGAAAGGAAGGAGAGGTGTAATATTACCTGACTTTATTTTCAGTGTTTGTATTCGTTTCTATACCGTGATCAATGCTGAAAAAAGAGCTTTGAATTGAAGTATATAAACTAGTGTTTTTAGGCACTTGACTTTTTTTTATTGTCTGCTTCCAAAACCATAGCTATTTTGACGATGTGTGTTATTTCACCATGGATATGATCAACTTAAAGTCATTTAATCACGGGCTAATTGTGGCAAAATGTCTTTGTATTGATGCTTGTAGTTAACTCTCGCTTTATTATTTAAGTTATTTAAATACAACTTCTTTGCCAAATGCTGCTCAAAGTTTTCAATTTCCTGCGTTCGACGGCGGAGAACGCATACAAATCGCTTAATCCACAAATAATTTGAAAGTTTTCCCTTGAACGCTACATACAGTTAATGACTCAAATTTAGCACCACAGAGGGTATAACGTCATTGCCGCGTGCATGCAGTTCATGATCCTGTCGTACTTCCTTATCCTATCTACTACTCTTGTATTTGTTTTAATTACTTTTGTTCATTTAAAACAGGACGAAGACGTTTTTAACGAGCGTGTTCGCATATTGTCTGACCAAGAAGGTAATGCGGTTGAAGCTGAGGCTGTCGTACTCAAAGATTTAACAAAGGTTTGTTATACAATCAATTCAATGTGTGCTAAAAATAGCCCACGGGTACTTCTCTACGCATTAATTTGTATCAAACGTTTCGATGCATATGCCTGTTACTGACAACCCAAACCCAGGTCGGTAGAATACCCTAAAAACCTCCTTTTCCCGCAACCCGGCCACACACCCCGCCCGCCACACCCAACCCAAACCCTAGCACATGTCCCACTAAGACTGCAGGTTCAGTGGATGTTTGGAGGAAAGCAACTGAGTGAACGAAACCTGAAGCTACGGGGGGTGAGAGGTGAAGGAGTAGAAAAGCATTAAAAAGTCCAATATCAGCGAATCGCATCGAGCACTGAGGAGTGTTATATATAAACTACGTGCCCGAGTGGAAATGCACGCATTAACTGCGCCAGAATACCGCTGCTCTTTCAACTGCCGAAGGCCCAGTGGCGCAACAGTGGAAAGTGCCATAATGCTAACCTAAAAGGGCAGCCAGGCACCAAAACACACGAGCACTACGCTGCGCTGCAATACCAAGCGCGCTTTCTCTAAGTAGTTAACCAAGCTTAATTACATTGAACCCTATAATTCACATTTGACTTCTTTTCGCGGCTGTTCACAGGTATATCGAGGTACACACGTAGCTGCAGTTGATCATCTTTGTCTTGGTATTCCACGTGGAGAGTGTTTTGGTCTCCTTGGTATAAACGGTAGGTGAACCGTTGCAGAACTAGACAGTATCCCTTCCTGTCCCCTTCCTCACCCAACTAAATCCACAATTAACTTTTAATTTCGGACGCACAAGTCTGTTGATCAAATGGTTGGACGAGACGATTTATTTTAAATGCGTACATTAATTATAAGCTGTGGTTTAACGAACAAAATTTTATTAAGTACCAGGAGGGTTGCTTTATCATTGTAAAGTCCATACAGATTTATCGTATTTGTGAAATGAAGCAATCAGTCGAGATCTGCATCAAAAGTTAGTGAATACATGTACTCATATACAGAGGGTAATTTTACTATTCCGTAATTCATCAACCTTGTTGATTTGGAATGTTGCTTATGGAGTTATACATGAGACTGACGTGCTACCTATTGATTGGTCGATATTATATTGATCAACTATTGATTGGTCAATATTATATACTGCTCAATATTGATGGGTCATTGATCAATGTTTTTGAAGGTGCGGGTAAGACAACGACATTTAGCATGCTGACAGGAGACCTTAGCATAACGGAAGGCACTGCTTACTTGGATGGATTCAACATCCAATCAAATTTGAAGCAGGTACTATATCATTCTATCCATTACATGTTTACCTTTCTTTTCTTGCAGACCATAGTTCACTCTCGAGTTTACCATGATCGCTGATTTTTTCTCTTTATAAGAGAGTACAAGTTTTTAATTTTGTTTGCCCTGCCACGTAAAATTTTCGTGTTTGTAACAGGTTCAACAGAGAATTGGTTACTGTCCTCAGGTATGTAATTTATTCAATTTTTTAAATTTTTCTTACGAATGTTTATCGGCGCTTATATGGCACTAGTCTCCTTCGCGGTCGTTTGTTGTGTCGTCACGCAACGGTTCTCTGCACAGTAGTGTTGTGTGACGACTCAAAAACGGCTGCGAGAGGACTCATATAACACTTGCTACTGAATAAAGGGACAATACATTGTATATTGTTACATTTTCATTCTGCTTTCTCTGCCAGGAACTAAATATAATCTTGCTGACTTCACTCTATAGCACTCTATGCACAGAAAATCTTTAAAACATTTGGAGAAACATTTCAAGCCTGAATGAAGTGAATGGAGACATTTTCAATAAAAATCGTATCCATGCATAAACTTTACCTTTCTCGTTTGTGTTTGATTTCAGTTCGACGCGCTAATCGAACTTCTGACTGGACGGGAGATGCTAACCATGTATGCTCGGTTGCGTGGAGTTCCAGACGAGAAGATCAAAGGCATTGTTTCAGACATTATTCATCTTCTGCGTCTAGAGAAGTGGGCGGACTCTCTGTGTGGAAACTATAGGTACACCCTTGGTCTTAGTGATTGTCTTTTGCGTTAGGCCTCGATTACATGGAGAAAAGTTGTCCCGGGAAAGAGCCCTCCTAGCCGAGTCAACGTAAGCTACAACCAGTTCCAAAAGTACTTGAGACACTGTACCTTATTTTGGCATAAATGGCCTGTCCATGGTCTTGTGCTTGTGATCCCCCCTCCATCCCTCATCAAAGTTGCTAGCAATACAAGACCATGCTCAAAACGCGGAGGAACAACTTTGAATGGGAGGGAGGAGGGAGTTCATATCTCACCGGCCTGTGACTAGCAGCGATTTGAAGCATGAAAGGTTGGTATTTCGTGGGAGTGTCTCAACATTTTTGTAACTGGTTGTAGCGTTAATTCAGTTTTCCCTTTTGTTAGTTCAATAACGACACAGCAGTTCAATAAGTACACAACAGATCAATAACCACACCAGTAGTTCAATGACTACACATCAGTTCATTGAGCGTAAACTACATGCAGCTGCGGGAAGAATATTTGTGGCTATTCTTCCCGCAGCTGCGTGTAGTTTACGCTCAATGAACTGATGTGTAGTCATTGAACTACTGGTGTGGTTATTGATCTGTTGTGTACTTACTGAACTGCTGTGTCTTTATTGAACTAACAAAAAGGAAAACTCGAGCCAACAATGCTGGCGCATACTCTGATAGTCTCGCCTTGGACGCGTTGATGCGGCTGGGCGGGCTTAAGTGTTTATATCGAGAAAGGTTGGCCTGGCTAGGAGGAGAACCCTACACTGTGCCATCAAAACTTATTAACCCGCCAAGCTGGCTCACTCTTCTAGCCTAGCCATCCCTTTTTTTTCTCATGTAAACTGTTCGCCAAGTTTTGTAAGGAGAGTTTGTCTGGCCCAGGGTAGCTCGAGTAGGCGAGTGACCCTTCAACCCGTGACACGCTTTTCTCCGTATAATCGAGGCTTCATTTTTTCCTTTTGTTGTTAAAGGTCTTTCAGAGTGAGGTGCACTTATCATTTGTTTTTGTCTTGTTTTTCAGCGGGGGAAACAGACGAAAGCTGAGTACAGCAATTGCTTTGGTTGGAAATCCACCAATTATATTCCTGGTAAGCACCTTAGCACGGTAAATTAAACTGTACATTGTATTGTGGTTCTTTGTTTTTTTACTGTTCTGCCTTTGGAAGGACAAAACTGCTCCCTCGAGCCGGATTAGAATCCGTGAGCTGGCAGCTACGGATAGCCAAAGCTTGAGCCTTTTAGGCCAGTCTAAAGAAATGAAAAAAAAAACCTCTGCCCTATTAGCTCAGTAGGATAAGCACCGATCTACCAAGCGGGAGGTCGTAGGTTCAAACCCCAGCCGGCCCCCCAACCAGGGTCTTACAAAAAAGACTAGCGAGATCATGCTGGCCTTAATCTAAGACTTTATCCAAGGTCAGATGATCGCTTCATTGGGTGGTGACGTTAAGTCGTTGGCGTTGTCTCCTCCTTTTTCCTTATCAATTGCACTTTATAAAACCCACAGTGCTGTTAAAAAAAGTAGGAGACCAGAGCTAGACCCCTGTGGTGTGGTCTGTTTGTTACGGGGGAAGGGGACTGTCACAGGCCCGCAGTAATTTGCTTCACGCTGTTGTGGTTACCCTGCCAAGAATTGGCGAATCTAGTGAAAAGAGAAAAGAATTTTGAGCAGGGGTCACGGGACAGAGTTTCAAGGCTTCCTCTCTGGACTCTGCTAATGCCTGTCTGGATCTTCAAAGAAAAGGAAATTACCATTTCAAATTATGTATGCCTTTTGTTGGTCTTACCCCAGTGCGACGTTTGCATCCCAGCACGGCGGTTTTGTACCACGTGAATGGCAAGCTACAAAGGGCCTATTTGAAACCACTAAGATGCTTCATTGTTTGTTTTGTAGGATGAACCCACCACTGGTATGGATCCAGTTGCCCGACGCTTTCTCTGGGATACATTGACAGGTGTCTTGAAAGACGGACGCTCCATCGTGCTGACGTCACACAGGTACACGCATCAGGGACCTTAAGATCCGACGACGGCGAGGGCAACGAGAACGTTAAGAGAGCAATAGGTTAAGATTAGCAAAACGAAATCTTTGCACGTGCAGCACACTTTTTTGTTCATTTCTTTGCCATCACCGCACGGCTACGACGTGAAAATGTCTAATTTCACGTTTTAGGGAGGACGTAAAGAAGTCACGACGAAATTGTCTTTCTCTTTCTGAACTTATGTATCATGGTTGTTAGGAATTCAACTCCTGGAGAGTTCGCCTGTTTTTGACAAAGTAAGTGAGTTGGAATAATCGCGATGAAGATTGAAAGGACGCGAATTAACTTTTTATGTGACTTGTTCGCTGTCGTCACCGTCCTCGGATCTTAAGGTCCCTATACGACTTGCACGTGCTACCGAAACAGATTGATACTCGTGAACAGGGAAACCAGGAACAAATATACGGCTTGAAATACCGTACAAATTCTGTTAAGCACATGTTTGGGCAGTGCATTTGGTTAAACTAGGCTGTTCCAGTGTCTTTTGTTCAATACCAAGTGGACGCACTATGCACCAGCATTTCACGAATTTGCTTATTTAGAATAGAACGTATTAGTGCGATCGTAATTTGTAGTGCTAAAATATAGTGTACTTCGTGTATTGGTTTGTTTCAGACGCCAACCTCCTATTTGTTGAAAAAAATTAACTTCAAAACGATATACTTAAATATCCTCGCTATTTTAGCGGTTTTCGCCTGGCATGGCCAAGAGCGCTTGTTTGCAGGCTAAGAATGGAATAATTACGTACCAGTGAGGCTGAGGCTTTAAAGAATTTTTGTTTTGTTTTGTTAGTTTACTTTTGTTACGCACAGACTCAAATTTGTAGCATCTTAGCGGTTAAAATGTTGACGTGGCTTTCTCTTTCAGCATGGAAGAGTGCGAGGCTCTTTGTACAAGACTGGCGATTATGGTGAACGGACACTTCAAATGTCTTGGCTCCATTCAGCATCTTAAGAGCAGGTAAGGCAAGCTCGGGGCTTGAAAAATTCTTGAACTCCAGCACGTATTTTGGGCAAGCAGCTCTCATATTTTTTCATGCCCGGGGCAACTACGTGCTTAGAGGATAACTTTCCTGGACACTTGTCCATCGGGCAAGTGAGCTTTAAAATTTACTTGTCCAGCAAGAAAATCTACTTTTCCCGGACACCAGACGGGACTTCTTTTTCTAGCCCTGCAAGCTCTATACTGAGCCATTCCGTTCCTGAGTACCGTTACCTCGATGCACCATGGTAGAATGTTCTTAGTACTTATCGACAGAGCAAATGAGTTTAATTCGGTATGTTGCAGTTTAAACACGTCCCAAACCCTTACGATATTTTTACGTCATGTTCAGTGAGCGTGAATAGAATGCCTCTCTTATTATACAAAGCTTTAACTACATAGTAAGGAATCTTTCGTATAAAATAAGCCTGTAGATGGGAAGCTTTTGATGTCCTAGTTTATTCTTTCTCTCGTGTTCTGAATTTCCGATCGAGTTCAAACTCAGATCGGCCGTTGCTCTTCTTGATAAAATCATTCGTTATTTTATTCACCAGATTTGGAAGAGGGTATACATTGATGGTTAAGGTCGGTAGCCAGCAACCTACGGTCTCGCTCACAGGAATAGCTGACTCTGAAGGTAAAGTAAAAATTATACTTTTCTGGGAAACTGCCCACCTACCCTCCCCTTAGCCAACATTAACACTTGCTTCTCACTTAGGGAAAAAGGTTGGCTTAGGGGAGGGGTAGGTGGGCAGTTTCCCAGAAAAGTATAATGATCCCAGTAAATGAATTGGTTGATAATGTTAACGGGTTCAACGAACTGAAAACTTCCTCAGTATGGCATCAGTCTGTAGGAACTTGTGGTCTCCCAAATAATTTTGCCCTCTCGTTTCCCGTTAGGGTCGCCTTAAATCGTAGGTTAACGCATTGAACTTCAAAATTAACCGTGGAGACATGTAGTATAGGTAATTCAATGGTAACTGTCAACGGAGCCTATGAACGGAAATCATAGGCGCAGCATTGATCGTTAAGAACGTAAGAGAAAGATTTCCCAAAATAATTAGCGCTAGAATTTCTGACATAGAGTCAGTGTGTGGAATTTCATGTTTTAAAATTTTCTAAAAAAAATAGTGTTGTTTTCAAATCTAATTTTAGGCGCTGTTGGGAGAAGAAGAGTGAATATATCCATTACATGTCACAATATTTGAGACAAACAATTGTTATCTCCCCATTTTGTTGGGAAATTTAGTGTAGGTTTTTTTGTCCCAGAGCATGCACTTGCTCCTCTTTTCTAAGTCAGGTTCTTTTAGAAATGTCTTCGGTTTGTTACTTCTAGTAAATCGTGTTGAAGTTGTACCCGCCTTTCAAAGTCCCCATGCTGTTCCTTCAAGCCAGTCCCAGGTCTTCGCCAATCCAACGGCTCAATTGGACAACCCTGATTCCGCCCCTGATTCCAATGCTGTTAACAGAGTCATGCAGTTTGTTACCAGTGCCTTTGGCGGAGCAACTCTTATGGACAGTCACAGTGTAAGTCGCGCAAGTGCCAGTCTCCTTCGAAGCCTTCTTTGTGTTCCCTGGAGAAGTGTTGCGTGACGACACGGCTGTGTTGGAGACTACTCAAGTCCTGACTGAGCTCAATTTTATTCTTAGGAAGCCAAACCTGTATTAAGCGGACGCTCTTGGGGAATAACCAGTAGCCCGCTTAATACGGTTCTCAGTGCCGAGAAATACAGCTCTAAGTAAAATAGGCAATGGCGTCATTTCGTTGCTATATCAACTCCGATTTCATAGCAACCCTGATCATAACAAATTTTCATCTTCATCTGATACAGCCGTGGTGGTAATTTTTCAAATCTTTGTTAATGACGACGTAGTTTATGCTCAAACTTGGGAGGTATTGACTCTGAAAAACCCCATCGAGCCACCTTAATAGAGGTGGCCGCTTAATACAGGTTTGACCGTTAAATCAATACTATACTGAACCAAGCAACTGCAAAAATCAGGAAGTTCATGTTCTTCAGTTAAATTTCCATTGCATGAAGTTCTGCTTTTTAGAATTGTAATGGTTTGCGCATTGTTTCTTTTAGGGAATCTTGCATTACCAGATAGTTAATGAAGCTCTGAGCTGGTCGTACATCTTTGGTCAGCTTGAAAGAAACAGAAGTGCGTTGAACATTGTGGATTACAGCATCAGCCAGACAACACTAGAACAGGTAAAGTTGTTAAGCTCATTTTTGAGGAGCAAGAGTGGCGCACCGGTGAGAGCACTTGCTTTCCACGTGCCTGGGGTTTCTGGATACTCAAGTTTTTCCCTCTCCTCAAAAACCAAAATTACCTACTTCCATTTCGATCAGTTATGGTAGACGAAGAACCACTAGGTGGATGTGCTACCTTTGAATCATATATGTATCTTTTTATGTATTTGCCAGTCTTCTCAATTTTACAAAACTCAATCTTGACTTTAATGCGTGTTTATTTACTGTTTTTAACCAGAAAACGCCTGAGTTTTTTTAACTCCAGGGTTAACTCCAGGGTCTTCTCAATTTTACAAAACTCAATCTTGACTTTAATGCGTGTTTATTTACTGTTTTTAACCAGAAAACGCCTGAGTTTTTTTAACTCCAGGGTTGCCTGGGTGAATAACGCGCGTACAATGGCCATCTATGGCGACGCTGCGTCAATTACCTAAATAAATAAGGTAATAATTGCGGGCGACAGGTTGCTACGCATGCATGGCACGTCTGTAGCCAGCATTCGTTTTATCAGGTGAAACGTTCGCAAAGCACTAGCGTTGGAGCAAGGGCGTTTTTACCTTCGATCAGAAGCCTGAAACTCGCTCGCTCTCTCTAGCCTTTGGTTATTACCAGTCATAAAGATTATAAGTACTGGGTCTGAGAGTTGGCATTGGTGAACATCGTTTTTGAGCATATTAGAGGACCGGTCAGCGTCACATTTGTGGGATGTTATCTTATTATTTCTCGGCTTTTCTTGTTAGGTTTTCATCAACTTTGCCAAAGAGCAGCACTCAGAGGACCGCACTTCAGTGAAGCGAAAGTGCATGTGTTTTCCTTGCTGTCGGTAAATGGGTAATCAATGCTTGCTTGCTGAAGTCCCTGAGTACCAAACAATAAAAGTTCCAAACTAGAAGCAATTTTAAGTGACCAAAAAATAGATGATAAATAGTGTTGGTGCTTTGAAGGTAAAAAGAAAAAGTAACGCAACGAAGGAAACCAGTGGTACATATAGAATGCAGGATACTCATGTCTGGAAAGAGTCCCAACTCTTAAAATTTGTCCTGACTGCCTGCGTTACTGTCCTTTTAATGTTTTTGTGAATATACTTTAGCTTAAACCCTTTTCTCTGGGTACGTCATAAACAAGTGGTAATAGTGAAGACTATTGCCGTGGGCTCTTGTATAACTATAATGCTGAATATAATGATAATATTCTGATAATATTCATGACGATGGTGATGGTGATTTAAGATATACTTATACTATATATATGCTTAAAGCTCAAAAACGCTTCACAGTAACTGTTTCTTAAAACTGAAAATAGATTAATGGTTTTTTATAACTTCAACTTACAATCTCTCACCTGAATTACACATAAAGTGATTACAGAATAAGTGTATAATAAATGTATAGAATATGTAAGATCGTCAGGTCATAACGACTGTGTTGATAAAACGACTTCAACAATAGTTCTGTGAATTCCTCATGGCCGCCCTTACGCCGGTTGCGGCCTAATACATCATGAGTGAGTTCTGAAATCCTACTTTCGCCGGTGCGTTGAACATGTGCGTGGACCTTAAATTGTAGAGGCGCTTCGAAAAGTTAAAATATATTTAAGCAATAGACCACTCTTTTTATGGGTTTACCGGCGTGATAACCCACGCGGGAAGTTGGGAGTACACGAGAAAAACTTGCAAATCACTCGCCTTCGGCTCGTGATTTACACGCTTTTCGAGTGTTCTCCCAACATCCCAAGAAAGTGTGGTCTATCGGTTTTATAAAATAACTTTAAGTTTTCTATGAGGCATAGGTTTTTAACCAATCAGAACGCATGTACCATCTTAGTTATTTAAAAAATATATAAACCAAATAAACAAAGATTCATTGTTAAGAATACAATCAAATTATGTTTCTTTGGATGATACTATCATCCCCGTTGATTCTAGAATAATACTGGTATTGTATCCTGAGTCGGGATTTTTTTTTTATTGATTTTGAGGTTATACAAAATTATCTTGTATAAATATAAGAAAGGATATATTCAACTATAAATACTAAAGATAAAAATTAAAATAAGTATGCATGAAAGATAAAAACTGAACGTAATAGAATGAAAATATATATATTCTTGTTTTTTTTTTAAGTTATTATTTTATAATTTTAAAATGTAATCTTAGTACGCATTCTAAATGAAACTTATTTACGTTTATAGAAAGTTAGGAATAAATGTTTTTTTAGTCAACGTACGCGTTGTGAAGGATGTTATATTTATATATATTTTTTGGGGGGGGGGGAGGGGTGTGCAGGGGGATAAAACTAACCCTCTCGTCACACAGTCTATGAAAATACTCTGTGTATTTAATAACAAATAGATTTGTTATCAAAGTTGGCTCCACTCGGTAAGAGCAGCCTCTTCATACGATAAGTCGGTCCTTTCCAATTAAATGAACAAAATATGTTAAAGAACAAGTAACCTTTATAACTTCACTTTTAATTGCTTAAGACGAATAGACAACATGTCTATGTCAAATATTTTGTGTTACTATAATTGTTGTTGTTGCTTCTGGCTTTTCTGACATCCTTTCACACACAGGAATTTTATGTAAATACACTTATGAGACAATGAAGACTAAAATGGCTAAAATCAGAATTTCCAACAAATTACAATTCTTGTACACGATCATACAATGATAGCCTCCAATGTACAACTTGTTCCCTGTAAAATGGGAACGTTTCCAATTCCAAATCTCTAAGCTTTTTTTGTATTGTTGGTGTTGCTATTGCATTAACCACTGCCACCTACAGTCAACTCTCGCGATGCTGACACCTCGATAAAACGGACAGCAGCTAAATCCCCGGCAAAAACAAATTACAGACGTTTGACTGAGATAAACTCCCGCTATTACGGACTCACGCTAAAGAGGACTCTAACTCGAGGTCCCTACTGTGTCCGTAATAAAGGGAGTAGACTGTAACTGGGAATGACAGAACATTGCTGTAGCTTCTTCTCCTTATCTACTGGTGGGGAAACGAATGGAAACAATCACAGGGAGAATTAATGACGTTTTTACACACACATTAAGCTATTTATCGGTGGGGGCAGCGTAGCCGAACGGTTACAGCGCTGGACTTGGAATCCGGAGGCCCAGTGTTCAAGTCTCTCCCTGACCGCTAGCTCGATTTGTTCTCGGTAGTCCCGAGTTCAACCTCTCGGCCATGCTTGTAAATTAGCGTACTGGTTTGCCTACTGGTATACTTAATTCGGTGGGGGCAGCGTGTCCGAGCGGTTAGAGCGCTGGACTTGCAATTCGGAGGCCCTGTGTTCAAGTCTCTCCCTGACCTCTAGCTGGATTTGTTCTCTGTAGTCCCGAGTTCAACTTCTCGGCCATGCTTGTAAATTAGCCTACTGGTTTGCATCCGGCCAGTTGGCATTCTTAACCATGTTAGGTTCCTTTTGAATTATTTGTTCATTATCCCTGAAAAGCCCAAAAGGGGAGAAAAGAAAAATTGTTGAAATTTCTCCTTAATTCTCTTCCAGTTCAAATTGCTACCGATTGCATCATGGCTATCATGCTCTGTTGACTGTTTTTGCTAAACTGCTGTCTGCTGTTTTTTTGTCAATAATTAAAGAAATGAAAAGTTAAGGCACAACGAAAATTTCCGAAATAAAAGGCCATCGTAGAGCGTAGATTAACTGTTCAATCAAAACTGCTTTTATTATAAACTTTTGGAAAATAGCATGGATAAGCCATTGAAAAACAAACAAACAAAAGGTAAACAAAGCAGAATCAAGAGTTGTGCTATTTTAAACTTTTTATCTTAGTATAAATCTTGTGATTGTTACGGTGTGGATGACTAAAATATTCGAGAATCCACTCTCCCCCCCGTCCCCCGAGGGTGCGAAGCTACGTGTAAAATTATTCCAGATTCTTCAGTATAATTCTTTGTTACGAATTGAATTGATCTTTTATGTTACGTAAGTGTCGCTATCTTTGTTTGCCTTTGGTAAACACAGACTCGTTGCATTGCCTTTGTTGCAGGCAGCATAATTATTGTTGCACAAGAAAGAAAATTGCTTAAGTGTGGAAGCTCTCGTAGTGCCGAGTGGACCGCTCCACTTACGGCCGCCTTCACAAAACCCCGGTTTTCTCAACTCCCAAAAAAACTCTGTACTTTTACATTCCCGTAAGCGGCCAGGTCCAGTAAAGGACACCTTGGATAATACCGGGGATAATACTGTTACTCAGACGGCAAAAGATTTTGTGCACATGGCTTTCTGTATAAAATTTGTTGTTGATATAAAGCATGTTCATTGGTAATTAAAAGGTCTGGAAATTGGGAGGCATTTCATATCGAAAATAAAAAAGTCTTTTCCTAACGACCATCACCAAACTTTTAAGTTTGGTGCTAGTTAAAACTAATCGCGTATAGTAGAATTGGACAAATGGGAAATAAAACTTGCCTGGCTATATTGCTGATATTGGCGATCGCGAGTAACATCAAAAGTATATCTGTAAATCATTTTCGTTGTTTTAATGATAGTTATTAGTAATACAATTTATCTTAATACTGGTAATTTACATATCTTAACGGCCTTGATTTGCAAGCCCTGCTACCAATATCGACATCATGCAATTATAAAGAAATTAACGCTAATGTTCCCAGACAATTTGCCACTCCAATCTTTAAACCTGTGAACAAAATCCTATGGTGTTACCATTTAAGTGAAACCTCTTTGGTAGAACTTTTGCTTGGTAAAATGTATTTCGTTTCATTTTACCAAAAGAAATTTGATTGTTTTAGTGAATGTTTTTTAAGTCCCCTTTAGTAGTGAAAGAGTTTAAATTATTTTAATGATTACATAACTCCACACGGTTACTTTTTGACCCTCTTACGAAACAGAGTGCCTACTTGCACAATGTGTAACAGTTGGCATGTGGTCAGTTTCTGAAACGCGGTTTCTAAAAGTCACTGACTTGATGCGCTCTCAAAATATCGCTGCCGTTTTAGATGTTGGGCTTCACCTGCCACTTGACCGGGCACTTGACATAAATATTGTTACTAAATATAGATTCATTCGCTGATAACACTCTTTATAGACTAAAAATAATTGACAAAACTCAACATAAAAATACACACAGCACCAAACAAATACTGAACTATCTGCTGGATTCTTTCAGAGAGTTCTGCGTGGAAAGCCAGTTGAACACGCAAATGGCTTTCTCTTTGTTGTGGTCGAAATTTGTTTCTGCATTTCTGATAAAATGTTCCATAGCGCTTGTCTGTTCGTCTTGGTGATCCCTTTTCCAACTTATTTGGCACGGAGATGAGAAGCGTCTTTGGTAGCTCGTAAATGGATTTGTTGTGACACTTGCAGTTTCAGCCAGGCTAAGCCGCCTTGTAAATCTTGTCTTGCCAATGGCTTTTAGATCTCCTTGCCCATTTAGCGAGCTCTGTTTCATTCCGTTTTTTAATGGAGGAAGTTTAATTTCATTTTGTGACATGCTGGTGCCCCGTGAGCTTAACTCTCTGTTACCTTTTATTATTCCTTGATTGCTACTGCAAGGTGAAGTCAACACAGGTTCCCATGTTACTTCCAATTTAGCTGGAGCGGTTATTCGCCTCCGCTCCAAGCTTGGCCTTCTCGTGTAAACTCTAGGAGCTGGCGTTGATGCTCTTCGAACCAAAAGCCGTTTTCTGTTTATTGGCGCATCGTCTTTTTTGTTATCCATTTGTCTATATCACTTAGTGAAGAGTCACGCGAACAACGACTCTCAAGCTACGTTAAACCAGTGGGGTTCAAAAAATTAATTTCTTGTACATGTCAAGGTAGCCACTGTAGTTGTGTAAGCTAAATTTCCTGAAATGTCTTCCTAAACGCATGTCATCAAGTGATTGATATGAATGCTAACTATCGAAAGCGGAGTGTAAACCATATCACGCACACTTGTCACACGTTCTTGAGTCATTAGGTGAGGCATTTTGAGGAGCGTGGAATCGAAGGAGGAGAAAAATATACCCTTGAGGTATGTTATTTCTTATAAATGACGATACTTTAGACCTTCATAATTAACATTTTTCATTTTCCGAAACCAAACTGAATTCCTGCATATCACGCCTATTTCACGTGCCATGAGCTATACAGATCTCCGTCACTATTGGTAGATTCAATGGGAGGAAAGCAGAATCTGTGAATCTATAAAAGGGGGATTAAATACTACCTTTTCCTGTGTTATACATCTTAAAGATCTCCTTTACGGGTGTTGTGGTGTTACGTATGCCCCTTTGCACATTCGAGGTTAAAAGCTGTTATCTTAGTTACAATTGTAACTTATGCTTGTTTTTCCTCATTTCTTTGGTTGGTTGGGTTGGTTGATGTTGCTTTTTTCTAGAATTTTCCACCGGTTTCAACTTATTTTTGTTTGAGTGAAATGGATACCTAGTGTTGCAGCCCAAGAAAAATGAAATTGAAGGGTCAAAAAAACTACAAGTTATGCATTAAGCCCCCAAAAATGTGAAGTATACAAAGGCTGCATAAATAAATCTAATCGTTTCTTTGCCACTTTTAGAGAGGTAAAGCATCCACGACGCTGATGGCAACGGGAACTTAAAAAAGTAATTAACGGTTTAATAAGCAAAACAGCGACCTTGCACAAGCATGCAGCAAAGTTTTCTTTGAAACTTTTTCTTGGTCGTCACTGCGACTACAACGTGAAACATCACAGTGTGAGGTTTCGTAGAGGGCGACTAAACAATAAAAATAATTAAACTTTGATATGCTTCCTTAAAATACAACCCCAGCAAAATTCGCCTGTTTGACCGACTGGGAGATTTAATGAAATTTTAAAGGAACTCAAATGCACTTTATTTTAAGAGTGACGTTTTTGCTGCCGTCGCTGTTGTAGTTGTGTCGCATGGGGCTGCACATTGGGGTCACTTACGGGTACAATTAAGTAAAAGCAACAACGAGATACTGAAACTTGTGCCCTTGGTAAAGTAACAGAAAGTAACAGTGCATATCATACTTTGCAGTATATATATTGCAGTTCAATTTTATCGTTGGTGTGAAAAATTTCCCTTTGTTTTTAGGTCTGGTCGTGTATGTTAATGAGTTTGAAACAAAGGAAAATAAAATTTCAAGCAAGGATAAAATTGAGCAGCAACATATATAGTAAAGATGGTAGGGAGCAGGTCTGTTGCCCAAGGGGTTTTACGCTTGTCTGCTCTACGGTGACCGTCTTTGTCAATCGCCCTTTGCCTCTGACTTTTAATTTACTCAACATTTAAACCCTGGTGGCCTTTTCCAATATCTTAAAGCCGTAATGTAACTATTAAAATAAACAAACAGAAGAACCAAAACTTAGTATCAGGTGAAATGGACTTCTTAAATAGTTTTCTCTCTTTCACCCCCTTAAGCCTTTTAACAACCAAAAATTACTAACAAAAGCCTTGCTACTATTCTGATACTTTTAATTAGTTTTAATACATCTAAAAATTGCTTCCTTATTACCCCCTGAGGCTTTCACACTTCGTAACATGTTGTTGTCGTCAAATGTCTCCAACACGAAATGTTTTGATAAGTCGTAGTCGTTATTAACACTGCATACCTAATTCTGCCATGCGTAAAGAGGCTGGCACTTAATGGCTTCGCCTGCTTAAATGACCGTTAAGTGGCTTTTGAATACAAAAAATCTATCAGTTTGTGTTGAGACTGGGGGATATAACATGAAATTATTTAAATTGCAGCTTATGAAACGTATCTCTAACGTTACTAAACATGCGTACGAAAAAAACTAAACCAGTCGCTTTATTTGCCACTGCAGCTGTACTCCAGTCGCGTAATTTCTGTTATTTAGGGTAATGAGAATTAATTTACTTCTTAGAGCGACTTTACGGATGCATTAAGCTGTGGCATCCATATATTTAAATGTTTTGCCTCCCGCTCAACTTAAACCTTAATCGAGTTATTAAAACTTCATAACTTAGCTGCTATTGCAGACTGAGGTATTTTTTTAACATGTTCGTCCACCTAAATATGTAAAACAACTTAAGCCGAAAAAACTGTTGGCCATGCTATTATGAGCAAGGGGTATTTCGAAATATGCGCTTACCCTAAGGTATGAACTCATCCAGTTAAAAACAATTTGCGTATTTGCAGAATTAGGTCTCATTTGGTTTATCGTGGATTGAATTGTAATTTGTCAACTTAAAAAATTCTTTGACTTTGGCTTACACTGAGTCGTTTTAGCGACAGACACATTGTTCCCTTATTACCGCTCTGGCTTCACACATAATTGAAGCTATTTGGAACATTACATGCCCTTAAACGGTCACACCCCTAATTAAATAAAAACTTTCTGCCCTTCTCTAAAAAAAGACACGAAAACTACGTATTATTATCTATCTCTGACCATCCTGTTTCCAGAGTATATTCACTGGTTATATGTGACTGGGTGCTGCCCTGTTGGCCAATTTTGGATCTCAGCCGTCTAATATTGGATTTTTTTTCCGCGACATGACGTCAGAGTTGTTGTTCTAGAGATGGTAATAAGTGATCGTTCACTGATAATACATAATGCCAAGCTAACCCAAATGCAAATTTCGATCAGATTTCCAAATTTCATTTTGTAGAATTTGAAAAACAAATAGTACCATGTGTAAGTACAGGCAGAGAGCTTTCATTTGAATGGTCACATCATAGGATTTCGTCCTAAGACTCAAAAGTTAGAGCCTCCTTACAAATTCCATCAAACACTCTGGCAGTGAAAGGGCTAAAAAGGGTACTAAATGTTTTAAAAACATTGCTATTGCCCTGTCGGTTTAATTCATTGGGTAGTAAGTGATTGCGTCGACAACCAGTTAAGTATTACAATCGCCTTTTCTTTGGTACTATCAAAGTTATCCTCTGCATTTTTTATAAACTCTCGCAGTGCTTTTGACTGTTCCTTAGGACGGTCGTTTCTCCACACAAACTGAGACGGCGTGGAGTTGCGTCGTTGGTAAGTGGTATGAACCTTTGCTGTCAGACGCCTGTTTTCGGGCAGATTCACGGTTCGCTCAGTAAGCTTCGTCTTACTTGACGTGTTCATTTTTCTTTCCCCTTCTTCAACGTTCCTCTCTATTCGTCCTTCTATACAAGGTAGCTTGATTTCATTATTTGATGAGTTGCTGCGATGCGGTGTGAACTCACTGGCACACCTTGAAAATTCTTGACTGCAGTTGGAAGGTAAAATGGGCAGAGATTCCCAGGCGACTTTCAATTCAGCTGGACCAGGGAATAGACTCGGCTGCAAGCTTGGCCTTCTTGGTCTAGGTCCTACAACTGGTGCTGATGCTCTTCGTACTAAACGCTTCTTTTCCATTTGTAACTCTTCTTTATTTTTGCCAGTGTACGACAAAATGTAGATACCTTCAGCATGGATTCAAAGTAATCAAGATTATTGGCCAAGGAACCCATAGAATTCAGTTATCTTAAATACTGCACACAAAAGACCGCCAAGTATAGTTGTTCCGACCAGCTGTGATTGACAATACACAAATAACAACTGATGCACGTGTGGACTGACTACCAATATAATACTCCCAACATATGCAACGTTGTGTGCGGATCACGTGGCACTACTTCACGAGCAGAAACTAACCGGCTGTAGCTTCCTTTTCTCTAAGGTTTAAAGCTTGTTTGAAGTAAACATAAGCAAATATTTTTTAACATACTACAGTTAAGTAAAACAAATTTTCTTTGAATTTTCATTGCAAACGTTCACTACTTATGAAGTAACATGCACTTCAAAATTTTGATCACGGGCTTGATGTCGTTATGTAACAAATAGTAGGTGTGCCTCAGGGTCGTCAGAACGTACGCCCTACAGATAACTCTTCTGAAACTGAGTAATTAATCAAATTAAATTTGTTTGTTTGCTCAGTGCTTATTAGAGTAAAAGCTATTTACAAAGTCAAGGTCGTGAGTTGCATGATTGGGCTTTCAAACTCCGTTGAATATTCAATTGCGTTAACAACAATAACCTCACGAGGTTCAGCCTGGGTGAGGAATAAGGATTGTGTGAGCCCACCAACGTGGCCCGAGTTCGAGTACCAGTGTTGTCGTCATGTGTAGGTTGAGTTCGTTCTTGGCTCTCGTCCTTTGTCTGGGAGATTTTTCTCTGAGCACTCTGGTTCCTCCGCCCCCTCCTTAAGATACCAGCGCGATCTGGAACGCACAAACGAGTTCTAAGTCCTAAGTGTTTCGTGTTTGAACAAGTTACACTGCATTACAACTAATGCTACATGTCGCACAAATTCCAAGTTTTAAAGGCACACACAAATAACCTTTCGCATGCAAAATGGCCTCCCCGTGTCCTTACAACTCCCTATTGATCAGTTTTTTTCCGCATTTCTCGAAGAACAAATTGTTGCACTTCCTTTACAAACCGGAAAAACTCTGGAAGTTTCGCAGTTATTTGTTCAGGTTCCCATTCTCCGCTATTGAGCAACTCGTCCCACTCTCTGCAGTGCAGATGAAGATCGGTCTGCAAGAAAGTTAAGGAAAAAAATAGGTTAATAGATGTAACAACGAGCAGCGAAGAATATATCACGACCCTACTAACAAAATCTATGGACAACTTAACGCCGTTGGAAAGTTCTGGTTCGATGGTTCTCTATTTAGTAGGGGACGTGCGTACCGATAGTGAGGTCAATGTGCGTCCATGTATGTGTGTTGTTGAAGTCATCTACTAATCTTTGTTTTGCCAATAAAAATGGCGATGAGGGATCATGAGTGATAGAATAAGCACTACGAATATCTAAGCAAGGTGAAATTTTTTACAGAGCCTAAAAGATCTGGCCCATCTTCTTAATGAAGTACGGTCAACTCTTTATGAACGGTAGCCTGCATCGCAGACGTAATTTAACCCGGGGTAGTGACGTCTGCGAAGCAGCGCCGAGAACCTTGTTCTGTGTCCCCAATGGTCTCAACGAATTACCAGAAGTGTGTTTCGAATTTCCTTTCATCCTGATTGGCAAATGGACAAAGACTTTTTTAACAGGCCAATCATAGCACGAACTCAAATCCAGGTACACAGTTGGGGACCCAGAACAAGGATTTCGGCGCCGTTTCGCAGACGGACTTAACCAGAATTAAGTTTCGTCTGTGGTGCGGGCTATCTGAACGGGCATCTTTATCAGACAGACACCTCCCTAAAGCGGACCATTCGAGTTGGTCCCTGCCCTTCTTCGTTCTTCGTCGTTCGTTCCCTGTCCTCCTGAGAGAGTTGACCAAAGTTCGAAATACATGTTAAAAATATGCTCTTAAATTTATACCAATTCCCTCGGCTCCTCCATTGAAAGATCGCTAGGCCAAGAGCTCTCCTTGGAAAAAGTAACTGTAAATCCTGGACAGATTTCGTAACGAGATCTTTCAGACCGGCGATTGTGGATTAAGTGAAATCCTTCAGGCGTACCCTTCTCTGGGAGGCAGATTTCAAAACCATTTTCATCTTTTAAAGTCAGTCTACACAAGTATTCAGATAATGCTTGTCTTGACTCACTATCAGGTGCATAATCTGCATTTAGTGCGCTATCTAAGGATAGGGAAAAAATACAGTAATTTTAAACCCATGGTAATTACCGACACACCGTGAAAAGGGTCATCTGGACAGCGTGTATAAGGTTGCGGATTCGATTCCTGGCCAAGTCTCGGGTTGGTAAAGTCTATTCCTGAGGTCGGGTTGTTTGTCCGCCATGCTGGTACGGTAACATGCACATTATTGTCGGGACAAAGGGTGGCTACGACATAGGTTTCCCTCTCGTAATACAATAGCTGACGACAGCTAAACTGTACTCTCAATAAATGTTCAAAGTAATTTTAACCACTCAAATATCATGAAATAACGATTCCACTAAAACCATCAAGTAAGGATTCCACTAAAACCATCAAATAACGATTCCACTAAAAGTCTCATATGTTTCTGATTATTACGATTATTTTTGCCACCTTTTTTAAATGTTTCAATTCAAGTCATACCCATCCGCCCACGAATAGTGAGCCTGCAGTCAAACTCGCAACCAGGAAACAAAATATCTGCCTGAAGATATTTTCTAGATGGAAGTACCAGCCATCCTCGACACCGTGATCGCGTAAACTCGTCTTCAAAGTGTATTTCGTCCAGGATGTTCTTCACATCATTAAAAGGAATTGGAATGTCTTCCAACTTTTTACCAGTGTTGCTCCTTGTGATCCATACCTGTGAAGAAGAGCAAAGCTTAGGGAGGTAGCCTGACCGAGTGTCCAGCGCATCGTACTCGCGATCCGGCGATCCCGGCCCGGGTTTGAGTATCGTTTTCGCGAGTTGCTGGATTTGTTCTGGGTCGTCCCGAGTTCAAATCCTCGGTCACGCTTGTATGTAACCAACTGGTTGCCTTCTTCCACTGTTTCGTTATATTCAAATTATTACTTTGTTATTATTCGAGTGGAATGTCTGTAAATTAGCTCGAAAAGCTAAGTGCACGTTCCACTATAAACAAACCTTAAACCTTTGTTCCGGTTTGTTTTTGGATTGAGGGTCTTTTTCTGGTATTATTAGCGATCTTAGTAACACGGTAAAAGCAAAAAGGCACGGGATGTTTACAGAGGAAATCATTACTGGCAAAATATCAGAAATTCCCCTAGGCACTAATTCTCATCAAACAAGTTTTAGAACCATTCTGTTTCCGTTCCTCTGGATTGGCGATTAAAGCCCAAGATCTCTTCGGTTGTCCTGGGAGAGGTTTTATCTGCAAGGATCTGGTCCTAATTGGACTAGATGGGTCAGTAAATGGGTAGATCCGAATTATGAAATGTCCAAACCTAGTATAGTTATCCAATCAGTGGACAGAGTACAACATGCATGGCGTCGTAGCCCTTGTTAAACTAAGATAAACTAAGTTGGTATCCCTTAGTCGTGGAATATTGAATGGGAATGGTGAAAGTCTGTAGTTCGAGCCTAGGGTGCAATTTGATGTATCAAACAAGTTGTCCCAACATCATTCAAGAATGATGATCACGTGCTGTACGATGATCAACACGTGACTGATAGTTAGATCGAACATTCGCCTGATAAAGACGACATTCATCAAAGACCCATCCAACACTGTTGGATGGTGTCGTAAGAATTACGTCGAAAGAAGGATTTCAAACGCATCCACTGACATGCTGCATGCATCAAGCAATAATTAGAAGATATGATATGATATGTGGGTTGAGTTTGTTGTTGGCTCTCTCCCTTGCTCTGAGAGGTTTTTCTCCCGGTACTCCGGTTTTCCCCTCTCCTTAAAAACTAACACTTTCAAATTCCAATTCGATCTGGAACGCACGGACACGTTTCAACGAGTTCTTATGAACTCCTTAGTGATCCGTGGGTAAACTAATTACAATTTACAATTTTTTTGGACGAATATGTTATGTTCAATCAACTGGAGCCCTTACCTTGAATCGTATTTCATATCCAAGTGGCATTAAAAAAGTCAAGTCATATCTTGCCACATAATCCATGTTTCCGTTCGTAGTGCTTTCGCGGGAACTGATTCCTTTCCAGGTTTTTTCATCCAGATCAACTCCTCCTTTGAGTGAAGTTCTCCAGGGACTTCTCTCGTCGTCTGACTGAAACCTCTCTACTACCTCTTTGATAGTCCACTCTCCTTCCTCAGCTTCCTCTGACAAAATAAAAAAGTACGTCGAAGTGACTGTATGACTGCAGATTCAGAAACCATGAGTTGTTTGTTTGGTTAACGTGCAATTTCTTTGTATAACTTTGCAAGCAAATACAACCTGCAAGGGCGTAGCCACCTGTACGCACGGTACGCACATGCGTAACTGAAAAAGTTGAGGGTCAGACGAAAAGTGAAATAAACAAGTTTTAAAAACGTAATAAAAACGCAAAAGAATGTAAGATAATTATTTTAAAAAGTGATCTGTGTGTAGCGCCCCTCACTCATATGGCCAGGAGTTATGCATTTTATAAGGTCACAAGGAAGTGTTTACATCACAAAACGTTTCAACTTTAGCCATGCAGGATAGTTTTGGGACTCCAAGACCTCATCTAAAGTCAAGGCACCTGGAAACAACTTTGGACGTTGGGGGGGAGTGGGGTGGGAAAGAAGGCGAATCAGGTGGAGCAGGCGGATTTGGAAAATTGTGCGTACGTCTGGAAAATTCCTTGCTGCGCCCCTGACTTTGGATCGTTTCTGATTTTAGACATTTTAAACATCAAATAAGTTTTACTATGCACTTACGAGGTGTCTGAATTTTCCGTAGCGTGCTTTAACGTCTCTTTAGACCAGAAACTTTGATCCGCGCTACTGATCTCACTTCAAGTTATTCAATTTTAATTCAATGTATGGCTTTATCCTTACATACACTTAATTGTCACGAGTTAATACACTTAAGTCACGAGTCTGCATGCATATGTTGTGGGGATGACTGAAATAAAGCGGTACCTTCGTCAGGTCCCCGGATGTTTGCTGTTCCAAAGTGACACCACATATCGGCCTTACGATATTCTTTTGTCTTCATTTGCTGCTTTATGTTTTGAAGAGACTTCAAAGCGTCCACCATAAGGTGTGACAAATAGGGTGGGTCGACAGAACTGGAAATGGAGGACACCTAAACAAAGACAAGTTTTATTACAATTTAATGGCAACAAATTAAGTGATGGACATAGCAATGATAAAAAAGCCCATAAGGACGATTTGTTAAAGAGTAACAGCAACCCCATATAAAAACAATTAAGTCACCTTATTTGAAGTAGATTATGAAAAATATATATAAAAAATATTAGGTAGGTAAGTAGGTACTGTAAGTAAGCCGCCTCCGTGTACTGATCTGTTGGACAAGTGGGCAGTAGCAAAATTGGATGTGTGGAGACTAAGTACAATGTTAAATGGTCTGGTTTGCTAGCTTCAAAACCGCTCTGAATTCAGCTAGCCATTGAAAAAGCTGGCTGTTTTATCTTTTTTAGTACAGTAATTGTAATAAAAAGGATTAAAAAACAGAGAGAGAGAAAAGCTAGGATGAATGTAACTCCTTGTACTCCTTTCAGAAATGACAGTTTACATACGTGCAGTACACAAAAAGTAGTTTAGACTGGGAAACTTAGCTAAAATGTGATATTAACAACGCATGGCAAAATAATACCAAAAAATGCTTGCAAACCTGTGGCCCATCGTGATCAGACGGTATAAGCCTGTACTGAGTGTCCCAACTTGGATGTACCGTACGATCCTTTTTCGCCAAGCTCTTCAGTTTAACTTCACAATCCTCAGGGAGATTCCAGTCATCAATGTAGACACAAGGCTTGACGAATTCGTTTTCTAAACCTCTGATTATTCCTCCAGCCTAGAGACAAATTTTGAGCGCTGTTTCTTGCAAACTGTTTAACTAGCTGCTATCTTCTATGGTGTGAATAGATTGAAGGCCTGAGTTCACCTCTGACTACTTGCCCGAGATATAAATTTTTCTAAATAACGCAATTAAGGTATTCCAACATACTTACTATGGCTGCTTTAATGTGCAGTCTGGCCTGTTCCTTCTGTTTGTCGGTGCCACTGACTATGTACGCTTCACGACCTTTGCGAATCAGTTTTGCTCCTGTCTTCGTGCTGATGAAATTGAGGTTGTATCCCCCTGAGCCCATGACTAATCCCTTGAAGTCGCGTGGAATGACTACTAATTCTCCGGGGGGAGCGTTTTCTTCTGATTTTCTCCTCTGCATTTATGCCAGAGAACAAATTAAAGCGTAAACTGTTTATGAGTGTTATTTTAAATACTTTCTGCAAAGCTTAAATGTACCCATATGTATAAATAGTCGTTAAGTCAGTGGGCTAATCCTAACAGCTTGTACGTACGTATTCGCAGATTGGTGATTTTTCTCTCCCATGATAAGTCAAAGGAACGGTACTGTTTTGAAGGCATTACACCCTCAAAAACACGGGAAGTATAAAACTACACCGGGAGGAATCTGAACGATGAAAGTAAGTACCTGAACGGCTGCATTGAGGAACTTACAAGACCGGTACAACTTTAAATGGGTCTTCTTACATGAAACTAGTCTGGCAGAGACCCATATCTACAATAGCAGAAGCAAGCATTAGCAGTGAGAGTGATCTTACGTCTAACTGGTTTCGGGTTCCCACCTGTCTCGTGTAATCGGGGCCGGATGTTTGCCGTAAAAGACAATTTTAGCTGACAGTTCACTCACCCCATGTAAGGTAATCAGAGACAATCTTGGATTCTGGATTCCACCTTGTGGATTGCGGATTCCAGTTACTGGATTCCGGACTCCATGGATTCCGGATTCCTTGAGCTGGGTTACGGATTTCAAAGCCCAGGATTCCCGATTCCACAAGCACATATTTTTTGGATTCCGTAATGCGGATTACCTTACATGCATGGGGTGACTGTGTTCTCATCAATCTCTGTTCTCTGGTTTGTGTTCTCGCCGGTCTCAATAATAGATCTCTTTAGCTTGTATGTTTTGTTTTTCCAGCACAGGTCATTTGATAATACTCTAGAGGAATGTTTCTTTCAAATTTCGTCTCATCCATGTGTATATCTACGCATAATTTATGAAAACATTAGGAACTCTATTGGGAAAGAAAAACACAAGCCAAAGAGGTCCATTAAGGCCTGATGTTTACAACTCACCACTATTTCTCTGATATGTTGTTTAGCATGTTGCCTTTGTTCTTCTGTTCCGCTGGCCAGGTACACATTACCATCTTTAAGTATCAAGTCTGCTCCTGTTTGACTGCTGATCTGTCTGAGGTTCTCTCCTCTTTTACCTATCACAAAGCCTTTGCATTCGCTTGGAATTTCGACCAATTCTAAAGTCTGAGCTATCTCTAATTTCTTGATCTGTAATTCGTGCTGTAGAGGAAAATACGAAGGTAATTGTTTTGCGTCCTCACGTCTACCCTATTAAACCCGGAAGTATGATATTTGTACACAGTGCTAATCCATAAGGTTCAAAGAGAAGCTGACAATTAACAGATTAATGATCAATATTGCACTTCACAAAAAGCGAAATGTTTTGCTTCAGTCAGTCTAAGTTGTAAATCTGCATCCTTCCATTTGTCCTGTAAATAGCCGGTTTTTAACTCTGTTTTTGTTTTATGACGACTTTTAATCGAAGTGGATCCAGAGTTTCGTTATCTCTGTCTTTTATATATTACTGATTTCTAGACTTGTACTGATCTTGTGATTTGATAAATCATACTCAATTTATATGTTCGCAGTAAAAGGAAATGGTCTACTCAATCCATTTGACACAGAAATAATATTCTTACTATGCTATCATTACACATTGCACTTACCACTTTCTCTAATATAAGCCTCTTAGCATATTCTCTTTGTCCAGCATCACCTTTGACTAAAAACCCATCGTCCTGCCTTCGCGGTGATGTGATCTTCGCGCCTGATGACTTCATGATCTCTTTAATAGTACACCCATCCTTCCCGATGACGTAACCTTTCAGATTATTTGGGACGGTAACAAATTCACCATTTGTTCCCGCTCCATGTTGTTGGAGACGATTGTAAGCCACTCTGTGAAGGATGAGAAGTCATGATCATCACTGACCTCAGTGCAGCCTTTTGCAGACTGAGAGACCAACTGCCATCAAGACCCTTTTCATCTACCGGCTTACAGTTGTGTTTTCCAACCAATATTTAAGGAAATATCAGCAATCGACACCTCAATTTCGCTAGGTGACCTAAGCGGTAATGACCGAGTCATTCTTGTAATTTATATTCATCCATAGTATATCAAAGACAGGTCATTCAGTGACGGTGTATACTGAAGAGAGAGAACTTTGCCGCAATAACAGCGTTATCTGCAGACAGATAAAGCTTTTAATGTGCAAACTTATTAGTCTGAAATGTCATATGACATTTCAGACTAACAAAAAATATATAAAGTTGTAGACAGGATTGATGCATATGGTTTAAGGTTTTATTTGTGCCTCGACAAGAATAAACTAATTTTAGATATGCACTTGAGTGTCCAGCTCTGATTGAAGCCGTAATGAAAAGATTTTTTCGTAGAAATTATTACTCGGTATTTCAATGCTTCAGCTATACGCTTTAAGAGCTTACTTTTAATCAAAACTGCACTTTGTTGACATCGTTGTTTAATGTTTATATTCAGTGTAAGTCTGTTCGGGAGCGTAACGAAGACTGCGGACTGTTTCAGAGACATCTTGTGAGACCAAGTAGTCTTTGAAATAGGTCTGGATAGTACTTTGATGAGAAAAAATCGAGGCTGTTTTGTCAGTCTGTCATAGAAAGGGTTAGATCTAATAAGTACTGAAAAGTAAGCTCAATGAATCCTGAGGTTTGGTATCAGCTTTTAAAAGCCTTACCCTTCTCTTCCACCGTTCGATCGCCGTCCACGGCTCCCCATGCCTTACCACAGTAAATCCTTTCAGATATCACATTTTACCTTCTGTGAAATTATTTCATTTATGGTTCGATTCTGATAAAATCTTAGCAAATGTTCGATCGACGAACACAATAGCGGAAGTACTTCCGAGAAAGAGCTTGTCACCAGTCTCTCGGAGACACTTCTGTTTCCTCATTTAAAACAACGCATGTCCGTTTCAGTCGCTGAGCACCTCACTCCTCCCTCTCCCCCCGAAAACATTTTTTTGTGTGTGTGTGAAAGCAAGAACATTAGCACCCCCGCAATACCTTTATACACTTAATCTGCCACTAAGGTATTTTAAAAAGCAAATTGTCAGTCTTTCCTAAACCTAAGGAAATATGTCGTGACTGCACCACTCTTTTAAAAGGGTACACTTTTTTTAAGATCGTCGTAATCGTGCGAAAGTGTACCTACATCCGGCCAGGCGTTCTGTTTGCAGACCCTTTGCTATAAAGAACGGCTGGCACTCGAAAAGTGAGCTTTTTAATCAAACAGTTACGGTGTTCAATTTGATTTATAATTAACTTATTTCATCATGATTCTTTTATTTACCCTCGGCAGTCTTTATACAGTGCAATTGTGACAAATAGGGCCGAAAAAATGACTGAAACAAATAAATCAGTCAAATTAATATAAAAGGGATGAGAATTCAAACTAGCCTGAAGCAAACTAGTGGTCTTTTTTACTAAGAGTCAACAAATCCAGCTGGCGATTAGGGTGCAAATTAAATTCTTGGCCTCCGGATTGCAAGTCCAACGCTCTAATCGCTCGGCCAAGTTGCCTCAATCGATAGAAGTAAAACCAACTTTCTTGTATTTCACTCTACTACCACAAAAACTAACTTTCTCGTAAATCAGAGGGTGCAGGTAATCTGTAAGGATCATGCATAGTGAAACAGTGACTCCGCATATTGTTGATAAACCTCCGGTTTTGCATGGCTTAATTTGCAGTCGGATGATTATGCAACAATCATAATCATCTAATTTTTTCACACAAAAACGTGTTGTCCTGCACCTAAATATTCAGCTGTCAAAATGCACCATGCAAAAGAGAGGTAAGCCAATTTCTTGTTCCTTTTCCTTGAAGCAATCTCTCAGCTTATGCTAAAAATCAGACTTTTGCGTAAAACGTATGCTTTTCTCGGCCCTAATAAAAGAAACTGTTTTTACCAATTATCAAATTCTGAAGAACAGCGTAGTTAAAATTTAGTTCATTTGAGTGGATGCTAATTCAGTTAAAACTCTACAAAACGTTTGTTTTTGTTTTTATTAAAATGGAAGATCTTATTTAAACATACATGTAAATATCTTTTGCTTTGTGAACTTGCTTTAGTCTCTAAAAAAGAGGCCCAGATGCTGAAGAAATGAGGAACACCTTTTCTCAACCACAAGACGCAATTCCTTTTTTACTTTTCTTTACAAAGTGTCGGCTATAACAGGAAGCTCACAATCACACAAAACTTCATAAAGATCTGCTACAGTCAAATGACGCTGATTTGCGATATAACCAATTAGAATATCAGCTGGGTTCAGGGTGCGCTTGTCAAGAAAACGAATTTTTTCTTGATCTAAACCCAGTCTCTCAGCAACCAGCTTCCACTCGTCTCCTCCTGCAACACAAAAAATATAAGGGCTCTGTAAAATACGGAGAATCGATCATATCAGGAGCCATAACCGGGGTAGGAGACCCTAACTGGATACCTTTTCCATTAATGCCAAATGGGCTATTTTTAGCACAAACTACGCCATCTCGGGTGACACGTGCGCGCATTTTTGCGAGGGCGCCGTGCAAATGATACACAAACAAAATGGCGTCGGAAATTACCAACGCAAGAGATGAGTAAATTCCATTTCTGTCTGAATTTGAGGCAAGACCTGAATATAGGGACTGCGAATGTGGTTTTGCTAATGTTAATCACCGTAGTGAGTGTTTTTGACAAAGACAAAAAGTGACGAAAAAGATGTCGGAGAAGTCGTGCGATGAATATCCCGTTCGGACGAAACAAAAAAAAACTTGCGGGGAAAAGGAGGGCAGAAAGTTAACAACAACAACAAAAATTATGGCTAATTTTCTTCAAATATATCTTTCAATTCAGCATACAAGAATTTTCCCATTAACATTATCCTTGATAGCGTGGCGCAGTGGTCTAAGAGCCGACCTCCCGTGCAGACGGTCCAGGTACGACTCTCGACTAAGGTCTTTTTTTCTTTGTTGATAATGTCTTTTCGTTTTGCTTTTATCTTTTGTTTTGTTTTGTTTTCTTGTTTTTATGATACCACATTGTTCCCTTTTGGCTTGTTTACCTTTTTTCTTACTGCTGGCTAATTACATCTTCGCGAGGTTTTTGCGATAAACATATAGAATTGTAGTAATGTTTATATAGCACCGGCTCATTCTTCCATTGCACATGTATTGTACGTCGAGATATGAAGCACTAAGAAGGTTCAGAGAGCCCTTAATAACAGATGCAAGATGATCGCCCATCCCCTGAAATTCCACACGAGAGCCGCACAAATTTGCGGGTTCCCGCACGAGTTTGAGGCGTTGAGGGTGGCGCAGTTTGTTCTAAAAATAGCACATATATCTATCTCTATGGAACCGCGAGGACCCCACGCTTGCGGTTATACATGCGATTATGGTTGCTGATCATACGCATGCATGTATGTATACCAAACACTTTCACCGATGCCTTAAAAAAAACGTAAACTCTTCATAGGCCGTGAGAGAAAATCGGGAAATTGTACTCTGATCCCTTGGTTAATCGACCTAAAAGAAGGCCGCCCCAGTTCTCATTTGCTGGACCTTATATTGTCATGTTTGAAATGAGGAGGCGTATCAGTCCAACAGATAATTTAATTTTTAAATTTTAAAATACACTGTGTGAGTAGGTGAATCAGTAAAAACAGTGAAATTTGGTCATACCACACAAAGCGATGGTAAGCTTTTCTGCCAAGGAATGAGGAATTTTTCGCACGTCAAGACTGTCTTTCATCAAAGGACCTAATGAGAAACAAGCACATTTAACATTACGGCATATGCTGGTGCACTGGTGGTTAAGATAAATAAGAGATTTGAGGAAAGGTCAAACGACAAATAATTGGTGGAAGTATCTCGGTGGCCTATTACTCTACAAGCTTCCACAGAAGTCATTTAAATGATTGTTACTTCATACAGATCTTGACGCCAAAGTTCGAAAAGACATTTGGTTACGGTACCTTTTTCCTCAGTGATATAACGTGACAAACCCTAGACTCACCCGTTGTTCCTGCAGGTGTTATGTCTCTTAACTGCTTGATAACGTCGGACCTGTCTGAGCATTTAGCCTGCCTAGCCAAACAACGAATCTTCCGTTTGGTCTGGATATCTGGCTTTTTCAGAGCGGACTCATCCAGCTGAAGGGCTTCTTTAAACTGGGAAACAACTTCCTTGGAATCACAAGATCTCGATATAAGTGACTTCAAGACATCCTCAGGAAGAGCCACCGATTTCTCTCCATTTCCTACGAAACGGAATACGATTATAGAGTGTTATAGGTTGTGAGGTTAAAGTATCTATGATACTAAGATGCATGTATTTATCGGTGGATGGCTCAGCTCTTTGTCGTATTGGAAGAAAGATATTGTTTTCTCAAGAATTAAATTACCAAAAGGCTTAGTAATATGCTGATCCTATCACAGGAATTTTCATGGTAAACTGAACGGCATGACGATTTTCATTTCCGGTAAAAATCCTAGGGGCGGATCTAGGGGGAGGGTGCAGGGGTGCGCACCCCCCCGAGATGACCTGCGGTTTTCTAATACAACTGGTATTCTGCCAAAAAAAAAACCTAAAAAAAAAGCAAAAAGCAAACCATTTCCTGAGATCTTAGTCACCATGAGTATTTGCACAAGCCAAGAAGTCTAATTGTGGTCAGGCAGAGAGTTGCACGATAAGTCAGCTATGAGTCTAACGGCGAGTCTGTATAACAGAGTTATTTGCAATAATACAATACAATAGTTTATTGACACTCCCCTGGTGGGGCTTTTCAGTGACAATGCGACTAAAAAAAAAAAAACTAATTAAGATAAGAGAAGTAGTTAACAATTCGAACAAAGCAATATAAACATACCTATTTAAGAATTAATCGTATAATAAATATTCTCACTACGTACTATACAATATGCATACTTTTAGTTAAAATAAAATAAGATACTAGTAAGATACTAAAATACTATCATAACGTGTTATTTAAAAAGTCAGAAATCAACTTATTTTTCAGACAAAATTTAAAAGTAGAAATCGATTTTGCAGTTTTAAGAGTACTGTCTAGATTGTTCCAAATGTGTACCATGCGGTAGTGGAATCTTCTCTGTCCGGTACTCGGCTTATACAAGGGGATGTTTAATAATTTGCTAGCCTTCCTTTTAATCCCTCCAATCTTATATTTGCTAAACAATAGTATATTTATACTATTCAATCGGTGTTTAACGCCTTACTGGACTTAATTAAGGCCATGTCCACACTTTTGCGTTTTCAAAACTACAAGTTTAAAACACATCGATCGATTCTCGTCCACACTACCAATTTGATGCGTTTTGGACTCTCCACACTAAAACGTTCAAAAACGATAGAATTTCACGTTGTGACGCACATGTTACAAAAAACATGCGCCTACTATATTTTCGGTCATCGTTTTCATTTTGATGCGTTTTCGACCCAAAAAAGATCGCTAATGTGAGATATCAAATTTCCGGTTGGAAGGGTAACTTGGACGAGGTCCTTTTCATTTGTGTCCCTTTTACATGCGGTTAGGCATTTAAAGATTTCATTTTCTGGATTATTACCTTAAAATATCCTTTTAATTAAAGCACAATTTAATTGTTGTTCGTATAGACCTACCTTCATCATTCCACACGAGCCTTTCATCAGGTTCGCCGTGTACCTGTTGGAGATTTATGAGAGAAATTCATTGCTTTCTGAGCTTCAAAACCATCAAAACGACACTTTTGCTCTGTTAAAGATAAAGTCACGGACGTCCCTGAATTCTACGGTACCCAGTATGCTGGCAAAAATTAGTAGCGTGCTGGTTGAAAAAAAAAAGTGCACGTTGATGAGAAGCAATTTTCTTGAATCATATATAATTATTTGCTGTTTATGAGGACTGTAATGCCATGTCAAGAAACGATAGCACATGAATTCGCATGACCACTTGATGGCAACGTTCACTCTGCGTTGTCAATTCCATCCTTACCGGTGTTAACGTTTCTCAAAACCTTCTCTACCAAGACAACAGTAGAATTACACTTGTACTGCCAAAAGAGGAGGACTACCGCCCTACAGACAGTTGTTTAAACCGGCAAATAGGGACAACAGACACTTTTAACTTAAGTATGGGAAAGAGCCATACTTGGTAAGGGCCACTTGGACAAACAGTAGTGAGAGGAAGCCGCGTCTTGGTGTAGCTTAACCTCAACAATGTTATGTGACCCGAGTTAAACACTTTTATAAAGAGTCAACCTCGCCGATCTGCGCACGTACTGCTTCGTTGCTATGTAACTCTATGCAATAGACTTAGTATCGATAAAACTTATACCGTATGTCTCTAAAGGTCATTTGATGATTATGCGTAATAGGGTCACCCAGAAAATGAAGATAGGGTTCCCCTGTATCTTAAAGTTACTTACATACTGCTCTTCTGAGGGAAACCACGGAGCGAACTGCATCACCTGAATACTGGAATTATTGGCGAAGGCTGATCTGGAGCAAACCAGGTCTTTTTTGGAGCGGAACAACTCGGCAAGTGTCAGGAAGTGAAGGCACTGCTCTTCTTTGCAGTATTGTATGTTATGAGCCTGACAGTATTCAACAGCTCCTCGCTTGCAGCAGACTGTACAGGTGACAGTCATTTCATACTTCATACTTCTTAACCAGAAGAACTCATTGCGCATACACTCAAGCATCAATCCCAACTGCTCACTCACAGCTCGACAACAGGTTAACCCAGCAGTGTCTTCAGGGTGCAAGTCCTCGGACTGTGATAGCTGCGACGACACACTCTCAGCTGATCCAAGGCTACAATTTCCTCCGTGAACTACAATTTCAACTGTTGAAGAGTGGCAAATCAAAATAACCGAGTAATCATCTGTAATGGTAAAAAACCTGGCAAAATTACGAAACAAATGAGGATTCCCTGGTTTCCACAGTTTTTCTTTGCCCCATTGGAAGAACTGAATTACCAGACGCGGGAAAAAACCTAGAGGGACTTGGCCATTCTCGAATTTGATAAAAAGAGACGGAAACTTTGCGGAGGCAATCAGCTGAGACATTTTCGCCGGTGGGGGCAACTTTAACATGGAAGGTACTAGGTAGCTCTTGCCGTTTAAAGGATCTGATGGCCAAGGGCATAGCAAGCAAAATTTATTCATTATTTCGATAAGACTGTCGCACGTTTCTTTTTTGTTAAACAAGCGACCCCATACATGTTCTAGAAGTTTCTCATCCAGAATTCCGTTCCGTTCCAGCTTACACCAAAGCTTCAAGTAGTTGTTTTCTCTAGCATCATGAGGTTTGATAGTTATCACCTTTTTGAAAACGTCAATTAACCACCGCGGATTCAAGACTACCATTTTGTTCAATTCTTCAGTGTCTTTAAAATGAATTATACTTCTCAAATCATGTAAATAGTCCAGTGAAGTGTTAAACTCGCCGTCATCAACAATGTTACAAGCGTTTCGTCCAAGAACTCTAGCGGTCTCCAAGTTGATGCATTTGTATGCCTTTTCCTTCGCTACTTTAAGGACCTTCTCAAATTTCAGCCACTTGACTGGAATGACTTCGTCTATGTGAGGTAGAATTTTAGCGACAGCAAGGACCTCCTGCCGCAGACGTACAATTTCTGGGCATTCGGAGTTATTGACCTTCAGGCTTGTGTTGTCCACGACGAACACGTCATGCAGCTGGCCACCGTATGGCTTGTTCTTCAGAAACCCAAAGATCTCGTGGGCTACTTTTTTTGGATTACGACCATCGTAAGGTGTGTCTGCATGAGTGCACACTAACAAGACAGGTGGCAGCGTTTCTGGTAGATGGTCTGATTGAGGGCTAGCATCACTTTGACAGCTTGTGAGTGAGGCCACAGACATCATCCAGAAATCAAGATAATCCAAATTAGTTTTGAGACCGCAATTTTCTAGGACTTCTTTGTAAACACCTTGCTTTACAACAGGCTTGGCTATACCTTCTGGATTTAAGCTGAGATCGTACACTAAGCAATAAATTGCTCTTCTGGTGAGGAAAAGTGGGTGGGTCACATAGTAAACGGATTGTCCAGCAAAATCCCAAAACGTTGAGTAGATGTCTTCTCTCCCATCATTCAGATCACCCCGCAGAAATGATTCAGCTACAGTTGCTACCTCTTCAGGAACAACTGAGGACGGGAAGTTAAGGTCTTCATTTTTTTTTTCTGTTGGATGAGATACATGTGATATATTTTGCCTAGGGGTGGGTGCTGTATTTTCGGATGTTTGAATATGCTCAGAACTTGTTGGCTGCTCGGCATAATGGTGTTCTCCTGGTACGTCATTTGTTTCTATATCAATGCTATCCTGACTTTCCTCTGCATTCGTCGCAATCTCTGTGTTTTTTCCTGTCTCCTTTAAACTAGCCACAATTTGTTCCGTCATAGTCAAAGCCATGTGGTAGTCAAAGGAAATCATTGTGTCCAAATCCTCGTCCTGAGTTTTCTCTCCTGTCTTCCATGTCTCAGTGGATACACTGAAATACGAAGGATCGACCTCTATTCCAACAGTGCTGTCTTCATTTGGGTCGAAACAAATCCCTTTCAACGACTTCTTTAAGCTTGTTTTTCCTGCCCGATCTTGTCCAATAAGCATTATTGGAACCCTCTTAACTGAAGTCTTCCCACCTTCAAGGGCTTTTTTATAGGCTTCCAAAGCAGATGGACCCCTTGCAAGAATCTCCGGTGGAGCTAAGGGATAGAAAAAATAGCTCACTGAATTTATCAGATTATTTATACGTTTAAAAGACAAAAACACGAATTCCTCATCGTATATTACAACTCCAACAAGGCCAAGGCTAACTGGCACATTCACTAGCTTAGTATCACGATAAATACTCGAGGTATACGTGTAGGTAATCTGTTCCCAAGGCCTTATTATTCCGCGCGGCCAAAGCGCTTCGGGTCACGTGGTCTATGCGAAAATGTAAGGCCGTTTGCCGCGCGTTCGCCTCGCATATGTCACTGAAGTGAATTGACCGATAGCGACTGGGAAAACGCCGAACAGGGACTAGGTAAGGTAATCAGTTAGATCACTTGTTAATGTACTAAGTTTTGACTAATGTATTTGATAGAGTTAACATACTTGTTTTTCTCAGTTCAACCATGTTCATTTCATAGAAGACATGCCCTTGCACTTCCATAACGAACTCTAGAAACTCAGGTAGCTTCCTTACTATGGCCTCTGGTTCCCACGGCACTCCTCTACTTAGTGCCAAATCCCACTCCTCGCAGTGTAGATGTACATCAGTCTACAAAGAAAACACAACTTTGTTCTTTCACCACACAACTTCATTCTTTCAACACATAGTAAGACATGGACATCATCGCTGATCCTAGCAGTATGCAGGACGCACGTTAAATATGAACCTAGTATATGGCTTCGCTCTCCATGAGTTCTCCGTAGCTCGAGTGGATAAAGCGCCCGCCCAGTGTTTGGGAGGTCATAGGTTCGAATCCTGTCAGGGACTTAATTTTTTTTTGTCCCACGCTCGTGACATGCTGCCGATTATTTCATTTTCACACGGTTTCATTTGTTCAGCCTGGTTCACATATGCCACCGCCTACTTTCAGTTTCCGGTTGTTTATGTTCCGCGATGTCCGAGCAGTATCTGAGATAGTACCAGTGTTTATTACGCCGCAGTAACTGGATTTTATGGGGCGGTTGTGCATGAGTTCACCAGCCCTTATTAGTATCTGGGATGACCTAAAAAGGGTCCATCAGTGGCCTCTACTATGCCGCTATAATTGCGTCTAGATTTTCAATGCCTTTTGTCCTTCACTGGGTTCTCCCACTACTGGTATGTGTAATCTAACTGTTTTTAGAACGTAAAGTTGATTCAGGTTTTCTATTTTGAACTTAGCACAAAGAGAGACATCTGTATTTACTGGTCACAAAGAATCAAAATTAGGATCAAATGCCACTGAATAGGCTTTGGTAGATTGTGCTCGAAAAAAAGCATATTATGCTTTTAGCTGTGCTCATACTTTTTAGAAATTATGCCAAAATTATGCTCTCTGTCACCGAAATTATGCTACTTAGATTTTACACTGATTTTAAGGAAAATAAAGATCATCAGTAGCTTAACTCTATCAATTTTGACTTTAATGAACATTCATATAGTCCACCTTCCAGTCTTACAGTCTTTAGCATGGCAAATACGCATGTGCGCACATGATCTCGCTTTTTTGTCACTTTTAACTTCTCTTTGCCTGCGGCATGTTTTTTGGAAGCCAAGTGGTTTTTGAGAATGCTCTTTTTAGAGCTCAATATCTCCTTACACCCATTGCAAAACAGTTTTCCACCTCGAAGACACAAATTTTCCCCTGGGAATTCTTCGATTCGATCACGAGGACTCAAGTTCTTTGGATCCGAGTTACCTCTTTCCTTGTACTTTCCGGTATTACTTTTCGGAACACATTCTCTAGAGATTAAAGCTCTCGATAAGGCACTGGAAGTGTTGGAAGTGGATGTACTCGAGGAAGACGCCATCTGAGGGGCCAAGCCGCCGAGCCATAAGCGTGGTGGCCTGAGTCTCAGTCTTAAGTACAGGGTGACTTCTGCCGCCTGCCGGACCATATTTGACCATGGCTCTCAGCACCGACCTCAATATTTTCCAAAAACAATACAGAAATAAACTGCAAACTGAATTATTCTAGAGCTGTGATGGGTTTTCAACGCATAAAAGCTCGGATTATGCCAGCAGTGCTAAACTGAAATAAAAGCTTAAAATACTGCTCGTTTTGCTGAATTATGCTTAAAATTATGCTAGCACAATCTACCAAAGCCTACCACTGAAATAGGCAAACTTTCGTGTTGGTAGAAGTCCGTAGAAGTTCCATCAATCAAAGGATTTAAATCGCGAGAGTGGTAGCATGGGCAATCTATATTTCCCTCTCCTGATGACTATCATTATCCGATATTAACTTAAAATACCGATTCTCTGGTGCCTCCTCCCAAATTCCAGGTTAGTTCCTTGGAGAGGATGATTAGGAATCCTTGAACCGAGGTGTACTCGGTTCTGCATGACCACCGCCTGTGTATAACACTAAAACCTTCGGGTAGCTCTTTCGCTGGAAGACACATTCCAAAAGCATCGTCTTGGCTCAAAGTCAGTCCAGACAGATATTGTAAAAGAACCTTTCGAACTTCCTCTTCTGGTGCAGGGTCTGTGGTCAGAGCGTTATCTGTGGAAAGATAAATATAAGCGACTTACATTTCTAAAAGGGCATAAGTAAATGGATAGATGAAAACTGGCCCTAACCTTTTCTTAGGGATAAATAAGAATCAAGGGTGTTTATTGCGGCTAATGACGAAGACTTAATCAGAACGGGCCAATCCTAATGGACCTTTTTAGCTAGTATGTTTCCATGTGATTTTCTCAAGGGAGTTTTGGGTTTTTTCTTTTCATAAATTATGCATACATATGCATATACATACATATGTATAGCACATTTGAAAGGAACAGCTCTCTGGGATACCATCACGTGGTCTGAAATGAGAAAACAAAATGTACAAGCAAAAACGTTGGTCCCAACTGTTTAAAAAACGGATGGTTATATAAAAAAAATCTCTCAGCTGATTATGTAAAGGGTCTTTCTCAAACGTAACCGTTGGACAACGGTTCTTCATTCCGTGGTTAGCGTTATACAACTATTAACAACGGAACCAAAGCATTTTTGCTGTCGTAAGTAGTCATGAAATTACTACTCTTAACCAACAGTTATAGAGACTATAGCAGTGATTTGTCTGATCGTCGGTAATTTGCAGATATACAACGATTGTGTAGTGTTTGCGATTTAACTTCTACTTAGGAACTACGAGAAAGTGGGCGATGCCAATAGTGGCCTTGATACCATTATGATAAACTAATTTTTTTCCATTATATATGCGTTTAACGATTTCGTCGAAAAGGATAACCTTTCAAGGTAAATTCATTACTTCGTCCTCTGTACATTTGGCTCACTCCTTAAGGATACCCCAAGGTGCCCTTTATGTTCCTATTACGGCTCTTACGTGTTTCCCCTTAAGATTATGTTAGAAATAATTGAGCGTTCCTCTCACCTGTTCGAGCGCGAATGGTGAATCTACAGTCAAATTCACAACCAGGGAACATAATGTCTGCCTGTAAATGCTTTATGGATTTTAGAACCAACCATCCTTTGCACCGTAACCGTGTTGCTTCATCTTCAAAATAAATCTCCTCCAGACGGTTTTTAAGGTCACTAGGAACGCTTTCCGACCCACTCTTGACTTTATAGTTCGAAACCCATACCTGCATGATAGACAGATGTGTTAAAAACTACATCAGATTCTTTAGGAGACCGTTGGACTGTTTTCAAGCTTGTAATGAAATAACTTGTTTATCTGCAAGGTAGAGGGTTATATTTGAAACCAAACAGGTATATAAGCGGCAGTCACGTTATTTTTTAGTCTCTATCTACAAATTATTATTATTATTATTATTATTATTATTATTATTATTAATGGGAAAGGAGTGCTTGATGCATCATAGCCGTTTAGCACAGCTAATTTCCATCAAAAAAGGGGAGCAGTATGCCAAAACCAATCTCACGGATCAGAACCAGAAACTCATTCGCACTCTTGGGATCTGCGTTAGTTTGTCTTAGAGGCTCTAGGACAAGAAGAGTGCCATCTGACATTACGAAATGTTGATATTGACGTCGAAGTCGTTGAAGGAGCCATCCAATAGGACTATCGATGTGTTTCCTTGCTTTTAAATGTTTTTTTATCGATCTCTTAATCTTAAGTTACATCTTCTTATCGGGAAATTGTTACGGAAAGTAAACAGCAATAGATTCATATCTCGCCTCATGGATCAGAAACTTATCCGTATTATTTACGTTTATGTCATCCACTGGGACTTTTGACTTGTGATTTCTTGAAATTTTAATTGCAAAGGGGTCTTGCCGGAATTTTGTATTGATATTGACGTTTTCTTTTTAAGAATATTTTACTAAAGTTTTGTGTGCAGCTTTTTATAAGTACAATGTAATAAACTATTATTAGAGCATATTATTATTATTATTATTATTACTATCATTTAATTTCAGTGTTTGTCTCTAGAAAAAAACAGATATAACTGTAAAGAAATTTCTTTCACGACGATTTTTACTCAGTCCATAAGCTTGTTAAACCGACAATATACAATCGCTCCATTTTATTAGTACACGCACGGTTTATAGAGAAGATAAGTAGTGAAATTGGCTACGTGAGTTTTGTGGTACACAACGTCCTGGAGTAACAGAGAGCAATTCTAAGGCCAGGAAGACAAAGGAAAGAGAAATCTTTATAGAAGACATTTTCTGGGAAGAATGGCACTTTCAGTTTGAAAACAAATATTAGTTAACTGTTTACAGATTAGAAATACTCCCCATTACAAAGTCTTGTTAAAACTTGAGATAATGTTTTACCCTCTTAGTATTACCTTACATCGGACTTGATGAAAACATGGTGTTATGATTGTCATATCGTATCTTGCAAAATATGGAACATCCTCGACAGATCTTTCCTTATATTTTCCTTTAAAGATTCTTTCGGTAAGTTCCACTCCTTCTATAAACGCCAGTTTCCAAAACTGTCCCACAGATGTTGACTGAAACTTTCCAATCACCTCGTCAATGGTCCACTCTCTTCCTTCAACTTTCTCTAAGAATATTAGCATTTTTGTTAACAAGGAAAAAAATTTTGTTCATTTAATGTTTACAAATTTATTATAAGATCTATCAAGAGCAGTATTAAACACAAGACAGAAAATTAAGCAAATACGGGAACAAAATACAATTTAAGAAAACAAATTAAATCCGGTTTCAGCAAGGAAAATTTCTAATAATGACAACAAAAGCGCGCGAGTTATGTTTGCATGGGATAAGATATCACCGCAGTCTTCTCTATATTTGATAACCAGCTCCTCAATGACTAGGACTTTTAAGTTTTGTGTCGCGTCCGGAATTAAATGGAAACCCTGTTTACGCACATACCGGTTTTTTACAAAAATGCAGTCAGTACTGACTCTTCGCTAGTCTTCTCTTATCATTTGTAAGCGGTCACGGGGCGGTCGCGGGCTATTACAGCATCTCCGCGAAGGGGACAAGAAGGAGAGAGGGAAAAGGATCCATCTTCCTCTCGCGCATATTCCACCCGCTTCCCTTGTTAACATTTAATAAAGAGACAAAAGAGTTGACTGTGGACGAGTCAAACTGACTATATACCTTCACGAGGGACACGGATATTGAACCTTCCAAAGTGGCACCACATATCAGCCTTTGGTTTCTCGGCTCCTAATGAGTGATTGATCTTCTTCAGTGTCATCAAAACATCTTTCATGAGGAGTCGCTTGTAGTCTAAGTAGCTCTGAGAGTTGCACAATTCCTGATAAAAATAATATTAAGATTCGAAATCACTAAACTCATCACATGAAACCACCGTGAGCACTGTCTACTTTACACTTCCTTAGTGCACCTTAAAGAACACGATACTCGTCTAGAATTAGTAGTGATGAGGCCGCCATACCATCAAATATATATATATCCGTTTCAAAGCAGAGTACAACTGCAGATAATTCAACAACTAGCCACTCTTGGACTTAACATGACTTTTCCGATGAAATTCTTGAGTTTATTTGAATTTCATATCTACAGTGATATGTACAGACGCACAAGTTGTTAATGCCAGTCATGCCTTTTGTACTTAATAAGTTGGACCTACATGTTTCCATTATATTCTACGACAGTTGGTGGTAGGTATGCAACCAAACTGAGGTGGCTTAACGGTCATAGCATGTTAATGCCCTAACTTCTCCAGTCTTGAGTTCATACTTAAAAAAAATATCTCTTGTATTCTATTCTTTCCTACGGTTGCACGAGTCGATACACTCAAATATCGTGGAACAAAGTTAATAAGAGAAGCCGAGAGCACAGGCAAGAGCACTTTGATAATGATTTCAATCTCGGGTGCAAAAATCTCACAACGAATCCTCCCCCGCCTTCACCTCACTTAGTCCTTACCTGTGTTTCATATACTTGGGCTGGTTTTAGTCGGAATTGTGAATGCGTACCCGCTTCTCTCACTTGTTTCAGCTTCACTTTGTTGCCTGGAAGATTGAAGCCATCGATGTAACGGCTGACTTTGTTAGAATCACGTTCAATGCCCCTCATTATGCCAGCAGACTAAAACAATATACACATTTGGAAGTCAAAGAAGGAGCTACTACTATTTAAATAGCCCTATTATCTTCTGTAAAATGAGATATTGAAACCCGATGAGATTAAATCATTTCCCTTTAGTTTCCTGGGATAGTATTCTTGATCACTGGGTTCAGCAGACATGAATTATCTGAAAATTTGCCGTGAAACTGGGTTTAATGTACATGCTTAATTCCTGCAACTTAACTTTACATGTATCTCATTCTAGCGTACTAGAAGGCAATTCGTTAATTTAGAGTCAGGACGGTCCAAAAATTTAAATATTTAAAAATTTTGCTAAATAATCCCTAACTACAACATTTCAAACCATTGAAAGCGTTCCTACCACTGCGTTGCCAATAAGTGCTCTTGCGTTCTTCCTTTGATCGTCATTTCCTAACTTTATGTAAACTTCCCCATCCTTGTAGCTGCGAATGACTTTTGCTCCTGTCTGGGCGCTTATTTCTCGAAGTTTAGAACCATCTGTCCCCATCACCAATCCTTTGTACTTGCCAGGAATTTTCACTAGCTCCCACAGTGTGAACTTAACACCCTCCTGATAATTAAAAACAAAAGACCGCAGATTCTGAATTAAACAACACAAAAACAACGGCTGCATGCCTTTTAAATGCGTACCAAAAGTAATGATTTCCGAAAAGAAACTGGTAATTTACAAATGGTATCTAATCTGCATTAAACTCGTTTCCTGTTGTTGACAATCGTTAGCTAATGATACCACGACCAGAAACTTTGCAAATTTTTTGTAAAAGCTAAGCGTGAAACAAATACACTATTAAAGGAAGAAAAATAATAAAATAAAAAGAAGAACAATTGTAAAATAATATTGATAACCTATCACGAAGTTAAAACCAGAAAATAGAAATTTAATTAATTTAAAAAATTCCACACGCCAGAATAACTAACTGTGTATTGCGTCACGAAGACCACGTGGCTTCCATAAAACGATGGTTGGATTTTTGTGTGTGTGTGTGTGTGTGTGTCGATTCTGACAATCCAACGTCATTCTTAATGACCCAGGAATAGTCCTTTTTGTACCCTTAACGACAATAAGACTACTGGATACCTAAGGTCTTTTTCCCTCTTCCGCGGATATTATGACGTGATATTACTTGTGTCTTGAGTTGGAACTTTAGAAGTGGGGACTGTTGTCAGGTAAAAATTAAAAGTATAACAAAAATTCTTAAGGAAACAACTTGTATTTGTTACTCACTACTTTTTCCAATATAAGCTTCTTTGCATATGCTCTTTGCTCCTTATCACCGTTTACTAAGAATCCTCTCTCCTCCTTGCTCTGTGAGCTAATTCTTGCTCCAGACTGACGCATGATTTCTTGCAACATGCAGCCGCCCCTTCCAATAACATGACCCTTTAGTTCTATTGGCACCTCTACAAACTCGCTCTCTGTCTCGTCAGCAGTTTCCTCTTTTATACCAGTATAAGAAAGTCTGAAGATTTTGAAGAGATAAGAAGATACATCAAAAATATATTGTGTTTTACAGATGTTCAAATCGTAATTCCTTGCAGTAAACTTTAGAGAACTACGTTTAATCAACTTTTACTATCATGAAAATGGCAACTTATTCTCGCGAAGCGAGCGGTCGAAGACCGTGAGCGACGCAGGATTATAATCTCGTCGGGCACGAAGCGCGTGTACGTCGCGTGGACTTGGCCAGCTGCAAAATCGGTTGCCCTAATTTCTGAATATTTCTCTTGTGTCCACCCTGACGTCAGGTGTAGCGTGACGTCATGAAGCCTTTTTTGGTTTCCTGGCTGTATTTATCGTCTGTGAAACAGTGTTTACCGGATTGGTGTATCACGAGCAATTTCCCATGCAAATGACACAGAACAGCAACCACAAGTGGCTGCAAATCCTCGCCGAGGAAGATTTTCCACCGAAACTCCTTCTGGAGCGAGAACGCCGACTTGAAATTCTTCGCCAGCGGAGAGGAAGACGAGAACAAGAAACCGCGGAGCAGAGAGAAAATCGTTTAGTGCAGTTAAGGCATCGTCGTCAACCACAAACATGTATAGAGGCAGCGACAAAATCATATTACAATTACACTACAAACGAAACTGATGAAGAGAGGAAACAATGACTGCCGATGCTTCAAAAAGCGATCAGGAGAGGCAACGCCTGAAATTTACAGTCAAAATTATCTTCTTCGATGCAACGATAGGCAGCAAGAGTTACACGATCTGTGCAATGCACGACAAGAATATCTTTACACCTTGAGCAACAATGGGTTTTACAGTAAGCTTTATTTTACAGTAAACAGTTTAGAACACCAATAATCGACATTAAGGGAAGCGTTACATTTGTAAACAACATCGTTTTTGGACAAATTTTTCGTTTACAATTTTCATTACATTTTAATAAGCTTACTTCCCCATGGCCAAAACCATCCCAAGTTAAATATATATAGTGTATAGCAGCCTTATACAAAACCACAGCTGTGTCTTTTAAGTCAAACATAACAAAAACTTATTATTGCTGGCCTCCATTTTCGATGCTAATTTGTTTTTCGAAAAGAACATCTGTATTTCGGATCTCCTTAGAATGTTTATAGTGTGTGACATAGTTGCCATCGATGCCAGGAAAATTTATTCTTTTCCCCGTAAGGGACAATTTAACAAGTTAGGGAATTTCAGTATACATATGAAAGACAGGGAAAATTTAACTCTTTCAAAGAAGTCAGACGGGGGTGATATATATATATATATTTCTGCATATTCTCAGAAGTTAAACATGTTCCATTGCCAGAATATTGTTTCAAGAAATGAAACGACTAGCAGATGATATAGGGTTTCCTACAAGATCAATCCACTCTGCACTCTATGTACCGGACACAGATGACATTAAACAAAAGAACAACAACCATTAAACAATACCAAGCAGATTTTTCCCTCAACAGAAAATAAAGAGGTCCTTTGTGTTAAGTCATCTATGTCCAGTACACAAAGTTTTGACCGTAATTTGGAAGCCATTTTTCTGGACAAAGTGTCAATTCCTTTGGTCAGGGAAAGTGTACATTTGACTGTCAGTCTGGGAACTTCAAAAACTAATTACCTCTATGTCTCAACAAGCTCATGCATGCAAGAATTGAGAAAATGGTCACCTTCAACACGACTTGTATGGGAACATTTCATACAAATTCACTCTTGCAGGGGTATTTGTTTTTCATGCATGTACACAAAATAACTATGAACACTTTCATAAATGATTTGGTACTTTTAGCAGGGATTCAGAGCTAACGAAGGCTTCCATATTCAGTAATCATGAGTCATGATCACTTTCATAATTCTCCTGAACTGCATCCTTAATGACATTGCTACATGTAATTTCTATTTTAAAGATTATGTTTGCACCTTACTGTTACAAACAATTAATTCTCAAGTGTGATTATGTACTACAACAAGTGCAACCACTCTCATTGGTGTAGTTCACTTAACAATAAACATTTTTTTGCCCATTACCAGCATTTACTAATTGTTTTCACTGCGGCCCATTATCCCCTACCATTTCATCCACTTACTACTACTGATACACTTCACAAATGATTATACAATTTACACATTATTAGACATGGCATGGGTTAGCTTTTATAAAGCAAATGCTACTGCATATTTGCCTTCAGTTATTCACTATCACACCCATTTCCTTTTGACTATAATTACACATGTTGGAGGGTCAAATGGGGTGAACACCGGACCTATGAAACATTGGCCACCGTTCCTTAACAACACCCCATTTAAATCCCGGAAGATCCTTTTTAATGCCAGAGGACTGGGTTCAAATTTACTCTGAGCAAAAGAGGATTAACTACATCTCACCTTCCCCAGTTACACATTTACTCCAATTCTCCCGCCTCCATCCCTGACATTTTACGAGCCTCCCCCATGAGCTTCGCGAGTTTCTGCGATACACGTATTTATAGTTCCACATTTCAGTGACATTTGGTAAGTTGATTAGAAGATTGCTGTAAATATTTATGAAACAATTCAGTCAATTGCAATGTTGATATGACTTCTACAAGGAAAGCCCTTTGAAACCAACATATAGCCACTTTTTGGCATTTTGGTTGCCGCTTACAAGATATTTAAGACGGATTTGCATGCACAAAGTTGGCAGCCTCTTGGCGACTGAACTAAACGAGTCGGCAATGATACGTAACTGGCACGAGTTTGTAATCAACGGTGTTTAAGGAATGTATGAATTAACTCGTCTTACTGCAAACAGTGCAAAGTCCAATCATGATAAAGATTACAGATTATGCAAAATTTAAAGTGAAAAAGGTTCGCTGACATTTGTTTGCATGACTTGGTTTCAATCATTAATGTTCACTCTTAGATGTAATCTCAAAAAACAGGGGCACCCAACGAGGATATAGTTCAAAACCACTTAACATAGCATTTTTGAACGTATTTTAGTATTTAAACGGTAGATATAGGCATATTTTTATCCCCTAAAAGTTTTTCATCTGTTCGGATTTCCTAGGTGAAAGTCTAGTGATCCGAAAATTATAGGGATCAAAACGTACCTTTTCGAAAATTTCAGCCAGGAAAAAGCTCCCGAAAATTCTAGGTGGCCTTTTTTAGGGTAAATACCCGTTTAAAATGGGTAATTATACCATTTTGTAGATGCTCGAAAATCCTAGGAGAGGCAGGCAAGCAAAAAATTTTACAACAAATGTTCCGAAAATTCTAGTTCTCAAATCGTCTTCCGAACAGATAGTTACAGTTTTTATAGCTACTAACTGAACAGCTTAAAGAAACAACTCATCAGATAACTACTGCTGGGTAAATTACTTCCTGCGAAATTTATTTTGATTTGCGAGAGCGTTTATAACTGCCACTTTTGTTAAAAGGTTGTATAAATTCATTTAGTGTAAATTCAAGTTGACATCAATGGTCGCCAAAATAAGCGGCATTTCCTAGTGAGTGTTCAGTCGATCTTAAACAAGGAAACGAATGTCAAGCAAATTTATTTCCTTGCCCAGTGAAATGTGCGTTCGTTGTATCTTAGTATTGATATTATCATTACCCTTCTTCTACGGAAAGAAAATAATAACATGGTATTTACTAACTATGTGAGTTGAGAACCACACAATAAACAAAATCCGAGAGTCGACTAAAAAATAAAAGAACTTTAAGATGACTTACCGCTCTCGCCGTCGATCATAGCCCTCGCTAGCCATGTTTTTCTTTCATTTGACGCAAAATTCTTAGTTCTAACTTTTCCTTAACAAATACACCCAACAAGAAAGCGACTTTACAAGAAAGTAATCGAGAGAAAAACATCAACACAGCATCCCGGAAGTGCTTCCGGGTGAGCTGTCACTACGGTCGCAAAGAATGATGGTGCTTTCTATTTGAACAATAGAAACTGAACTTCCTGGGAATGCAACGAAAGCGAATCATTCAACGGCAAACTCTTTATAACAAAACCGAATAGGAATTTCCGGGCAAAGAGTTCAAACACTTGGGTTTAATTAATAATACCGTGGGGGACGAAAAGTTTGCATGAGGTTTGCGTGTAATTTTGCTGATCAGTGATTTTCAGTGATTTTCTCTTTTCAGTGACATGACCACCCAGTTCGTAGGGGAAGTCGTTCCATTTTTTCCCCTAATGAGTCTTGCCCATACATCTGGGTTCAATTTTCATGGGGAAACAAGCGGAAAAATTCAGAGAGATATTGTCGAACGTTTTTCCACAAATAAAGCGATGCTATTTTCGACGCCCTACCTTAAAAGCCGGTTGTCCATTGTTTTTTCAATGCAAATCACTACCGATTCCATCCAGAGAGTTTGTGGCTTTCATGTTCTTGTGACTGTCTTTGCCAATATTCGATCAAGACTATTTTCTAGACTTTCTGAAATAAGTGAAAACCTGACGCACAACTAAAAGTTACGAAACAAATGCCCAAAGTGTACATAAGCCATTCGAGAAGAGATAAAGTGCCATATGATTAAGAACTCTTTAAGAGAGCGTTGACAAGTCGAGATAAGCCTTTGAAAAAACAAAAGCAAAACGCATAGTTCTGCTATTTTAAACGGTTTATCTTGATTTAAATCCTGTGAATGTTGAGGCGTTGATTACTGAAATATTCAAGAAACTATTTCCCGCCCTAGGCTGCAAATCTGCGCGCGCGCAAAATCAATCCAGATTATTTATATTTTATGTTAATACATAATTGTCACTATCCTTGTTGGTTTTGGTAAACACAGGCTCGTTGCAATGCCTTGCTGACAGGCATTATAGAAAAGAGAAGCGATAGCCGCTGATTCAGCTTGGCATACCTATTCACTTAATATTAGGAGTCCGTGCAATCAACTTCTCTGCAGATCAGAATAGTCCGACGCACGGAATACAACTATTGTCATCTTAGACCCTGTTTACATGGAGTGGGGGACCCCGGTCTAGTGGGGTAAGTTTCTTTTGTTTTGTGTCCCCCGGAGCGTGAAAACAAAAGAAACTTACCCCACTAGACCGGGGTCCCCCACTCCATGTAAACAGGCCCTTAGACACGGACAGAGGGACTTTGTTTATTTCCCTCCTCCTGTTAATTTAGTCGTTGTTAAAAAGAATGGTTATTGCCAAAGGAAAAGTTAGAGACAAGTAATAAAGTGTTGATGGGCACCCGATATCAAAAAATAACGTCTTTTTCTGATGTTCATCACCAAATTAAACCAATAACCTAAACTTGAATTTGCAAAATAGGAAAGTAAATTTGTCTTGCTTATAAGGTTGTTGTTGGCGTACACGAGTAACATCAAAAGTAAATCTGTAAATCATAACTGTATTTTAATGTTAGCAAAAGCAGCAATCCACTTTAATATAGGTAATTTACAGATCGCAACGGCCTTGGTTTGCAAGCCCTGTTAACAAAAAATTAACTCTCTCCCTCTTGGACAATTTTATTTGTCACTACAATGTTTGAATCTGCGGACGAAATCCTGTGGTGCTACCATTCAAAAAAACTCTCTTTTACAGAACTTTTGCGTGGAAAAATTTATTTTTTACGGGATCAGTTTTCAAAAAGAATTTTGGCTACTTTTAGGATTGGAGCGTTAAAAGGGCTAAAACTACTCTTAATTAATGATTACATAACTCTACACGGTTACAACTTTACTCAGGCGAAACAGAGGATAAAGTCTACTCACACTAATGTATTTGTATCTGTTGGTATCTCATCATTTTTGAAACGTTCTCTCTAAATGTCACTGACATAATGCGCTCTTTAAAAATATTCGTTGCAGTGTTAAATTTTGGGCTTCATCTGCCGCTTGACTGTTATCAATTAAAGATTCATTCGTGGATAACACTCTTCATAGGTTAAATATAAAAAAGACACACAACACCGCAACAAACGCTGAACTACCTGGTGGATTTCATCAGAGAGTTCTGGGTGGATAGCCAGTTGAACACACAAATGGCTTTCTCTTTTTCGTGGTCAAAATTTGTCTCTTCATTTCTGATAAAATGTTCCAAAGCGTTTGCCTGTCCGTCTTGATGGTCTCTGTTCCAACACAATTGGCCAGGAGACGAGAAGCGTCTTTGATTAGTCTTGAATGGATTTGTTGTGACACTCGTATTTTCAGCCCGGCTGTGTCGATTTGTCAGCCTCGTCTTATCAATCGCTGCCAGATCCCTTTGCCCACTTAGTGAGCTCTGTTTCAGTCCGTCTTTTAATGGAGGAAGCTTGATTTCATTTTGTGACGTATTGGTGCCCTGTGAGCTTAACTCTCTGTTACCTTTTATCATTCCTTGATCGCTACTGTAAGGTGACGTCAACACAGGTTCCCATGTTACTTCCAATTTAGCTGGAGCGGTTATTCGCCTCCGCTCCAAGCTTGGCCTTCTCGTGTAAACACGAGGAGCTGGCGTTGATGCTCTTCGAACTAAAAGCCGTTTTCCGTTTATTTGTAACTCGTCTGTTTTGTTGTCCATTTGTGTATCTTTATTGGAGAACCATAAGGACCCATAAGGACTATGACTCTAGCTACAGGTTGACGAAATCAGCGGGGTTCAAAAAGTCAATTAAAGCCGGTAGCCACTGAAGAGTTGTGTAAATAAGCCGAATTTCCTGAATTGTCTTCTTAAACGAACGCTATTGTGATTGATATGAATGTCACCTGCCAAAAGCGGAATTTATAACCTACAATGCACAGGCTTCAAGCACTTTTCAGAGTCTTTGGATGACAGGAAAATGCACACTCGAGCTGTACGTTATTCCATATGGCTTTCAGACATGCATTTAGCTTTCAGACCTGCGTCGTTAGCATGTTTTCATTTTCCGAAATCGGCTGAATTGCATAACATATCACGCACATTTCACGTGCTAAGAACAATGCAGGTCTCCGTGGCTATCAGTAGAGGAAGGGTGGGAAAAGCAGAATGTATAAATCTAGACTGGAATTCGTCCAAAATTCAACTATCTTTTCTATTTTATACATGTTAGCTTTCCTTTTAAGGTTCCATTTTTGCGGTAAGCGACACTCCTCCGCATAAAGTAAAAGCGAGCAAGGTTAAAAGCTACTTGAAAATCAAGCTTTTTTTTCTTTGGTTTGTTGATGGTTGTTTGTTTGGTTGGTTGGTTTTCCTCTAGAATCTTTCATCTTGACTGGGTTTCAACATAGTTTTGAGTTTGATATGAACCTATTATCGCAACCAAAGGAAAAATAGGATTGAAATGTCAAGTCGTTATGCGTTGCCCTCAAGGGTGAGGAGTAGGCGAAGTCCGCGCTTATATCTCAAAACGTAAGCCACTATTGGAGCTGGAATGAAAGCGACTTCCTCTCGTCAGAGACCACTGGGTTAGACATTTTGTGTGGCCGCTTTTCGGAGGTTCCACACTTTCAGTTATGGGTAAAATTAAGTGCAGTAACGTACGCCTGCCCCCAATAATGAAACTGCTCATGCTACGTTTGCAGTATATAAGTCGTGCTTCAATTTTATCCTTGGTTTTAATTCTCTTTCCCTTTGTTAGGGGTAAGTAAGGCAGAGAGTAAGTAGATGGCTTTAGGGTTTTACGCTTGTCTGCTTTACGATGACCGTCTTTGTTAACTGCCCTTCGCCTCTCACAAATAATTTACGAAAGATTTAAACCGTGGTGGCCTTTTCCAACTTGTTCAAGGCGTGGTGTAATTTAATAAATATCAAGACAAACAAACGTAGAAACAAGACTTACTGCGAGCAAAATGGGCCTTTTTAAGATTTTTTCTTTTTGTCTACCTGTTAACAACAGAAAATAACAAAAACCTTGGTGCTATTTTAGTATGTAATACTTTTAATTAATTTTAGCTCCTCTAAAAATTACTTCCTTATTACCCCTGGGGCATTCACAGTTCGTCACATTTGATGTCAACTGATTCCAGCACGAAATGTTTTGACATTTCGTTTGTTTTAAGTCTTGGTTGTTATTCACATTGCATACCTCACTTTGCATGTGGAACGAGGCATCGTGGACTTTGCTTTGCCCGCCTAAATGACCGTAAATTGATTGTTGAATAGGAAAAAGTGCCAGTTTGCGTTAAGATTGGGAGAAAAATCACATGAAATCATCCATAATGAAACGCTACTGTAAAAATAGCCTTATATACCTTCTCCTCCTGTTTTTGTCTCTGAGGTCAGTAAACAAGTTAAGCCTAAGAATGAAACTATACCTCTACTTGATTCGACATAGTTCTATTGTAATAGCGTAATTTCTGTAATTTATGATAATGAAATTTATCTAAACACTTAGACTTTACAGACGCATTAAGCTGTGGCATCCATATGTTTCAGTGATGTTTTGCCGGTAGCTTAACCAGTCTTAATTGAGTTATAAATGCTTCATAGCTTAACTGTTATTGCAGACTCTCAAGATTGGTAAAACCTTTTTTTTTTGGTCATATTCGTCGACCCAAACATGTACAACCTCGTTGACTAAACAAACCTTTAGCCTTGCTGTCATGAGCAAAGGTATTTCGTATACTGATGTACGTGCCCCAAGGTATGGGCTCACAGGTTAAATCGACTTGTCCTTAGAATTGCAAAGTTGTCCCATTTGGTTTATTATGGCTTGGATTGTAATTTGTCAATTTTAAAACCTCCATGACTTTGATCAACAGTGAGTTATTTTAGCAATAGACACATTGTTTTCTTACTACCGTTGTCGCTTCACACATTAGATGGCTTCGTCAGCTTCAACACGTTTACATGATGACCCAGTCATCATAACGGGATGCGAAATAAAGAAGTCATCCCGGTGTCACAGTGATATGTGTATCCCCGTGATATGTGTATCCCCATACACATATCCCTAGTGATATGTGTATCCCTCCAATATGGCTGCTAGTGAAATGTGTATCCCTACCCCCCACCCCTCCAAACAAGTGTCGGTTTTATTTTTGTTGTTTTTGTGAATTTTGCGAATCGTCGTCAAGGGGACTTCAAATGATTCAAGATTACGAGCAACACAATCGACAAAAGAGCAACGATTCGAGACAAAATAATCGCAACGCTGTCTCTGGCGAGTTTACTTCTTCGTGGGCCGCAATGTTGATGTAAACATTCGTTCTCGCTCCTCTCCCTATCCAACGTGATAAAAATTCATCTGTCTCTAGTCGCGTTAAATAAGTATGACTGAAAAAATTTCATTCAGCAAGGGATAACCCGAAAAGTCAAAAAATAGAGAGGGGATACACATATCTCTGCGCCGGGTCAGTGATATGTGTATCCCTTCTGCGAGCGCCACAATATTCCACCTTTGCATGTTGTTTGATTCCTGTCTTAACCCTAGTTGTGTTACTAGTTATGTTAGATGATATCGACGGCATTTTCTTTAGCAAGAGAAGATATTTCCTTATTGTGTCGTGGATGAGCATCAGTGTTTATTGTACCCCCACCCGGGATACATATATCACTAGGGATATGTGTATGGGGATACACATAGCACGGGGATACACATATCACTGTGACACCGGTATGAAACTCGCGCCGGTATGAGTTTTCTACTATAAACATCCCCTTTCTAAACGCGTCCGTCAGATACCCCCTACATATACTTTTCTGAAAGTAATTAATCGAATTAAATTTATTTTTTTGCTCTGTTTTTCTCTTTAGAGTAAGAGCTATTTCCTAAGTCAAGGTCGTGAGTTACATGAGTGGGCATCAAACCCTTTTGAGCATTAATAACATTTCGCCCTGTGTGAATTTACCCATGGGTTTCAACCATGTTGGGAAGTATGGCTTGTACAGCATTGAGGGCACTCGCAGTCCACCTATGTGTACCCGAGTTGGAGTCCGACTGTTGTCGTCGTGTGTGGGTTGAGTTTGTTGTTTGCTCTCGTCCTTGGTCCGGGAGATTATTCCGCTCCGAGCACTTCGGATCCCTCCGGCCCCAAAGTCGCAAGAATTACAAGGTAAAAGCACACACATGCACAAATAACCTTTAGCCTGGAAAAGGGCCTTCCCGTTTTACTCGACGCTTACAAATCCCTATTGATCAGTTTTTGTCCGCATTTCTTGAAGAACAAATCGTTGTACTTCCTTTACGAACCTAAAAAACTCTGGAAGTTTCGCAGTTATTTGTTCAGGTTCCCATTCTCCGCTATTGAGTAACTCGTCCCACTCTCTACAGTGTAGATGAAGATCGGTCTGCAAGAAAATAACGGGAAAAAATAGTATGGGGCTACGCTCGCCCGCAAGAAGCGCGCGAGAGGGTAGCCCCATACCTAAGAAAATGTGTTAATCTACCCATCCGAAAAAATTTTGGTAATCACGTGACCGTACGCCCGACCGACCGTCCGTCCACACTACAGGCATACCAATGTAAACTAGCTCAATCAACAGGTATGGCAACCCAAATGCAACTCGAGGATATTTCGCCGGGAAATCGCATAGCCACCCGCGTCTTGTGAAGCAGAGACAACCAAAGAGTCAATAAATACGAAAACGGAAAGCGGAAATTGTTTCTGTGTCCGTATATTAAGCGAGAAAACGAATGTCAAATTTCAAAAGAATTGTAAAAACTGGTAAAATTCTGAAAATTTCATGTGTAAGATGTCATTTTTTGAAATTTGGCATTTATTTTCTCGGGCTCCTACGAGAAATAGTCGTTGGGGTTATTACAGATAACTCATTACATCTATAGCCCTTGAAAATAGGCTGACACCTCCCTTAGACGGACAGTTAAGGTGATGTTACACGAGACGATTCGCAACGACGATTTTTAGCGCAACACAGCGTTGCAACAACATTGTTGCGACATTGTTACGAATGGTCACAAAATTGTTCCAACATTGTTGCGCTGTGTTGTGCTAAAAATCGTCGTTGCGAATCGTCTCGTGTAACATCACCTTAAGAACTGGTCCAAACAATGTGTTACCTACAGAGAGTTGATCTTAGTTCGAAATTGAGTGTATGCTCTTTTAAATTCATACCGATTCTCTCGAGTCTTCCGTTGATATATCGCTACGCCAAGAGCTCTCCTTAGAAAAAATAACTGCAAATCCTGGATAAATTTCGTAAAGAGATCGTTCGGACCGTCGTTTGTGGATCAAGTGAAATCCTTCAGGTGGATCTCTCTCTGGGACGCAAATTTCAAGACCATTTTCTTCTGTCAAGGTCAGTCTGCTCAAATATTCCGATAACGCTTGTGTCGACTCTTTCGGTGCATAATCTGCCGGGATTGCACTTTCTAAGGATAGAAGAAAATGAAGTCAAAGCTTTAGTAATTACCAACACTCTGTAAACGGTCATTAAAGGGGTGAATAGGACAGCTTGCGGAGCGGAAACTTAGGGACTCGAATCGCGGCCCAATTACCACACGGGGTGACGTTACGTCCATTCATTTATGAGGTCGGGTGGTTTGTCCGCCAGCCTGATAAGGCACGGCAACTAGCAGATTTTTGTCGAGAGGAAAGGCGGCTACGACTTAAGTTTACTCTAGTTACTCAAAAGCTCAAAATATCCAAAACGTAATCCCAAATTACGTTCTGAGTAATTTCAAAAAACCCCAGGCGAGTAATTAGGGTCTAGAGACGTAGTTCTCCTCCTAAAATGTCACTCTTAGGGTCAGTTTAGCCCCCAAAGTAGTAGTTTTAAAACCTGTACATCTACAGTTAAATCCGACATTTTTAACCACACAAATTTCGATGGACATTTCTACTAACCCTCTTCTATTTTACTTATTGTAGCTATTACAACTGTCACTCTTTAAGGTGTTCTAATCAAAGTCATACCCATTCGCCCACGAATAGTGAGCCTACAGTCAAACTCGCAACCGGGAAACAAAATATCTGCTTGCAGATATTTTCTAGATGGAAGCACCAGCCATCCTCTACACCTTAATCGCGTTGCCTCGTCTTTAAAATGAATTTCTTCCAGGATGTTCTTCACATCACTGTAAGGAATTGGAATGTCTTCCAACTTTTTATCAGTGTTGTTTCTTGTGATCCAAACCTGTGAAAGAAGAGCAAGGTCTAGCCGGTTAAAGACGTTCAGATAGGAGGGCCGGCGCAAAAAAGGTGAGCCCTCCAGTTTTGCGCCACTCTCCATTATCTGAACGCCTGGAGAGAATAGGCTAACAAAGGTCTGAATTGAGGATCTTCTCTTGCATTACTAGCAATCTCATTGACCAGGTGGGGGCAAAAACGGGACGGGAATGTTAACAGCGGTAATCATTCCAGACAAGATTTAGAAAAAAAAGGAAGACGCCTCTGGGCACATAAGCTAACATTTTCCACAAGCATTCTATTTCCATGTTTCCGATTGGCCACAAGAGCTCCTCCGACCCGTTATCCTCACGACGATGTCAGTAATAGTTACTAGAGGGAACTAATCCTCTCTATCAATTATAATTTCATCTCCGAGTATGCAGTCCTAATTATCTCTAAAGGTGGATAGTTAGCAGATCCTAATAACCAAATGACACCTAGTATAGTAATCCAGTAGGAGGCGGCTCTGTCGTACCCTTTCTTAAATTCCCAATCTTCGGGTCGATAAATTAAAATTCTTACTTGACTCCGAGGCTTTAGGGACAAAATTGCAAATTTTTCACCGTTGTCTCGCAATTCCCAGAAAAGAGTTGAGCACAAAAAACCAATAAAGAAATATGACCGGAAGGCCTCAGAGTCGTGTTAGAATTTCAATATATCGAACTTGGGCTATTGAATATCAACTGACATTGGCTCCCCTTAGTCGCTTCTATAAGAGGAGCACCAGCGTGAGTAGAGTAGGCAGTCGTTACAATATTAAAGGACGATGGTGAAAGTCGGTGTTTGAGCTTAGTGTCTACTAACATGTGGGTTCAACACCATCCGACAATGATGGTCACGTAGTTACCATCATCGCCTGACCAATGGCTCAATCGAACACTCGACTGATGAATACGACATCATCCAATGTTGAATCCGTTAAACTATGAGAACATCGTCAAACAAGGAGATAAAGTGCATCCAGCAGGCTGCATCCATCTGTGTTGGATGATAAGCAGGTGGAATATGATTGTGATCGACAGTGTAGCCCTGAATAGGACTGACTGTTGTTAACAGTGACTGACGTTTTGACAACCTGTGTGGTAGTCATTTTCAGAGTCAAAGTGAGTTGTTACTTGTATCACGTCAGTTGATGGTATTTCACTGTTTTAATGTTGGATGATGTTAGACGAACATGCTGGAAGCGCTCAATGGCGGCCTTACCTTGAATCTTATTTCATTACCACGTGGCGTTAAAAATGCCAAGTCATATCTTGCCACATAGTCAACATATTCTTCACGAGTACTTTCGTAGTCACTGATTTTTTCCAAGATGTTTTCATCTAGATCAACTCCTTCCTTGAGTGAAGTTCTCCATAGACTTTCTCCATTGTCGATTTGAAACCTTTTTCTTACATCTTCGATAGTCCACTCTCCTTCCTCAGCTTCCTCTGAGACAATAAAAGAGTCCGTCAATTTGAATATAGAGCATGCTGCAGATTCTAGCCTTATTTGTGTCGTGAACGTGGAGTTTCCTTACTTTTAAAACCATTAAATCTTGGATTATTTCTAATTTAAAACATCTTGCCTCGAAAGGTCACTGGAAACGAGCAAAGAGCCCCTGTTTGCTTAGACAAGAAACTTTGCTCCACGAGGTATTTATCGATCTATATCTTTGGGCGTGCATGCAACTCGTCAGAATTGGGAAGGGAAGTCTCAATCTCATGGGCTTACGAGCGTCGTGGGCATGACTGAAAGAAAGTACTACCTTCGTCAGGTCCCCGGATGATAGCTCTTCCAAAGTGACACCACATGTCGGCCTTAAGGTACTCTTCTGTCGTCATTTGTTCCTTTATTTTTTTAAGAGACTCCAAAGCGTCACCAGCAAGTTGTGACAAATAGGGTGGGTCCTCAGTAGAATTGGAGACCTTGACAAAAGGCAGGTAGGTCGGCTTTAATAAACACACGTTACACTAAAAAGTTGTTATCAGTGCTGTAAGAAACGAAACCACCTCAGTGTCCTGTTCCTTTGGACAAGTGAGGCTAAGTACGGAAGGAAATTTTTGGTTTGCTAGCTTTGCAACCTCAGTGAGTTATAGCCATTGAAACGACAGGCTGTTTTATCGATTATCAGTACAGTAGCTATAATAAAAGGATTTTAAAAGCGATATAACAGAGAGAGAAAGAAGCTAGGCATAACGTGAGGAATTTAATTCCTTTGTCCTTTGAGAATAGACACATGACATGACATCTTTTGAGAACCGGTAATAACTCAAGGTTGCACGTGCACTACACTTTTTACACTGGGTTACGTAGGTAAAATGTGATCATCTTAACGTAGCTTGAGGAAGTAAGAACAAAACATTCTTGCAAACCTGTGGCTCATTGTGATCAGAGGGTATTAGCCTGAACTGTTTATCCCAACCTGGATGTACCATACGATCTTCTTTCACCAACTTCTTCAGTTTAACTTCACAGTCCTCAGGGAGATTCCAGCTATCAATGTAGACACGAGGTTTGGCGAATTCGTTTTCTAAACCCCTGAGTCTTGCTCCAGCCTAGAGACAAAAATTGAGCACTGTTTGTTGTATGTGTTAAACTAGCCGCTATTGCATAGTGTGAATGGATTGAAGAGGTGGTTGGTTGTGTACGACTGAGGTTCCAGGTTCGAGCCCCTCTGAGCAGCACTTTGCATCTCAATGTTTACGTCAAATTTCATTCAAAGAACTAACGCCTGCCTTATACATAATGGATTCGTCTATTGCCAATGCTGTCAAGAATATAATAACAGGAAATTAAGCTATTTCAGTATACTTACTATAGCTACTTTAATGTGCAGTCTGGCCTGCTCCTTCTGTTCGTCGGTGCCACTTACTATGTACACCTCACCATCTTTGCGAATCAATTTTGCTCCTGTCTTAGTGCTGATAAAACTGAGATTGTCTCCCCCTTTACCCATGATTAATCCCTTGAATGCGCTCGGAATGTCCACAAATTCACCAGGTGGAGCGTTTTCTTCTGATTTCCTCCTCTGCGTTTATGCCAGAAAACAAGACAGTGAACCTTTTATTAGTCTTGTTTTACCTGCTGTCAACAAAGACTATAAATAACCAGTTGTATACAGACAGTCTTCTTGAAGGCTAAACCTACTAGCAACAATTGTACTTACGTATTGGTCCGTATTCGTAGATGGATGATTTTTGTGGCCAAAGTTAATTATTTTAATGAAACATATATATATATTTTTTTTTAAGGCTGTTAAGGCCTCATGAACTCGGGCCTTTAGATGGGCCTTTGTACATAACACCACTCTGGCAAATAATCTGAGAACCCATATCTTCAGTTAGCAGAAGCAGGCATTAGCACTGAGATTGATCTTACACCAGTCTTACTGGTATGTGTTTTCACCAGTCTCATGTAATCAGGGCCTGATAATTGCCGTATAAGATAATTTGAGCAGATGACTCACCACCATTTCTATGATACATTTTTTAGCACGTTGCCTTTGTTCTTCTGTTCCGCTGGCAAGGTACACATTACCATCTTTACGTATCAAATTTGCTCCTGTTTGACTGCTGATCTGTCTCAGGTTCTCTCCTCCTCTACCTATCACAAAGCCTTTGCATTCACTTGGAATTTCGACCAATTCAAAAGTCGGAGCTATCTCAGATTTCTTCACCTGTAATTCGTGCTGTAGAGGAAAGAGCAAGGGAAATTATTTGACTTCCTCACCCCGGAAGTAAGTAAATTTGTTAATACGCGTGCACCTATTATAAATCTATAGTATTAAAAAAATCCAACTGTAGTTATTATGTGTCTCCAGATGACAGGAAAAATGTTTAATTTATTTGATGCCTTATTATGGGCACAATGGAAAGACTAACGGTTCATGCAAGCAATTAGCCTTATACAAATAACAAACACTGAATCACCCTAAATCCATAATATTTGTTATTATGTTATTATTACACGCCGCACTTACTGCTTTCTCTAATATGAGCCTCTTAGCACATTTTCTTTGTCCAGCATCCCCCCGGACAAAAAATCCTTCGTCATTTCTTCCCGGCGATGTGATCAGTGCGCCTGAAGACTTCATGATCTCTTTAATCGAACACCCATCTTTTCCGATGACGTAACCTTTCAAATCTTTCCGCACTTTCACAAATTCTGTCTCTGTTGCCGCTTCATTGTGCTGGAGGCGATTGTAAGCCGTTCTGTAAAGGACAGAATAATCAGTGCATCGTCAATCCCACTATCTCAGTCCAATCTGCCCACTCTTACGTCAGGTTGTACGACTTACTACAAACGGACGACCACTTACCTAGAAAGCGTTTCTCTCAGTGTGTCCCTTTAAGAAAAGTTTGCAGTACACATTGTTTTAGAACTTCTGCATGCTAAGACCCACTACAACGGAGTCTTTTATAGAGATTACTGGATCGAAATGACCGTGCATGCAACTGATCGATAGATATCTGGACAGCGAGTGCCAAATGCAGCCCAATCTAAGACCACGGATCCCGGTTCGAACTACACTTCACTACCCAGCTGTAGCTCTGGGATGAATAAACACAATAACACTTCCCTAAGCATGAATTTTGAAATATCGAAATTGGTCGATTGCTTGGTTGCAAGACGCTACTAGTCAACCCACACATTCTTCGGCAAAGTTCTAGATTCAAAAACAGAATTTCTCCAAGTGTCAATCGGCCTCAAATTATAATTCTGAATGTCGTTGTTAGATACGCATAGGCAGTGTTTAGTAGGGTGTAGTATAAGATGTCAAGCTATGACTCAGCCACTTCCTGCATCGGGACTGAGATCTAAGCACCGTCTTGTCACGGTGTTTTTATAAATAACTAAACAAGCTGTCAAGGATACCTTATATCACAACAGCAGCACCATCTGGAAACATTAAAACTTTTAAAGAGCAATTAGTAGGTCACAAACGATCAAACGGTCAGTACTTAAGACAGGACTTCATCTGTGTCTTGACGAAATTCAACCAATTGCATGACAATAGTAGCTAATAGTCAAGAATGTTCTGTTATCTGTTACGTTTAAAACCCTAAAGAAGGGGTTTTACCTAGAAATTGTTTCTCGCTTTTTCTAGTCGTAAGTTTCACGGCTATGAAGTGCCTTTAAACGACACACAGAAAATACTTGCCGTGACTTTGTTTACATCGTCTAACATATGCATACACGATAGCGTTGTTGAAGGTGTGATAGCGATTTACTGTTTAGATAATATATTGTAATAAAGATTAAACAAATTTCGAAATGGTTCATTTCGATTTTAGTCCATCAAAGACGGGATTCAGTATATTCAAGAACAAAGAACACTCAACTGTTAAAGGCGTCATAAACACGTATGTGGATCCTGAAATTCACTGTATATCAGCTTATGGCTTACCCTTCCCTTCCATCCCTCGATCGCCGTCTATAATTATAAGATTCACGGCTGCTTCCCATGCCTTGCGACAGCGGATCTTTACAGGAATCACACTTCTTTTTGTAATCCCAAAAATTATTTCTCTTGCAAGTAGATGTTGTTCTGATAGTATCGTGTCAAATTTGCAATCGACAAACGTCGATAGCGGAAGTGCTTCCGGGAGTCGAAATAGCTTGTCACCAGGCTCCCTGGAACACGTCTGTTTCCTCATCATGGCGGATGTCCATTTCCAGCCGCTGTACAATACCCCCCACAAAAGTGATTGCATTCAATGATTCCAAATAATAAACAGGAGCCGAAGTAATCGGCTCCTGCAATAAACCATTAAAACATATTTGGGTTCCGAATGAAAATCGTCCCTGAAGGTTTCGACAGAAGAATAAAAAACATTGTTTTATATAAGTGGTGTAAGTAGGCCGAGCTACAACGAACTTCCGGTTGCTCATATACTTGTATTTCTTTCCAAAGCCTTTGCTTTATCATGATCATCATCATCGTTATCATAGCAAGCCATGATAAACAAAGTTTATGTTTTATGTTAGCTGGCCCTCGTTCATCGGACTAAAAATTCGGACGAAAAAAACCCTAAAGCCTGCCATCTGTCTACCACCATTAATGGAGATTTAAGGCACATGAAAAAGAGTACTTTCAGCGCGAAGTTAATTTGATTGCCTTTTCCCATTTTCCCAGTGGATTTTCAGGGGAGGGGCTAACAGTAAATAGGTCAGTGTGTGTGTGGGGGGGGATGGGGGGGTGGTCAGAAGGTCAGTGTTTTGTCCAACTCGTGTGAAACAAAGGCGCAAACGGAAACATTATAAGCATCTCAAAGCCATTTAATTTTAACTACTCATTAGCTCTAACAGAAAACATGCTTGTCATTTCTTATTTACGTATCTTTCTTCGATGTTTCAGCTTATTCTTTTCAAGGCTGACTGACAATGAACGCCTCACATTGCCCTCTGGCACACTATCACAGGGGCATTATTAACTCCAACTTCACAGGAAAAGTCGTTCCACGTTTTCCTCAGTGGGTCATTCCCATACATTTGGACACAATTTTCGCTACCCCCGGCATTATTTGGTTCTCCGCCAGCCCAGATCGAGTAGCTTCCTTCTACTGGAGTGTTGTCAATCCAATAGAATTTTCCGTCGGACTTTCGTTCCATTCCAATCCATGCACCCCATTTTGTGAATGTGTTTTGGCTCTGTATCAAGTTGAAAATGAAGTTGTTTTGATTTTCTGACTTGATTATGGCCAGATCTCCCCCTAGATTCTGACAGTGTTGGCGAGCATCGCTCTGTTTCTTCGTCACGGTATCTTTGACGTAATAACAAGAGGATCCATCATTAAGCCATCCTTCTGGGCAGCCCGACTCCTCTACAAAGCACAAATACAACAGTAACCTGTTACTTCAAAACAATCAAAAAACCAACTGCTTTCATTACCAATTCATGCTTAAAAGCCTGACGGAAGAAAGAATCAAGGCAGAGTGTAAGACGCCACATTTTGTTAAAAGAACCAATTAAATAAACATCGATTCGCGAAAGATATGTCGAAGGGTTTTTCAGTTAAAGTCGGTGACACGCCAACTGGTTGTACATGGTAATAACATGTTTCGGGACGTCTGGTGGGCCTAACATGGACGCTTTACCGATTTGTGTAGAAAGGGACTTAATCAGTGCTGAAAATTAAAAAGATCTGTTTCAGCCCCAAAGTGTCAATTCAGCCCTGCTGGCCAAAGTCTGATTTAGCTGCTCCTGGAGCCGTTTTAGCCCAATTTAAGGCCAAAAAAGCTATAATCCAGCCCACTCTGGAGCCCATTTGAGCCCTTGGGTTATCAAATCAGCCTTAGGTAATTGGACTCTATTGACCCTAATTTACGGGAGCCAAATAAGGCTCAAAAATAGGACTGTATTTTACTCACCGAAACGGTCCCATTTTTAGGGCTAAAACAAATCTTTCTGATTTACAGTGTGAGCATAATCAACTGAGGCCTATATCTTCTGCAACGGTTATTTCTTATTACTTTCTTTTTTGCTGCGCTGGTATTTCACAAAAACTGGCGATTTCATATTTTGGGTGAGAGGTACCTGAAATGGAATCCTAAATTGTAACATGATTACATGTAAAAAACACAGACGCCCTATACTTAACCCCTGCGGTAGTTACATCCAAACGACAGTTTCAGAACACTTTCTAAGCAATAGCCACTCTGCTTCCCATATCGGTTACTTATCCCAATTGAAACACTTAGATATGAACGCGATTGTCTTAGGAAAGCACGTGAGGCGCATGCGCACCTCATTTATAGAGCCAAAACCATCGAGCCTCTGGGAATGAACAAACGTGACGAACTATAATCATTACTGATGTAATCTTTATCTTTTTCTCGGTTTATTTTTCTTAGCAGCCACACCTTACCACGTCATACCATGTAACTTCCGTTTATTACTTTACAGTAGTATATATTCTGTATATTCGTGGTTTCTCCTAATAAACCTGATGAAGACTGTTATTGGCCAGTCGAAATATTGTACACCTCACCCTTTATCACGTTGTTTGATCAGTCTTTGTATTAGTCTTTTTGACTTTAATTCTATCATTAAAAAAGAGACTTAGGGGCATTTAAAGAATGAATATATCTTGCATCAAAAGAGTAGTCTAGCCATTTGGTAATATAACAATAGTAAGCTTGTATAGCAACAACGAATGATAGTTTATTTAATATCCCACAGCCCACAAAAAATCTTGACAACTTGTACGAGTAGAGTGAAAGTTCCTTACTGGTACATTTGTATCCCTTTTGTCTTTTATAAGTCGGTAAGCCACCATCAAGTTAAGTAGGCTCATTACTTTTGCGTGCGGTGGATGTAATATTTTGACCAGTTATTAACCTGTTGTGGGCTATGTCTTCAGTTGAAATTGTTACTGACGAATTTTTAGGTTCTAAGGGTGACGTGTCAGGTTGCCTCGGTTTAGCTTTCCTTTTGTAGTTTTTTTTATCGCATTTAAAACATGCTTCAAATTGACAAAACTACGTAGAACGAATTGCAATAACATTTTCATAGAAAAATGCTAAAAAAAGGCTTTCTAGTAAATCCCTATTGGTTGGTGCATTCATTTGCAACATACGCGTACATCTGTAGGGGTATACAGAGTAGTAAATTAGAGACTTTGCTACGACTTTCAAAATTTAAGACCGAGACTTATAAGAATAAGCGTTTTCCCGAGACTATAAGCGCCGAAAATTTCGAGATAATGGTACAAATAAAGCTAAATAAAGTGACCGAAAACGCCAGTGGAAGCTAGCGAAAGCCCACCAATATACTGCTTCGTCTTTTCTACCTCAATTACGTAAGCTGTACAAATGAAGCCTGAAAAATTCGACCCAGAAGAAAAAAACGACAAATCGGAGACTCCGAGAACCGTTGGCAAAAAAAATCGAGACATGCGAGAAGCAAAAATCACCCAAAAACGAGTCTTCGAGACCCATCAAAAATGCTTCCGTGATTCGTGATCAGGCCAAAATTTTCCAAGATCCACGTTTTTCAAGGTACCATTCTTTACCCCTACCTGTCGATCGCATTTCGATTGCTCGCTCTCAAGCCTGAAAAAGACGCTCGTGCTGCAAAAGAATGCAGCCTATACTGATCTATTAGGAAGATGAATTAATTCCTCTTTGGCATTTTCCTTACTTGTTACTGTTCCTTCAAGCAAGTTTTAAACAACGTTATTGCAATTATCGCCCTTTTAGGTCTATCTAAATATTTTCAATGACCTACCCACCTACGCAAATGTCTTCAGAGGCTGAAAACAGTCCGTTAGGGCTCCACAGTAATAAACAGACCAGAGAAACCATTAACCTAAACATGATTTTCTCTCCAGCAGTGACTACAATAAGCTGTCCGCAGATCAAGCTTTGACTTACTAGTCTTCAGAGTAAATGTAAAAAAAAAAAGCATTGTCTATATTGATTGATTAGCCTCTATGGTGGATTTCTCCAGCTGTAAAAACAAGTTGTTTTAACTTTAACGGAACGTTGTCTTAGCCAGTAAGGCTGAAAAAACATCATCAATAAATAACAGCTATCGACTCGTGCACTCTGTAGTCTCTACGAAAAGAATATACTCTGAAATGCATCCAAACCGTGATTCGTAGGATAAACCTGGAGCGTTCTAAGAATTTCTCATAAAAGCCCATCATTTTTTTCTTGATTTGAAACTCGCTATATCACTTATCACATTTACACCGTAACAAAAACATCACATACAATATAATGATGTTTAACATTCGACTATTTTTAAACATTGTAACTAACTCTGTACATATCAATTTAGTTTTGTTGTGGAAACTCCGTCGAATCAAGAATGACAATAATCTCTCTTCCAGGTTTTCGTGCGGAGAAATTAAAAATGTCCACTGTTTTTGTACTACTGGGACTAAAAAACATTCATTGGTTTAAACCTAAAATCTCAAAGAATATCTCAAAGAAACTTCCTTTTGAATAGAAAATAAACCTTTTGAACTTGTGAATAAGGATGATGGTAAGACAGTGTAGATTCTGGATGCCACGCAGCGAATTCCGGATTCCCCGACTCTACTGGATCCCGGATTCCTTTGTCATTGGAACTTAGATTCCGGATTTCGACCAGTTGTAGCCAATTCACCAATTGACGTATGAAGAAATTAATTGCGTCTTGCTTCACGGAGATTATTTTTTTCCTTGAAAACTCCGTCAGAGATTCACTGCTGACAGTAAACAATGGTGTGTCAAGTCGGTTGTGCAAGACATAACCACAAAAGTTCGATAATTTTCCCCCTTCAAGCATCCCGGTCTTTTAAATAAGGGAGACTACCCCGGGACTCTGTTAAACCGGCTTAATTTTATTTTCTGTGAACCGCTCCTCTATCCCAAAGACCGTTTTAATTTCCCCTCTCCAGCAGCACTCACTTCCATATTGGAACTTCTAGTGTAATGTATATTTTTGTACGGGTTCTGGGCGCTCTCCTCCACTCATTTAGACATCATTACATATCCTCTGTGCGAAGTGAAGGCGCGAAAATTGAAATATTCAACAAAATTATTTCAAGCTTAACCTGGCCATGCCCGTTTGAACCTCTGCGGAGCAGACTGGGGGTTGTGGGAATGGGCGTTGAAAACAACTCGCGTAGTCAGTGAGGTACTTATAAGACCTGTTCCTGTCAAGTATTTTGCCTAGTAAAAACTGAAGTATGTATATTCTACCGACTCGTGTCTCCTTGGATAATTGGAAGAAACTGTCTTAATCCCCCCGTTCTGTTATTTGGTTAACACTTGAAAATACAATGCACTAACCCTAGACTGGCCGATAAAGAAAGCAGGTGAACTAGTGATTTGAATATAGAGGACGTTTCCATTTTTTTAAGTGGTATTTAATGCCAGTTTCGAAAATAGTAGCCTGAGCACCAGTGGTATACAATTTGGCGCTTTAATTACATTTAACGAGGCACAATTAGCACCCGATGCATGATCAATGAAAGCTATAATTTGCTTTTTATTCATGCCAATACAAATATGCCAATAGTACTTCTAGTTTTACATAATTTGGAAGTTTAAACTTTTTATTTCATGATAGCCTTTAGTAGCTTCAGCTTTTTTAGAAATATCCGGAATCAACCTGACAAAAAGAAAAAAAAGATTAGTAGTCATTAATTCTTTAACATCATCGGTGACGAACGACTCCTTAATTCTGGCGCGAAATTTCAGCGTTAATTTGTAATTTCACATGTGAAATTACTAAATTGCAATGGCAACCTGCCGTACGTCTCCGTTTCAAGATGGCGACGAAGTTTTAAAATGTCATAAATGAAGATGTCAGGGCATAAAAAGACAAGACGCTTTAGAAAACCTGAACACACGAAAGAGCACATCAAGAAGGATTCTTAGAGGTATGTTGTCGAAAAATTCTGAAACTTAAGCCAAATTTCTGCTCTAAACGTTTGAGAGAGTGGAGTTCACAATCGATCAATACGATCCAGGATAAACAAGTCAAAAATCCTTGATTGCTAAGGAAATTCGTCACCCATGATATTAATAGGTAATCAAATGGTATACTCGTGAAATTAGGGAATAATTTCACTTGCGTTTTGTCCAAATCCTTATAATTTCCCGAGGCTTTAGGCTCGGGAAATTATAACGATTTGGACAAAACGCGCGTGAAATTATTCCCTAATTTCACTCGTCATCATTTGAAGAACACATTCTAATAAGAGCTTCTATACCCGAACTAAATACTCACGGCATGTCCCCTAGTGTGATATAATGATGTACCATTGTTGACAGATGCAAGGTAAAAAAAAAAAAAGTAAGTTTATACTCAAGTCAAGGCCTGAGACCGAGGGGTTCACCTGTGGGAAATGATTTATTGGCTATAACTTCGGCATAGATAATGGCGCTTAATCAAAATCTGGCACACATAAAGAAATCATCGTCCTTAACATTTTAAAGTATAAGTCAAGTGAAATATCACGTGACCATTTTGCTAAAAATCGTAAATTATTGACAAATTGATGGCCAGTTTACGAAAAGAAATCGAGTAATAACATTTTTCTGATTCATTTTAAGTATTTCTAACACTTCACGATTTGGAATGACCGTCCATTGCACTTCAATAAAAAATTATGAGGAGAACTCCCCCCTATTTTAAGTGCCCAAAAATAATCTTGAATTATTTAAAACGAAATTTTAAACTTAGCGCACATTCATTTCAAACGTAGAAAGTTAGGTATGTTTATCCTCTTTCAGAAATGCCAATTTTTTTTTTTTACCAAACAAAGCAAAATTCGCCAGCAATTCGCCAATTTCCTTCATTTTCAATTTTTGGTCACGTGACCGTAATTAAACGTTTAAGGCACAAGAAAACTTCAAGATTTACTTTTGGGGAAAAATTCATTTTGTTTTAGGTCTCCTAGCGAGAGATATTGCCAATCATTCATATGCTCCGAACACCCCTTAGACCCCTTGAGTAGAGGTGACCGTTGAGAGAGAGAGAGTGGTCTGTTTTATTCTCTAAGTCTAAGTAAAATTCATCGACTGAGGTATGCGTATAACAGGGCTCGTTTATCGTTTGTCTCACGATACTCACTTATTAGATAAAGATCGCGACATTTCCACCGCGTACTACAGGTTTTCATCAGGCGATAGTGTCTATTTACCTAGTGGGACTATTTGAACCTCCCGTGGTTGTTAGTAAATAGGGAGCTTAGGCAGCAACGACGGAGAGGGCTAGGAAAACGTCTCTTAAAAAGTGAATCCGCGCTGCCTCAAACTTTATCGCGCTTATTCCATCTCGTTTAATTCGTCAAATGTTGGCAAATTTTTTTGCAGTTGAATTCTAAAAGAGTATCAAAGTTCAAGAAAAGAAAAAGAAAGTCGTTGTCTTGTCAGTGTTCACATTCTCGACAAAACGGGAAATTATGCATTTTCACGTCGTGGTCGTGCAACGACGGCTAAGAAATGTACCATCAGGGGCACCCAACGAGCATATAGTTCAAAACCACTTAACATAGCATTGTTGAACGTGTTTTAGTATTTAAACGGTAGATATAGTCATATTCTTATCCCCTAAAAACTTTTCATCTGTTCGGATTTCCCAGCTGAAAGTCTAGTGATCCGAAAATTATAGGGCACAAAACTTGCCTTTTCGAAAATTTCAGCCAGGAAAAGGCTCCCGAAAATTCTAGGTGGCCTTTTTTAGTGTAAATATCCGTTTAAAATGGGTAATTATACCATTTTGTAGATGTTCGAAAATCCTAGGAGAGGCAGGGAAGCAAGAAATTTTACAACAAATGTTCCGAAAATTCTAGTTCTCAAATCGTCTTCCGAACAGATATTTTCCCGAAAATTGCCGTTGGGTGCCCCTGTACAATGCAAGTGCAAAGTTGTTGTTTTTCTAGTACAAACCTATCGCCTTTTTGCCGTTCGCGTTGCCGTCGTCGTCATCGTTGCTAAAGTTCCCTAATGGTGTATTACGAACCTTCCTTATGGTTGGTGGGTTCCTATCGAAAGCATTGTAGGTTGCACTTTAAAAAAAAGTAAACTGTGATTAAGTTGATTTATACCTTCAATAATCATAAGGCAAACTTAGAGAAAAATTAAAATTTTTCTCTCTCTTACAACTCAGTTACATTAAAAACACAAAAACTTTGACACAACTAACAACCATTTTATTTCAAGATCTGCTAGGAAACATTTTATCTTCTCTCCCGTTAAAGTTGATTTGATTACAAGTACGTAATCGAAAACGTCTACAACTTTGGAACGAACGTATAACTAAACACTTTCCCGCGTTACTGGCTAAACATATACTAAAGAAACGTTAGTGATACGATTGCTGTGTTAGGTGGCTATAAAAGACGCGAATTTGGTTTGAAAACTCGTACCCGTACTCAGTCTCAATTTCTTGGTCATTTGGAACTGTTCAAGGCCCTAAGGTGTAACGTATTGGCTATAGGCACTTTGATATGGCCAGTGTACGGTGCCTTTAACTTTGAAATCAGTAAATAATAATGATAATAATAAAATTATTTTTTAGTTGAAAGACAATCAGCAATTAATAATCTTATAAAAACCTGCACACGGTCCGCAATAAAACCACCATAGTAATATTTTCCAACGGGGCAAGGTACCCTGTTACATCCAGCAGAAACGACGGGAATTTGCAAACCGCGCCAGATTAAGTACTGTTATAATCTTCAACATGATTTCCATTCAGCACCAAATGAAAGAAAACAGAGTGCCAATCGATAAACGTTCTCGTCCAGAGTAAGGACGAAAAATTCATTAAATTCATTTATTTATCGGTTTATTAAAATTACAGCAATGAAATTTTAACTGTATAATAAAATACGCCAGGTGTGAATCCATTTTTCCGTTAGCCAGACTTACTCGAAAAACAATTTTGAATTTCCAATTACAAGAAAAAATCACAAATTCGGATCGCATTACCTCTTATGAATTAAGTAAATTTTCGTGTGTCGTGAGGCAATGTTTGGGTTTGATAATGAATAAGTCTTCAGGTGTGAAAACAAGTCTGACTGATCGTTGTTTCAGAACAGAGGCTGAAAAAACCGGCATAACTTTCAACGTAATATCTTAAAGATTATATCTCAAAGAAGTAACAACTACTGACAATCTAGTTTTGTTTGTAATATACGATGTACTAAAACCTTTTGAACTGAAATCTTAGCGAATAACCTAATGTGAATAAGACAGTGTTAGATTCTGGATTCTAAGCTGTTGATTCCGGATACAGGTACTGAATCCCGGCTCCCTTTTCAGAGGAACTTAGATTCCGAATTCCGACCAGTTGTAGCTAATTCACTAACTAAGGTGTGAAGAAATTAATTGCGTCCTGCTTCACGGAGATTTTCTTTCTTTTTTTTTTTTTTTGAAAACTCCGTCGTAGAATTACTGCTGACAGCAAACAACAGTATGTCAAGTTGTTGGTGTAAGACATAACCACACAGTTCCGATTATTTTCCTCTCCGAGCACCTCTGGCCTCTTTTTATATTAATCCAGGGTTTTAATAAAGGGGACAACCCCTGGACTCTTGAACTGACCAAATTTTCTTCGTATCGCTCCTCTTTCCAATGACTGCTTTCCTCTCGCCGGCACTCACTTTCCTACTGGGAATTCTAGTGTAGTGTATATTTTTTACGGGTTGTGGGCGCTCTCCTCCACAGAAGTTCGTTTAGGTGTTATTGTATTTCCACCGTGCGAAGTGAGTGGAGGCGCGAAAATTGAAAGATTCAACAAAAATTTTGTGCTCAACCTCGCCATGCCGCTTTGAGCCTCTGTGGAGAAGACAGGACTGTGGGAATGGGCGGCGAAAACAACTCGCGTCGCGCGAGGTACTTATGAGATCTGTCCCTGCCTCATGTGACGAGTAAAAGCTGAAACATGTATATTCTACTGACTCGTGTTTCCTTGGATTAGAAGAAACAATTTTAATCTTCAATTATTTGCTAAACACTTGACAGACCCACAGAAAAGACGTAATATAGTTAGCATAACTAGGAAATTGAACTATTTATCTTGTCTCGTCCTTTAACAGCTTCTGATTGCTAACCATTGCTGGACATGAGCTCAACCTGTTGAATTATAAACCAAAAAAAAAAAGATAAAGGAAATCAGTTAGTAAAGGTTAGTTCTAAATTGCCGCATTAAGAATTGTCTCAATAGGACGGCCTTAGTTTCTTAGAGAACTCTGGAATAAATGGTAAACGCGAAAAAAATCACTATTTGATTGTTAATTCCGAGATGGAGTACAGGTCAAACAACGTTATCTCTAGTTAATGACTCGGCCTTAACGAGTATCAAGTACTCGGAGACACAATTTTAGGCTTTATATTCATTACAAATGTATTAAACTTGAAGATTCCCAGGTTTTTATGAATAGGTAATGACATGGATTTGTCAACAAACCGCATAAAAAGTGTCAGCAAAACTGAGTCTTCATTCAAGAATTATATTTGCAAGAATAACTTTATGACAAAACGAGAATTGTGAACACGGTCTTAAACTCCTCACTAGTTTCTTGGTGCATTGTAAAATTATACCAAATTACCATGATTATTTGTTTTTCTTCGATTCTTTGTTTTAGCTACGTTTCAGAACATCAATAGCCTTTTTCTAGTGTTTTCGTTTTTCTTTTTTTACGTTGCTTTTTCGTTAGTTTGTTTCTCTTTTTAGTATAGCTGTTTATAGACCTTTTTTAAAGAAACACAGAATGCGGAAACCCAATGCTAGTATAAATACGTTACGTACCTACAACGCCAGCTGAAATTGAAATTTTGTCCTTAGTGCACTGGTTATTTACCAGGCAAAAAGGTGGAGGGATGAAAAATGGATCTTTCAGCAACTTGAAGAAGTTTTCCTTTATGTTGTTCTGGACGTTAGCATCATGCGCGTCGCCATTGTAGGAGTAATAATACATCCAGTTAAGTTTTTTAATCTCTGACGGACCAGCATTGACTATGAGAAAAATAATATCCAGTTGTAGTTTTTGTTTTAATACAATCAAACCTCCAGTATGCAACCACCCAAAACAATAATGACCATAAGAAAACTTATGGGGGGAGGGAAGGGGGCGAAGTACAAAAAAAAATATTCGCACAAGGGAAAATTAAATGAAAAAAGATTCATGCACGCCAATTAACCCTAAAAAATATTCATGCTATGGCCTAAAAAAAATTCATACAAGGAATTTGAGCTCATTTGATAACGAAACAAAATTCCTGCGGCTCGAAAATTCCCCACCCCCCCCCCCCCGCCCACGAAGTTTTCTAATGGTCCGTCCCTTACGTGAACCCTGTTTCGAGAAGAGATCCGCACTGATCATTATTACGGAACTAATCGCGCCGTATCAGGGAAAATCCGGATTCCGAAATCCTGGAAATTTCTGCTTGTGGAATCCGAAATGCGGGAAAATTTTCCTGTGGAATCAGGAATCCTGGGCTTTGGAATCTGGAACATGGCTTTAGGAATCCGGAATCCCACTAACGATTGGAATCCAGGATCTAAGTTCCACTGACCAAGAATCCGGAATCCAGTACCTGGAGTCCGAAATCCACGGTGTTGAATCCAGAATCCAAGACTGGCCTGGATTCCCTTTCATGGGGCTTAACTAAGATCAGTAATTTATAAATTATTGCATGCAACTTTTACCATATGTGCAGTTCCATGTTGTTATACTAGAAGTAGAAGTTCCTTATGAACTGTGTGTAGCATATTACATTCAGCGAAGATTCACTTACAAGAGGTTAAAAATAGGAAAATAAACCGTCAGCCCCAGGAGGTCATAGGTTCGAATCCTGTCGAGGGCTAAAATTTTTTTCTTTGTCCCACGCTCGTGACATGCTGATTAAATCATCTTCACAAGAATTAAAAAGTTACCTGAGCAGTTAAGCAAGGAAAAAGGTTCTTTTAGTGAGATGAAAAAAATCTCAGTTGGTGATAAACGAAGTTTAAACGTATGAAACAACTGACTAACTGAATGAAGCGTTGAATTGACGGCGACTGAGCTGCAGAGGGGAGTAACAAAAAAACATAATAAAAGACTTACAGGAACAGTTAGGCCAGGGATTAGAATTTTTGTAACGTGGAAGCAACCCCTTCCAATAATTCCACTCCCCACCAGCACAATAGTACAACAGAGGGGGAGTATCTTCAAAGTCAGTTCCGCTGCTGCACATTACTGCACAATGCAAATAAACTTCTGATGTCATGCAGGCCAGGGCACCATTGCGTGGTGGAGGAAAAATCTGGCAAGTTTTTTCTGTGGAGAAAAAATAAATAAATAAACGAACAAATCAAAGTCAAGTTCAGTTTGGTTAGCTACATTTCCCCTCTGACTGTTAGAGGATGTCAGCATTTCAAAGGTTCCTGACAAACACAAATAGAAGTAAAGTAACTACTACATAAAGTAATTATGAAGAGACCCCCCTTGCTACAAAGTTTGGAAAGTGGTCAGTGTTTTGTTGGCCATATAGATCTGACAATCAGGCTTATAGGCATGCTGATTAGAGGTTATTGCCATGGATACGGATTTCATTATAACGGGTCAGACTCTCACGTTCCAGTACTGAGTCCTTGGACTCTTCTTTTCTATGTTTGTACCTTCAGTTGGTAACAAATATAAATGCCTCATGTATATCGTCTCGCCGTGCATGTAACAATTTAATGGAAGAAAACTTTAGGGTATCAACAAACTCTGTACGTGTGTTGCGGCAATTAACAATGGGAAGAGTTTTAATTAATTTACGCTGAACAGACTCAACTAAGTTGTTTAAGTATGGAGTTAAAGACCCGCCCAAACAATCGCTGCATATATTTAAACGACTGCATGTATTTAGCGACTGACTGGATAACTAAGAGCGCAATATCTGATGCGAGATTGGTATAGGGTGGAACTTCTTCTGATCTCTTAAGCAGCTTCAATGCATGAGGACTCTGCTCTCTGGCTTTCTCCTAACTGCAATCACCACCAGTAATCCCCCTACCTCATTATACGACTCACTTTTCAATATGATCCTGAATGTACAGTTTTTGTTTTCGTTACCAGACCGATCCTCTGCAGTATATGTATTTTTATAGTTTCCAGGAACCAGAAATGTTGCTCCAGATTGAAGGCTTGAAGAGACAGAGGGAAGCACCCCCGAATTGTCAGAGAACACTGGACGCTTCCAATTCACTCTTATCGAAGAAACTTTCTCTTCACGTACGATGTCCTTGGGGCATTTGCTAAAAGTTGGTGGCTCATTATCTGTGAAAGAAAGCATTAAAAAAGAAAATTTATAGCTTAAAATTTCTATCAGGGATTTCTTTTTATAACAGAGTACATTTTGCCGATAGGAAGACAAGAAGGGTACGTTCTCTATGCAATCCCTCCATCCGGACCCCGCGCCAAATTTTCGCTCAATCCTGTAATGCCGATGATTATTTTCCGCATCACACATCCCGTTCATACTTTCACTCCCGAATCTCAATTTTCTGTAAAATCCTAAATACCAGCTTCCAGATAAGCAAGCAAATCCCAGATCCCGAGAAACCTATAGGAGACCCTCTACAAGATTAAGAAGCTCCTTGACCCTTATGCGTACAATCATTTATTCAAAACATGCACTGATGTATTCTTCACAATGTTGTCTCTATATATTTCTTGCTGCATTCGCCTGAGAATACAGCCGTCAACTCCTCGCTTCTCTCAGCTCGAGAAGTTCAGGCTACTGTTGCATTGATGGAGAAAACTGTAGTTCCTCTCTGGTTGGTTATTATATCCAGTATTCTCAAGACCGTTATTTTTCACTAAAATCAGTGCCGCCATTGTAAGGAGATATTTAATGATAATTTGTGTCATAAGGGTGCAAAGGGTTTCAAGTCAGCTAGCCAGAGTACCAGGAGCATAAGGGATGTGTTCCTTACCTCTGATTTCAACTTTAAAGATACATTCACGGCCGACATTTCCAGCACTGTCAGTGGCGATAATACGGACTAGAGTCTCGCCAATGGGAAATTCTTGAGAAGGCTGATGACTTGAGTCTACAGTTATCTTTGCATTGGGATCCACAATCTCAGAGTTATCTGTCACCTTGATGCTCCATGATACCTTTCCTGTTGCTTTTCCTTTGGTGGTAACTCCTCTTATTTTAGACAGGGGACAGGACATTCTTGGAGGCTGGCGATCTATACACGTACATTGATTTTTAAGTTCAGAATAAAACAGGTTGAAAGAAAAGTGGTGACTAATCTCATATGCTTATTTGTGTGTATTAAAAGCACCGTCTACTTATTGAAAACTAACACTAACTGGAGAATGGTAAGTGCGTTCGAATTTTAGCTGACAAAAGAGCCCACATTTCGCGAAGCCATCTAGGGAACGGGTCCTCTAATTCCAAACAGATGCTGTGTCACTACACCGATCTGCTGATTGGTTGAAATTTTACCCGAGCTGGGAAGTGATCAAAATAGAATTGCGCATTGAGTTTAGAAGGCGTTCTCCTAGCGTCGAACGTAAAAAACCCGAACAGGGAAAAGGAGAAAGAAAAAATGAAATACTTACCGACGCAATTAGGAACTTGAAAGTCCCATGTACCATTATGCAGACACCCTAAATAAGCTTTACTCTCATGTAGTTCATCATCAGTAAAGTACCCGTCAGGACAGCGAAATTGACACGATCTGCCAAATTTTACTGGCTGGGTGACACACTCCGGGGGTTGCACAGTTGCAAACTTGACAGGCGAAAGTTTAGGGCAGTAAATTGCTAAGAAAGAAAGCGGATAAAAATGAAGATAAATCTTCCCTCACCAAGGGCATGAACTACTGAATTGAAAGCTGAACCACTCAGTTTTGAATAATTCTAAAACCAACTTAGTTTTGTAACATCGTAGCTTGCCCGAAAGACAAACTGCATCAATTGCCCAATTAATTTAGTTGTATAGGCCGTTTGTACTTAGAAGTCATTTGACATCACTTTCATGAAAATGAAATTTATATGATTTTACCTTCGAAAAACGATTAGTGGGTTATGTTTTAAACAAAATAATAGTGATTTGGTTTTTCAAACCCTTCACTATTTTGTTAAAATAAGTAAGTTCGTAGCTGGTCACATAACCAGTGTGATTTTTAAACTAATGAATTACCTCTTTCTGAACACAAATTTGGCACTTAAATTTCAAGGAAAATGTTGAAAAGATGATGTGGTAACGTTTGCAGCACATCTGAGCGTAACTATCAAGCTTTTAACAAGACACAAGCAAAAAGTAGTTTTGGTTTTTTGTCATGTTGGAGGGCAAATGTATGCCCTCTAACATGGCGGCGAATACAAATCATTCTACTTCGTTGAAAAATGAAAGTGCCATAAAATATGTACGTTAAGTGTGTATCCTCTCAAATTTCGGGTGTAAGATAAGTTCTGTCAATTTCTGGCATTAGAGCAAGATTCCAGCTCGCTTTAGTCACGTGACCTCTCAGTGCAAGTGGCCTACCGGGGGTATTCTTCGTTGTTTGAGTGGGCGCTTAGTGATCCAAAATGAAGGATGGATTTATTGGTAGCATTGACCCGTATAGACGTAACATTTGCCCCGTGCATAGTTAATAAAGTGTAATGAAACCCGTTACAATTATTTGTTATATGCATTGTTGGCTTTTCAGACTTCGGACCTTGAACAACGTTCAACAACATTCCTATCATTTTGAATTTCACATTTATTACCAACGAGGCAACCGAGCTAAGAAGCGAGGTTGCCTCGGCGGCAGAATTATATAACTCCCTGCAATGTAGGCAAAAACTCTCAAATTCTGCGTGACCCTCTAAAATTTGCATTTTTGACCACATTTGGGTAAGACCCCATATTTGGGTAGTGACGTCATGGTCTTGTATTGTATTTACAACTCGTGGTCCGAAATTGGATGATTCAGTGTGCAGCTGTTCCTTGTCTGTTCAAGAGGACCTAACAGGTGAGCAAGCTTTAAGACAATTTCTAGTTTGAAAGGGTAATAAGTGCTCTGACTTGCTTTATAAATTGCGTTTAAAGCAGCAGCTGATCAAGGAATAGGGTTTTACGCTCAAATTTTTGTTAGAACCAGCTTGTTTTTTGCCGCTCGATTTACATTGAGGTAGCGTGTTCTCTTCTCGACTCAGAACCAGGGTTTCAGTGTTCTCCTTTCCTTTGTGAAAAGGCATATTCTCAAAACTTTTATCAGAACCAGCGTGGTCTTTGCAGGTCGATTTACATTGAGCCAGTCCTCACCTCCCGTGAATACAACGTATTTGCAGACATTTGTTTCTTAGAGTTTATTCATTTCTTTCGAGAGATTTTGTCAACCAGCATGCTTTTTGCAGCTCGATTTACATTGAGACAGCCCTAAACTCCCGTGAGGAATGCATCGAATTTGCGGACCTTTTGTTTTGAAGACTATCATTATGCCTTTCGAGAGACTCTTTGTCCCGTAACACTCGCTCATTAGATCTTTGTATTTCATTCAAGTTTATATTTTCATACCTCTGATACATTCCGCCCCATCCTTGCGCTTTTGACGCATTTTACTTTACACCAATTTTTTCCTATGTACCACGCGAAATATTTTTCTTATCCCTGATGACACTGTTGCTCAAAATTTAATTATTATTTTTAATTTAAGCGGTCAAAGGCCTCATTTGAACTATATTTTTCTTTCTAACGTTTATAGTTTTGATACAATGGAATTTTCCATGAAACAAGTGCTAACTTGCTCATATTTACCAACTGAGCTTCAAGCCATGTTGTTTAATAAAAGTGAAAGCCTAGAATGTACCAAAGTTGTTGTTTCAAAGTTGGGTACCATCCTTTTCTATAGCGGAATCCATTTTAAACCTCTAAAATTATGAAAGAAATCGCAAAGATCTCAATAGGCACGTTCCACAAAAGATAAACGAATCCGCCTCGTTGCCACTTGCCGCGGAAGGTAGCCCTAGTTTATTCAGTCACAATTTGTAAATACAAAAAAAACTTTGTGCACGGTCAAGAAGCTTCCAAGGTCCAACATAAACTGGCCCAGCACCGTTGTTTTCATCTTTGATGTTTCCCGGCTTTTCAACCAGTCTCCTCTACAAACTATGCCATCTGGAACTTCCAATTAAGTTCCAAAAATAATGAATTTCAACTGTTAATTTTGACAGCAGTAAATAAGTACCATGACGTATACTGCAAATGAATCCACGCTACATTTATTTTTATAATTTGAAACTGAAATCCTTAAAAGAAACTGTTTATTCAGAGTAAACGCTCATCCAACCTGATATGTCATATCTGTTTAAACTTTGTATCGAAGGATAAAACATTAAGACTGTTCATAGCTTTCTTTCCCAACAAAGGGGGCAGTGTAAAATGCAGACTGCAGACTGACAGCGGACTATTGTTTTTAGGGTACAATGGGACTATTATTGTCACGTACTTATTTGTATGGTGAAAACAATAGTCCGCAGTCTGCGTTTTACACGGCTGACCGCCAACAGAACACATTTTATCATAAAATTTTAGTCGAGTCACATTCCAATACCTTCACAAATCGTTGGAATTCCAGACCAAGTTTTGTCGAGTTGACAAACACGCTCCTTGGAGCCTTTTAGCCGGTACCCACGATCACATTTAAAGGAGCAGCGGGTCTTGTAGCGCGGGACATAAGGAGCTGATGAACACACTCCAGAAGGTGGATTGGCGTTAGATACATGAACTAGTGGACATCTAATAGCTAAGAATAAAATAGAAGATACACGATTTATTGGACATGTTATAGCTAAAACTAAAATAAGTAGGGTAATGGTTGAAACTTATTGCTTCAAAGACATCATCATCATCATCATCATCATCATCATCATCATCATCAACGTCATCATCATCAACGTCATCATCATCAACGTCATCATCATCATTGTCATCATCATCATCATCTATTCATCCTACATAATTTTGAAGAAATCAAAATCTATTTGTCTTCCTGAAATACGAACATAAACAATAGGCCTAGGGTATTTTGGGTAATGAGGCCACCAAAAATGTGTTAAAGGGTCAGCTTATAAAAACTTGAGGGAGGTTACCCAGAAAAAATTACAAGCCTATTCAGTATTAGCCTGCGCGCAGACGAAATTAAACTCTGGTTAACTCCGTCTGCGAAACAGCGCCGAAATCCTTGTTCTGGACTTCCAGCTGTGTACCCAGATTTGAGTACGCTCCACGATTGGCCAGTTAAAAAAGGCCTTTGTTTTGTTTGTCGTGATCGCCAATCAGGTTGAAGGGGAATTCGAAACGCACTTCCGGTAATTCGTTGAGTCCGTTGGGGGTCCAGAACAAGGATCTCTGCGCTGCTTCGCAGACGGTACTAATCAGAGTTTCGTTATCGTCCGCACGCAGGCTAATTCAGTATATGTTGATATTAGTAACCATTAAATAGAACTAAGAGTGATGAGTGGAAAAACTGGCGATAAGAAACGAAAAAAAAACCATCAGAATCAACTTCTGAATAGTACTCCCTATATCTTCGATATCAATGGCTTATGGCATTAGGATCACCGTAGTTATTAAAGTGGAATGGTTATGAAAGGCGTTCGACTCGTTTGTTATATGTTTTTGTTTGCTTTTTTGGACCTGACCGTGCACCAACATTCAATAGCATTCCTATCATTTTGAACTCACTGACCAATAGAAACATCGCATTAATCTATTCAGTCTTAATTTATGAGCAAAAAACAAAGGATTGTGCATGGTCAGGGAGGCCTCCAACACAAACTACACAGCTGACTACAGCACCGTTGTTTTCAACTTTGATGTTTGTCTTACCAGAGCAATAAATAAGTCCTCCTGTCCACTCCATGTGGTTGTTTTTATTCACGATGCACTTTTTCTCCGCATGCGCACTTCCTCCTTCTAATTCATAACCTTCATTACATTTGATGCGGCAAACTGAGTTGTATTCAGAGTTGCAGACACCAACTAAGGACCCATTTATTGGAGGGGCACTCGGATCACAAAGTCTAACTGTTGAAAATAATAAAGCACATTATTAAAAAATGAATCATTGAATAATGCAATTCAAGAACTCTGATTAGCTTAGCCATCATAAGAGCCATTATACCAAGCTCTCCAAATATCGTAACTGTACGCGTCTGATCAAATTTAAAAACAAGCTGAAAATCGGTTGTTTTTACAAATAAAGTCGGGAATAATTCTTGATATTTGTGAGCGTTTTTTAATAAAACAATTATTCCACTCGTGCTTGCTGGATATGAGATGATTATAGCCAACTCGGCGCTATGCGCCTTGTTGGCTATCCCCATTTCATATCCAACGCGCACTCGTGGAATAATTGTTAAATAGACGCCGTAGTAAACAAATCATATATCAAAAATGATACGTTCTTTGTAATTCAGTAGGCAAGGAGGGAAAAGTCTAAAGCAAGTAACGGCTATGTAAAAGCAATAACGTCGTTATCAAATGGTGAAACTGGAAGGTAGCTATCAGGGGAGCGAAAATATAAATGTGGAGGGAAAACAGATAAAATGAAGTAAAGTAGACAAACTGCAAACTTCTTTCTTACTTGTGCATGGAATGTCCTGCATTAGGTCCCCTGAATACCCCTTCAAGCATTTGCAGTCACTGAAAATATGACTTCCAAGAAGGTTATGACCCGAATTTACCGGGCAAGGCTTACAGGAACTTGCAAAGCCAATGTAATCTTTGTATGTGTTATGTGGACATTCTAACATTTCATGGAAAAAAAAAGATATAAATAAATTAAACCCAAAATTAATTTTTGAGTAGCTAGAAAGCAGGGGAATTATGCACTGTGCAGAGATTAATACTGTGGGCGTCCGCTATCCATTCTTTGAGCAACCAGGACCTGATTTAGGAAAGGCTGAATCGCTCGATCCAAAGGAAACTTTCATGTTAGTTTGGTCAGTATCCTTTAAATCACAAACACGCGTGGAGGCACGATAAAATAAAAGATTTGAGGAAATTTTTTGTTGTATGAACCATCTGAACTATAAAAATAAAGAAAGAAAGAATTTTTCTCGAAATCTGAGAGAAATCCCTGCGCCAAGACAGAGCGCCCAGACATTAATCATAAAGCTTTCAAAATTATAAGTCTCGGTCGCGAATTTTGAAAGCAGTTTCTCACAGTCTCTCAAAGTCTCGAATTGACCGTACTATACCTTTTCATAATTCGCTCTGGGTGCCAAACGTTAACATACTCTGAACTTTTATAAATGTGCATGGATAAATTGTCTTTGACCATTTAAGTATGGGCTGGCATCCCTCGTTTGTAAGTCTACTAAGTTGATGACCAATAAAGTGCGATTTGGTAAAGCTTCTCAAGGTGTCAATCCCGATCCCTTTTAAGCAACGATGAATATAAAAAAAATCTATACAATATTACACGGACGCTTTGCGATTTCCCCTAGCTGATATGGTTGGCAAAGCATATGGAAACATGAAGAAAAGAAACAACTCTCTCATCAGATTGTCATCAGTAAGACCCTAAGTGTCCAACTGAGCATGGCAGAGACCGAAAACAACGCAGCTTCCGAAGTACGTCAGAAATCCTTAGGCTATTTTATTAGGTCGAATAACAGACCCACCTCTACATGCTTGCCCTTTGGAACCAAAGAACCCAGCGTGGCATGGCACCTGAGCGGAGCAACAAGTTACTAAACACGCCAGAAACACCACTCCCTTAAACATGACTAGACTTCCACTCAGCGGCTTAGTAAGAAAATTAAAGCTGCTTACAGATTAGTCTACCTTGTCGTTTAGCCTTAACGCAAATGAAGCAGTACACTGTCAGTTTCATAATTAAAGTAATAAATTTTAATGCTCGATATGAGACTCAACAGGTGGGAAAACAATCTTTGTACACACTCCTTTGTGTATCCACATTAAAAAGGAATTTTAACTTCCAAGAAAAAGATGAACTACAGTTATGAATATCATACTACTAGTATAAAAGTGACTTCGTAATAGCACTCACGGACCAACTTTTGACACAAAAACTGAAGAGATTAAAACATCTCATTATCTCTCCATAGCTAAAAGCCGTTTATCATTATAACGCAGAATGTCTTTCATATGAATTTCGTCAGGTGAGAAAACACTTTTGACTGATAGTATTTTTTTTAAAATGGAGGCTGACAACGCATGATTTGTACTTTATCAGCTCTAATATATCCTAAACAAATATCGGCATCCACTCTTTTTAAATTATGTCTTAACTTACATTTGAATCCCGAGCTTTCTTTTTTTTTTTTTTAAAAAAAAAAAAGTATTTATATGTCTTCTGTTATTTGCTTAAAAAACTTTAAAACTTTTCTCTAACTATTAATTATTACATTTAATTTTAAAAACCTTAAAATATATTAGGGTAAACCATAGAGCGGAAATATCATAATTTATGACAAAGATAACATGAGTCAAAAAGGGAAAAAACGAAGGTTTTAATGTTTCCAAACAATTTACTGAGTAGGGTTCCAAAATGAGTTTACGCTCTCCTATCTCCTGATTTATTTGAGATTGAGGGGAAAATTGATTGATTTATTGTCGCCTGTTGACAGATCTTTGTCATCTTTATTACTAGACTCCCTTGCAAATTATTGTTAGCGGTTTTTAAACAAAGTAGATGTTTGGCCTTTTTTCTTCAGTGATCAAAGTGATATTCAAAGGATCATTTTACATGATTCATGATTAAATCAACTTTAGCGAGTAATTGTAACTTCAGCTATTTTTAAATCCGCAGTCACAGTGATTTGGGTGTCCCTGTGTTGGTATGCCTGTGCCCAAATCACCAGTAATATGGGTATCACTGTGACACCGCGTCTAAGCGGCTTCCGCTCTCTCTCTCCACCCTAAACATACTCGCAGGCAGGCAATGATTTATCACAGCTGATAACATTTCAGTGTTCACGGTTTATTGATTACGCCAACGCTAATACATGTAGACTTTAGCAATGCTTTGATTATAATAAGGACGTAAATAAAGTGCGCCTTTAGCGACCTCTATATTCGCTTCAGTTTGCTTCAAAACCACTGGAATCAACCTGTCATTAAGAGAAAACAAATACATAAAAAGTTGAGTAAAAATATAACTCCTTCACCGCACTTTACTTTTTACAAAGCAAGATAAGGAAATTATTATAACGCTTCATTTTGCCGCTTAGACGGTGCATCTAAACTAACAAGTTCGTAAACCAGAGTCATCAGCCAATGTTTGCAGTGTGAGCTGGGCTTTGTTAGGGGCTTATGATGCGATGTAAGACGATCCAGGAGGATGGGACAATCACAACTGCCTACATAGAACTGAGGTTTATAATTATATCAATGGTTTAGTTTGGTTTCCACATAATCAGGGGTCTTGATAGTTGTATCGCTTGCAGGATTTGAGATTTACCTTTAATCCCAGGAGAAACGAAGATATCCTGCTGCGAGCATGAACTGGGGTTAAACAAGCAAAAGAAAGGAGGAACATAGGGCGCCGTCAACAACTGGTAGAACTTGTCTTTGATGGAGACTTGGACGTTAAGATCATGCGCATCTCCATCAAAGTAGTGATATTGCTCGCTCCACGACTTGATCGATGACGATGGATTCACCCCAGCTGCATTAAAAAAAAAAAGAAAAAGAAAATGAAAATGAAAAAAAGTTAAGTCCCATTTCAAAAGAACTTTAAAACAATGGCATCTGGCTTTCTCACATGGTTATTCCGGATCTTATATAACTGTAACTTAAAAAGACCTTATAGTTATCTGTTATTGTCTTAAACGGAAAAAAACTTCTAGCTTGCTTTACATATACTGATTTTAGTGGCACAAACCCAAACAAAGAAATGAATGAACTGCGAAAATGATGAACGCATTGATAAAGATGAACCATATTAGATAAAAAAAAGGAATTAAAAAAACTGAGTCATCTAGACACGGCATAAACAGAAATTGTGGGACTGAAATTTGTCAGCCATGTTAGTCATCACGTTATTTGTCATATTTTAAAAGTTACGTTTCGATATCACATCGTGTGTTTGAGCAAAAGTGTAAAGTACAAATTTCCCAAGATTGTAAATCCTCTACAGGTTTGTTGCTATTGAAACTTCAAGAGTCTTGAATTGTAGTATGACTTAACAGATCGGACATATCTTGATCTGTTTTTCAATACGATAAGTAGACCTGTGTATAAGACCAAAATGGGACACCCTAATTAATTGGTACTTACTAGTGCTTCAGTGCATATATTGGTACTGCATAAGGTGGTAATTCTAAAAAACTAAGCTCTCAAGAGGTAGCCTGTTCCAGGTTCCAAGATAGTGGGGAAAGCGGATCGAGAAAATTGCGCAAAACCCGGTGGGGGCTTAGGAAAGAGGAGGATATTTTTGCTCGCTCGCTTTTTTACTGCCAGTCGCTCTTTTCGCTCGTCTTCACTGACCGAGAGTTTGGCTGGGACAGGCTACTCAAGAGGACTGGAAAAAAGAATTATTAAGAGCTCTTACCAGTACAGTTTGGCCAGGGTAAAGTCGAACTGAAAGACATGTGAGGGAGCGAATAGAAATTCCACTGTCCAGCTGAACAGAAGTACAGTAATGGGACGTTAAACTCAAAGTCAGTACCAGTCTGACACATGACCGCACAAGTATTATCACCACCGTTACTAACGCACGCTAGGGCTCCGTTTTTAGGAGGCGGGTATAAAGGACACGTTTTTTCTGCAAGAAAACACAACAAAACTTGTTTCCCCTGATTGTTTAGCTTAAAGGTTTAAAACATTGAAAATTTGGGTTTAGAGAAAAACAACAATGTTAACTTAGTTCAGTCCGACTAATAATGTATAAATGAAACAATTGACCGACCGAATCAAGATGTAATCCAAACGTAAATCGTCTCTTCAGGGTCGGATCAAGGAATTTTTGTCTGACGGGGTCCAGCTTGTCCAGCTAGTTGAAGCCAATTATTTTCATTCTCCATCTGCGTTATACATTCATGGTTTTTCTAAGCCATAGATCCTCCCCTTGCTTCTGCCCCTCAATGGGAACGACAAAAGTAGGCCGACTTAGCAATTACAGCACGTCAATTCCAGCCTTTGTTTAATATATCCATTGTTCCTTAGTTTTCTTGTTGATATTTTAACATTGTTTAATAAATGTATTTATATTCAGGCTCTCCTTACCTATTTTTTTACACTTACATTATTATCGCCATATCTATACTCTGGTTTCTGCTTGTGGCTGTTGCAGTTGTTGATTTAACTGGTCTAAGCAGAAGAACTGCCTTTTGATAACATGTCTTGTGTTAAAAATATCAAATGTGTTATTACTTTTTTTCAAAATAGTCTCAATGCCATGAAACTTATTGCACTAAAACTACTCGCATAGAAAAGTGAAAACTTGCAACTAAAAGTCTGTATGTGATTATCAGTATAGCAGCGCAGTTCGTGAAACAGTGCTGAAAATTTAGTAACTTAAGAATGAGTAAATCTTACTTTTCAGTGTTATCCTGAATGAACAATTTTTGTTCTGATTATTTGACAGGTCGCTTGCGGTATACACAATTTGATAGGTGCCGGGGACAGCAAATAGTTCTCCTATTTGTCTGTTTGAGACGACCGCGACACTTCCCGAATTGTCGGAGAAAACTGGTCTCGTCCAGTGTACTCTCACTTCTCTGTCTTCCTCTTCTCGGACAATATCTCCTGGACACTGCTTGATGATAGGTGCTTCAATATCTAAAGTTAAATGACATTGTAAAAGAAAAGGTCAAGATATCCATCGTACGAGACAAAGGGCATGCGCATACTACTCTCTTCCCCACAGAGGCCTTTTTGTGTTGTAGGAAGGTTGGAAAGAAGAGAAAAATAAACGGAAAACGCGCGAAGGGGTTGGGGAAAAGAAAAAAAGGAAGTGCGCGTGGACCGATGGAAATTTTCATTCCGTTTATTAAGGCCGCTATAGCATTTTATGGAACAGCGTCTAACTTCTTCCTCGTTCCGTTAAACATCAGAAAACTTTTTATTACAAAGAAGTTGCCAATTGTTTCGTTTTTGTTCCAAACGGCGGCTCGCTACTCACACTACCACGCACTTAGTAGATAGTAGGTGCTTTGGCCAAACAGTAGACTACGAGTAGTCTCTCTTTGCTCTCCCTGCGGACCCTTTTTAGGTGCATTTTTCAGTTTCCGAGTAACCATTCCAATACAATACAATACTTTATTCAAGAGATAAAAACTAAAGTTACAAAATATCTCTCGAAAGGGGAAATCTAGAAGTTAACCCTATATAAAAGATTCACCAAGATAAAATATAAAAAGATAAAATATAGAATCTAAAACATTATAAACAGAGAGAAAAATCTAAAACCTAAAAAATAGTAAAAAACATAATTTGCATATCATAATTGAAACTGTTTACAAACGTATTAATCAATGTTTATATTAATCCTAATCTGATGCGAAATAAAGTCAGCGATCTTGCGTGTACAACATCTTTAGGCAAGTTATTCCACGCATTAACGATCCGTACAACACGTAAGATCACGTAAGTGCTCCGTTGTCGCAACAAAAATCCTCTGCACCCCCTCCCCCCCCTTCTCCTCCAGGCGATACATAATGACCGGTCGTCCCTCAATTGAGTAATGAATATTGTATGATTTTTAGTTTAGCAATTTAACTTTGTAAAGTCGTACCCCGTAGAAAATATTTATGTTGGAAGAACACAAGAGAAGCTTGAAATCACTCGCCGAAGACTCTCAGGCCCACGTATCCGGATATTTATTATTATTATTATCATTATTGTTATTATTATTTATTTATTTTTCTCGGTTTTAGCCTTCCGATCAAACGGCTTTTTCGGGCGTCAAAAATTCGCTGGGGTTTTGAAAGCAGTCCCCAGAGTAGTGTATACGGTCGAAACACGGACTTTTTCGAATACGATAATGTCATACATCGTACAGGGCATGCCCAGTAAGAGAAGCTACCTTTTTCAAAATTGGAGAAAAAAATATCCATTTTCAAAATATATCGGGATACGAGTGGACGAGGCCTGAAGTTTTTCACTTTCTATCTATTAACCTTTAATGTAAACCATAAAACTGCACGTTGCTGTATTTCCTGTGAAGTCACGAGCAGTAACCTGAACGCCAGTCGCACCAATAGGAAGTTCTTGAGAAGGCTGATGAGTTGAGTATACATTTATCTCCGCATTGGGATCCACGATTACAGAGTTGTCTGTCACCTGGATATTCCATGATACCTTTCCTGTCGCTTTTCCTTTGGTTGTATCACCTATTATGTGAGGTCCAGGACACGATAACGTTGGGGACTGATAATCTGTAAATTAGAAAAATTTAATTCCTAAATATATTTAGATGCGAAAAAGGCGGTTATGCAAACAAAGGACATTAAAGGATGTGGTTAAAATGGATACTAAGTCCTAAATTCTACATGACTTGTAAGTTGACAGCCTAGATTCTAAAAACAATCAATAGCATTGCTCAGAGTAGACTACGAGCGGTAGCTACTTTGACCAGTTTTTCTCAGTCATTTGAGGGAAACGCGCGAGATTCGAAAATAAACACGCGCGTGACTGACTTCTCGGGCTGCCGCTCTATTTTCTAGCATCTCGCTGCTTCGCCTCTTAACACTCGCACGCGCGTGCACTCCCCTCACTGATTTGAAGAAAAAGATAGAGAGTTTTTTCGTTGCTCCGGCCCCAATCTCCTTGCGGTTTCTTTGCGCCTTAGCCCACCTTTATTACTTCGCCGGCCCAACCAAAACCGCCATGTTACGCAGGCTACAGTCTATGCTCAAAGTTAATGGATAATCACATGAACTAAAATAAACATGATCCTGATTTCATAAACAAATGAAGTCTTTTATTGAAATTAATTAATAAGTGGTGCATCTCATTGTCTCGTATTCTTTAAAATGAAGTTCTGTTTGCTTACCTTTCCTTGTTTGAATCAAAGTGGTGCCAGCGTTTATTACATGAACTTTTTTTTTAAGTTTTAATTGCTCATGTCCATTTATAGTTTGAAGCACTTGCTGGAAGTTTCAAATCCATTGATATCAAGCCCTTTTTTCATATTTACAAAGGGGACCTGCCCGTAAAACAGGTTGGCCTTGCACTGTTTCTAGCATTTCTTACTGAACAAGCAAAAGAATTGATTATATAATAAACCAAAAAAATGACGAAAGTTTTGCTTTTAAATTTCAAGCGCGGATAACTGATTTGAATAGTACTATCCAATTTTCCAATTTTGGTATCCAATGAATGTCAGTGTGCCTCAAAAGAAAACCTCAAACAGAAACCCAAAGCCGGAGCAAGCAACTGCCATGCTAGGCCTATGTCACGGCCTTTTTACGGATCATTTTTTTTTTTGTTAGACATAATTTAAGGCGCTTTTTCCTGCGAGAATAGAATGTTCAGCATGTTTATGAGCGTATTCGAAGTATAAGATATCAAAAAGGTCAGCTAAGCGTTATTAAAAGGCAAAAAATATTAGTTTTAGGTCTGTATAGGTTTTGCCCACTGGTTTGTGGAATTTAAAAGATATTCAAAATTTGCTTCAAAAACGTTCTAAAAATAAACTGGTCCGTGAAAACACCGTGACACGAGCGCATGGAAGTTGCTTGCTCCCGGTTATGGACTCCTGCCTCAAACACAAAGGGGACTGGAAAACGCTTACCATGGCATTGAGGAGCTTGAGCGTCCCATTCGCCAGTCAGCTGACACGTTAAAGATCTCGAAGCTTTCTGGGGTGCAGTAACATCGGTAGTAAAGCCATCAGGACATGAAAATGTGCAGACTGAAGAAAATCTCATTGACTGGCCGTTACAATTACTTGGAATCACTGTTGCGTAGCTTACGATCGGAAGTGGAGGACAGCGAATTTCTAAGAATGAAAACAATTAAACTAATTTGCGTGAAACAAAAAGATTCGGCTGTTAGGCCATGATATTACAGAGGAATATTTCTTTTATCACCAATAACTTCTTTAAATTTACCGGCACAGAGCTTTTGGAACCCATTCGGATCTCTTAATCGGGGCTACCACCTACCCCCATTTTATGGAACAATTTTGCAGCCTCGTTTTGTAAAGGGATGCCGATGGGATCTAAGTAGATGCTGCAAATGTGAGTTGTCTACTTAGCTTTTTGGGGGGAGGGGGAGGGGTTAAGCACAAGCGGAGTGCTTCGTCTCGTACTAGATCTTTGTCGACAACGCCGTGACGCGTTCGAAACACAAGGAAAAACGAGAACAAAGAACAAAAGCAGATGAAAGGAAAAGAAAAACACTTTGTCATAATTTATGAAAAAGAAGGAAAGGAGGAAGAAGAGCGAAAAAAGGAGAAAAAAAAGAATGAAAAGAAATAGGAGACCGATGAACAAAAGCAGATGATAAGAAAGGACGCTGTTTCATGATTTATGAAATAACAAAAGGGACTTTCCCTTGAGAACATGAATATCACTGAACTAGAGAACATCATGAATTTCTAAAAAAAAACCAAAACAAAACATCCAAACCGAAAAAGGTCCCTTCAGGAACAGTTGGACTCCGTAATTTGCGTTTTTCTTCGTGCGAACAGCCCGAATTAATACTATTGCTATTATTTATTCACGATCAATACAACAGAATTATTTCTTAGATAAGCTAGCTTAATGTAGTTATCATAAAATGTCGAGATAAATTCTTAATTACAAATACTTAAGGTTACAGTTGGAAACTGACAAGGATTGCAACAAAAACGCCAGAAACGCAAGTTTTCTGTTCAACATGTTTGTCTTCTTAATGCTTAACACCAAAGCGTGTGAAGTTGCGGCAACCTTAGCTACCAACACTTTTGCGAGAAAGTGAATAAAACACCTCATTATCTCTTGTTAAGAACGCAATGATAATTGGAGATATGCTTTTTAATTAATCCAGGTGTGCGAACAGTTTCTGAGCCGTAATGATAACTCCAGCTGTCATATTCAGTATGGTACACACGTTTCAAAAAGTGCAGAGTATTTTTGTCCAATCTCCGCCATTAAGCTGTATTGAAAATCAATCTCGTTCCCAGGGTCCTTTTCTACTCGTCTCTAGGGATGAATAGGAAAGGACCCTGGGGACGAGGTTGTATTGAAATTGACATCGCTATATTTGGATTGTAGATTCATGATGATGACAATGTGGAACTTCCTTCGCATTTGATTTCCTTTGTTGTCTCGACCCTTACTCCATTTCGAAAATTCTTGAAACATATAACCAGTTTAATAAATCAAGGGAATACCCGCGTTACTATGGCTTGGATCACTAACACTAATTACTGTTTGGATGACTCTTAGAGGAGGTTGGACTCGGCCCGCAAGGTATCATGGGGTGAATTATCAAATTAAGCTTCGTTCGAATCATTTGTATGGAACCTTCGAGCAGTACGGACCTCAATTATAGCACAAATTTTAGCTGCATAATCCATAAGATTGTAAACGCAAATATATGTCGTGCCAAATTGACATATATAACGTACTGTACAAGAGGTAGATGGCTCACTATTCAAGAAGATCTCCAGTATGCCAGGCCACCCTCTGTACCCTTCCGTCCCCAAAACGAAGGAAAGTTCAGCGCGCCTCCGAGTTCCTAGCAGTCAAATCTCTAGGGTTAATACCCAACGTTTTAAAATTAGTTTTTTGAACAGGCTATTTTTCAAATATAGAGTAGCTATTTAATGTGATGTGGATCTTGAATGTTAAATTCAATGCTTCCACATGGAGTTTTTTTTAAGCCTTGTAATCCTTTCTGCTATTTTTAAAGTAAATGTTCTTAGTTTTAGCATATGTTTTTGCTTAAAAAACAAAAATTATTTATTTATTTATGCAAAGAAGTGCTAAATCGGCCTAGATTGCCTTTTTTACCCCTTCTTTTGTTTAGTTATTATTTTCTCATAATCAGCACTCGGGGAGAAATTTCGTATCTCCGCGCAGAGATACAGTAATTTTCCATGTGTCGTGAGAAAATGTTTGGTTTTGATAATGTGTTACCCTAGGTGTAAAATCACGTTTCACTGATTGTTGTCTCAGAAAGACGGCTGTAAAAGCACCATTTCTAACTAATTATCCCATTAAATCATCAAAATTCATTATCCCATGAAATCTCATTCGATGGCATGATGAGTGTTATATTTAGGATTTTCAAACACGAAAAGCCTTGTACTGGACTGCAATTATTAATATCTCAAGTAATTTCAATCAATTCCAGACTTGAAGTCAGTTTGTCTCTTAGTCTTCTTTTTCTTAAATACGAAGAAACAATTTTCACTGCTGTTGTTTGCTCAGTATTTGTAAATATACCTTGGTAAATCAGTTAAATCAGCTAAATTTGTCACTCATTTTTAATCAGCTAATTTTGGTTATATTTAAAATCGAAAAATTAATAATTATTAATAATGATTTAGAAAATTATAAACAAGTGAAAACTAACGAGATCTTGTTCTGACGTCTCGACGACCTCATGATGCCATTATCAAGGAATCGGAAGTGATTGAATACGAGTGCAGTTATAAATGAAGTAAAGCTAGACAAAGACTTTGGCACGAACAGAATTCGTCTGTACTTTCAAGCGCGGTCTTAATTGTTTGATGTGCAACATTTCGTGAACAAGACAGTCGATTTTAATAATGGAGGAAACTTTATTTCTGTTTTGAATGTACAATTGTAATTCTCGCTACGTATGGGCAATTTATATGGTTAAAAATAAGCGACGGGCATCACATGACCCCTGCACTAAGTCGTATTGGAAGTAGTATGATCTTCAGAGCTTCGCTCTAACTAATAGGTCCTTAAGAGATTTTCCCCTTCGATAAGATATGAGGGGAGGCTCCTTAAAGATTTCTCTTAGTCGTTGCTGGTTTTGTATAAGGTAGGTAAAGTGTAACAAAAGGTAGAAGTTTTTTGCGTGCGGATTTTTTTGTCACACCCGTTTTGGCCCCATTTTTGGGGCCAAATAGGCTCTTTTCATTTTACAGTGTGCTTGGGATTGAATTATTCAAAACATTTAAAAAACAAGAAAAGAAAAAAATCAAAAACAAAAAAAAATCAAAAGTCTGGGCTATCCCAATTCCTATTTCTACAACAAAAGATGAAATATGTTGATCTAATGGCTATATTTATCATTTTTTTATTACATACACAGCATGAAAAGGCAAATTTAAGTTAGCATAATGTGAGCGTAAAGCTGGTGTAAAGTTTGGATTTACACACCTTTACACGACCTTTACATTACGTAAAGTTAAGCTTTACGCTACATTTACACTTTTGCGTAAAGCTGGAGTAAAGAAACACCTGTAAGTGGACTAAAAGCCAGCGTAAAGCTTGAATAAACTTCACATTTACGCCACCTTTACATAGATCTAAATAAAGTGTATAGGCATCTTTAGGCCAGATTTATATGTACTGTGATGTAAAGTTAACATGCTCTTGTCTTGCAGAAAAAGCGCGACAACAGACATAATACGTATAGCTGGTATAAACTCCACATTTACGCCACCTTTACATCTAAATAAAGCGTTTAGGCATCTTAGTAAGCCAGATTTAAATGTATAACTGGTGTAAAGTTGCAACATGCTCATGTATTGGCTGGAAGGCAAAGCTCAACAACAGACATGATTACATTTTCTGCTATTTTCTTCTTTGCATAATTATTTTAAACCCTAGAGGGAAAATAAAATGAGAAAATACAACGTTGGGAAGGAAAGGAGCCAGTTAAATCAATCAATCTGCTGTATTCAATCAAATTCTGTTTTATTTGTTCAAAAATCATTTTCTTATATGTCACCATTTGTACTTAAATCAATTTTCATGCTGTAGCGGAAACATTTAAAATCTTGTTCTATCATCTCTTTAAGTCTAACTGTAACAGACAAATGCAAAATTGAAAACCTTGCTACAATAATAACATCAGTTACCACTTAAAATAAAGTAAAATTGAAAACTTCATTCCTACAGCAGAAGCTTTGAATAAATTGTCTTATGATATAATTCTTGTTTGAAATATTTAAACCTTTTTTCTAGAAATGCACAACTATATGTAAAATTGAAAACTTCATTCTTATCTTAAAGACAAGTTGAACAGAAACATTTAAAATCTTGTTCTATCATCTCTTTAAGTCTAACTGTAAGAGACAAATGCAAAATTGAAAACCTTGTTACAAAATAACATCAGTTACCACTAATATTGAAAACTTCATTCCTAAAGCAGAATCTTTGAATACCTTGTCTTATAATTTAATTCTTGCTTGAAATATTGAAGGCTTTTTTCTTGAAATGCACAACTATATGTAAAGTTGAAAACTTCACTCTTTTTTTAAAAAACAAGTTGAACAGAAACTTTAACACATGTTCTTGTATCAATGTTTGTATCAAATGCCTTGAAACAAGTGTCAAAATAAAAAAAAATGCAATCCCAAGTGTAGTAAAAATAGAAACTGTTACCTATTTGGTAGCATCACTGCAAAAAACTAATGAAGTCAAATTTTGATAAAAAAACAGCAACTCTAACACACAAATTAATGTAAAGGTGGGTCAAAAATAATGGTCTCTTCCAAAATGAAAATATTTAGTATAATTTAGCATAATTCAAATTAAAAGCTTAAACAATTTTAGATAAGAAATAAAAAGACTGAAAGCCTAATACATGTATATCATTGATGGTTTCTTGCCTTAGTCCTTTCACTCCCAGAAGTGTTCACAGTCAAATTTAACAAAAAAATCCAAATAACAAATCATTTTCATAAACTGATGATGTAAAAGTTAGATGCACAAGGCTGTCACTGAAATTACAAGTTATTAGAGAGTAAATGAAATTAGTGAGTGGGACATTGAAAGGGTGGTAAGTTGTTTATGTTTTAATAAAAAATCCTT